TGACTTACACCCACTGAATGAAAATTGATGATTGCAAGCGCAATCACTCCACAATCGTTTTACATAGTCTGTAAAGTCTTGTTTACATAAAACTACATAAGTCATAATGGTCCAAACGTACAGACAAACACGTGCGTCGTGTCTAATCGTTAAAAATAATACTTATTTGGACTGTTCTTGGCAGTAAGTAGAGTCATCATTGTCAAAACATTACAGATAACAGTCATCTAGATAAGTATTTCTGTTAAGAAGAATTTTCCTTATTATGCATGCTGATTATCAAAAATATTAGGTAAATAAGACTGAATTTTTATAAAAGTAACAGAACTAAACTAGGTGTTGGTATGATCGCTAAATTGCTTTTATTTTTAACTTGTTTACGGCATGTTATTTATTCAGTCCGACATATCAACTTGTATAGGAAAAGCATACGTACAACATGATATGAATTTTGTTAGTTACGAATCTAAGTTCTTAAATGTGCCTATTTTCTAATATTTGTTTAGGTAGCATGGTGTTGATCCGCGCACACGGCACACAATGCTATGCTCGCCTCATCGTCGAATGTGACCGGCGATGTCGTATGGACGTTGGATTGGAAGGTTTGGTGAGTGAGATCGGCACGCGGCGGTGGGGGCGGGCGGACGTGCCAAGGTAGGCAGGCAAGCAACATATTTACTCATACGCCCGAGGCGTAAATCACCGTGCATCTATTTCGAGTTGGCCGGTGTGGGCGCGGGGGTAGGGTAGCGGGACGCAAGCAGACGCCGATGCCGGTCTGGCGCCAGAAGGATTCCCCAGCGCCCCGCGCTCCCCGCACTGTCATTCGAGGTCACGGTACGCCCGTGCCTTTCCTTATTCTTGCAAATACCTATTTAATGGCGTTAAAGTATCACGGACTCACACCAAATATAAAATAAACACAATAAGAAGAAACGAGAATGTTTTAAATAACAACAACGTACATTTCATGTGTTACCACACTTACGGAATTCTAGACCCCATTTCGATAATGCAAAGTAAAAGTATTTTGATAATAATATATGACAAGATTTAGACAAAACCTTTCAGATTTATAAAAAAAAATATGTAATTGTATATGTATCTATATATTTATGGATGTATATAAATTTTGAAAATACTGCAAACAGGTTACATTTATTTGAAACGCTATATAATATTTGTTGATTCCAGAAATAGGTATATCCTTATTCTCACATGAATGAACTAAAATAACTCAGCTGTTTAGAAAATAAAAATAGCTTATGTCTGTAACTACATTACTCGTTTGAATAAATTCCAGTAAAAAGTATCCCGTTTTAATTTTAAATACGATCAAATTTTCATTAGAATCCCACTACTAGATTTTGCATGAAAGATCATCAAAAACTTTCGTGTATATAGTATTAATAGGATGTATTATCTTGTTGTTACAAAACTTAACCAGATTTTATCTTATATTAGTATAATGATTTAATTAAGGTACGTCACGTCTAGCACTAATGAGTCCTACGTCAAGACCAGTGACGTCTTATCAATTGTGGAATTTTAGCTAATACTAAATGTCTGTGCGACTGGGTTACCCATGATTTCGTACAAGGTTTTCAAAGCTCATGTGCTCTTTTACTGAACCTCGGTTCAAATTATTTTAATACATACTATATAATTCTATGAGAACTACGCTGCCGAGCGTTCAAATTTTCCTTCTATTTCTCTCACGTATTTATTTCCTTTTCTTAGTCAAAACAAGTGGTGACACATTGCATTCTCACTTTATTACTGCACGTAATGTTCATTATTATTATTTCATGTTATAGCGCCACGTGTTTCAGTGTTCTTAATTAAGAAGGTTAAATTAATACTTAGATATAGAAATGAAATATAAAATACTTAACTGTATCATATAAATGAATATTTAAAGGTCTAATTCTAAATTCTTCTAATTATAAAATAGGCCTAGTAGCATACAACTTAATTTTTGTGAAAATCTTACATTTCGTTATTAACTTCTGAAAATCAAAAAGAACTTTACCAATTATAGAGGCATAGATACTTATTTTTAATTTTGTTCGCTATGAAATAATTATGGTATGTTTGTACTTGTTCTATTAAAACTGCAAGTTCTAGTAAATCTTACAAGCTGTATTGGCCAAAACCAATTAGTGTTAAAACAGTGATTAATCTTTGATAAAAAGCTGTAATAATAATAAAAATTGTAGGTATTATTTTGTAGGTGATACGAAGCTTTCCGGGTCATTTAGTTCGAAGTAATATATGAATTGCAAGGGATACAATTAAATGTATCGTATTTTATACAGGAATATATACCTATAAATATACATGCATTGTTTCTAAATTCAAGTTTTCAATATTATCTACGCTCTAGGAATATACAATAATCTTATAACAAACTTTTGTATATCAATATTTATACTGACTTCATATCTATTTAAATAAATCATCATATGTAGAAAACAAACCTGTATATTAACATACTTGAATCTGAATCATTGGTGTACGCTGCCAATTTGCACAATAATTATTTTTTTGTTTTATGTCCTATGTCTAAAATCATACTTACGGAAATTGAAGTAGACACCTACTCTACTTAAAACTAAAATACAGACAACGACGAAAAAGTGACCTTAGTAGTTAATATTCTAATGGATATTATTGAGTTCTTAGTTGGTCAACTTTTAGTTTGTCTCAACTACCTGTATTATTTGGAGGTAGGTAGAGCTGGTTTGGCCATAGAGGCGTTTCAAAGAATTTTCTTAAAAGGAAAGAAGTAAACTTTACAGATAGGTACATAGTATAGTATACCATACGTATCTGAAAATTAAATTATATTACTGGTGTTTTATATTAACTACATAGCATAAAGATATAAACCGTAAGACAGATTTCCTGAAGCAAACTAGAGAGTCGGTGGTATTGAACATAGAACTGTGGTGAACAAGTAAAATAATACCCATATAAACTCAATACTTATACTTACTATACTTTCTCACTTTCCTCTTATCCGTTCCGAGACAAACCAAGCACGAAATATACTGTAATGTAGTGAAAAAGAGAGATAGCAAACGTTCAGCAATTTCAATTTAGTCTTCCCTTCCCTCCCTCCGCCTCACTGTACACACCGTCGCAAAGGATCCCCCTGCGGTCATTGGTTGTTACTCATACACGTTGCTAAACCTGTACTCGATCTTCTAAACCAAATTTGTTTACATAATATCAACCACGACACTCCAATTAACTCGTTGTTTAAAAACCAACGATTATATAATATTCACGCAACCAACTTATATAGGTACATATGAATTTGGTGAGATTGCGAACTTCACTGATAAATATGTTGACAATTAATGTGCTCGATTGACATTCACCCTATTGTGATTATTATATCAGAGGTGTATAGAGGTAACTATTATAGTGACCTATTCCGATCCCAGAGTTAGTTGGTATTCCAATTACTTTGAGACCAAATCCAAATAACATTAACACACAAATACCTCTGTACGTGAGCTACACTGAAAATTTTTAGACCTGGCTAATTGAAAGCTTAAAAAAAATTGTTAAAATTTTGAAAATGGAACTCTACGAATAATACTGAGTATATAATTTATTCCTTTGTCATTTGTTTTACAGTTTGGCGGCCAATTGAAAATAGTCTGTGTAACGTTATTATGAAATTAACACGAAAAAATTTTCGTGCGATGCTTTTTTATGACTTTCGATGTCATCTAAGTCAACAAGAAAGTTATGATAGACTACGATTCACGATGATGCCCCATCTAGTAATCTAACCGATGATGTGTCTAAAGGACGGCCTTCTACGGCGACGACTGAAGATAATATCAGTGTTGTGTGGCGCATGATAGAGACTGACCTATCTATCTATAGCTTAGGGATTGGTATGACTCAAGTGCACAAAACCCTCCATGAACATTTGGCGGTTAGGAAGCTTTGTGCCCAGTGGATATCTCATAATTAGATCGAGGCTCAAAAACTCCGTCGTGTTGATTGGTGCCGTGAAATGCATGAAAGATTTTGATTTAACGGAGGTGACTCAAATTCTGTGTTTGACATAGTTATGGAAGACGAAAGCTGGATTTACTGTTATGATCCCGAAACTAAAAGTCAGTCACAGTGGGTGTTTCCTTCCGATTTGCCAACTAAAGTGAAGAGAGGTCGACGCGTGGAAAAAAAGATGGTGGCCTCGTTCTCTGGATGAACAATTGTTTTAGAGGATCGAAAAACAATTACTGCAGTACAGTAACAATTGTTTGCCACGTGTTTTGGAAAAAGTGCGTGAGAAACGACCTCGCAGTAGGGTCCTCCATCACCAGGCAGGCAAACGAGCGATTATTTGGCGACCTCAGACGTAGAACTACTGGGTCATCCGCCTTATAGCCCCGACCTCACACCTAGCGATTTTTATTTATTCCCGAAAATAAAAGAATAACTCCTACGTTTCAGAAGGCCGTCAAAGAGATTCCTAAGGACAAGTGGGTAAAGTGCTTTTCTCAGTGGTTCTATCGGATGCAGATGTATTGACGTGAATGGACACTATTTTGAAAAGATATAATGTTTATTACATCTTTTCAAAATAGTGTCCAGTGTAATGGTTGTTTACTCATCCATCCACACTCAAATCACAAAACAAATGTCTAACTGTGACGACTTATGGCCAGCTCGTTTTCTACTCTACATTTAATCAACACTAAAATAGTATGTAGTTCATTTGACAATTCGTCCTTTCTTGCTATTGACTTTCATATTTCGAGAAGTTTCAGGAAAAAGAACGATGATTCTAAATATTTAGGAAATCTTAACAACGATTTATTGAAAACCCTTTTTAAACATATTTCAAACTCGAAATTTTATGCATATTTATAGATATGTAGCATTTCTTAGATATAATATTTTTTTTTCAATAACATTCTGCGCTACACCTACTGTTAGGAGTTTGTTAAAAGGAACATAGTCGGCCTATTACTGCTAACAATACACCATGTCAAGTACTCCTCCGATCCCCGAATACCTTGTGAACTCACTACGACGCACTAATTGACCTGGCCGACTTATCCTGCCGCCCTACACTAGAGGCAGATTTGGACATTGTAAAAAGTGAACTGCGTGAGTACCTTAATAACCCCCACAGCTTGATTTGTAAGACGTTTCAGTTGTAGCCTGAGAGAAATAGGCAGATATTACAGAATACGGATGATATTTTGACACTGATAATATAGTGGTAGGTATGTAATTCTTTGTAATTGTACAGGTTGTTTAACATTATACCAATAGTTTCCAAAAACTTAGCTAGCTTTAAACCAATAAAGAGTCTTAAGATATCTCCCGTCTCATACCAAAATGTCTGTGCCAAATTTATTTTTTTTAATCACAATTGAAAGTGAACCTTAATACGTTTAACAAAATATCAGAATAATATACACAAAAACCAATTTATTGATAGAGTATTTTAAAACAATGCAAATTTAAACACTCTTAATTAAACATTCCTACCGACTACAAATCAATTTATTAATAGTCATGGGAATTAAAAGTAAGATTTTTTTAAACACTATTTTTTAAGCAGTTATTGCTAACAAAGAAAAGTATATATTCAACTTTTGTGAATACAGAATAAATTTATGTATATAACATAAAGTATAATAAGAACAATCAATCAATTAATCTAGAGACATTCCAGAATCCCCGTCCTTTTTATTATTTTTATCATCTTTGGATTTGTCATCCTTCTTCTTGTCATTTCCTTCATTAGACTTGCTGTTGTCTGAAGCATTGGATGTATTTTCAAGAGCTTTGAAAAACGCTTGCATGTCGCCGGTATGTGCAGCAGATACTACTTCAGGGGAAAGACCAAATTGGGATATCACGGGCGCCATTTGACCGGAAGTCAGCGCCGACGAAAACTGGTTTGCCGCCTGAAATAAAGATTATTTTAAAAATATTTTAATGGATAACATGAAATAGGATACTCTACCATAATCCCAGTCACCGGCTACCACATATGAATAGTACAGGGACTGCGTTCGAAACACTTCCATGTTATACTTATTAATCATGCAAAATAGAAGCCAATATTAGGTACATGGCACGTTTACGATCACGTACAAGGTGAAACCATCCCAAATTTCCAAACAACGGGAGAGCGAAAGGCGGAATACAAGCGCGACCAGAGAAGCGGGTGCGCAATACGTGAAGGTTCACCTGAGCGAATTGCGGTGAGAGCAGGGTGGTCCTTACATCGTCCTGGGTGCCTTCGGGCGGCGCGGGCGGCAGGTGCGGCGCGAGGCGCTGCGCGCTGGCCGGAGCCGCGGCCGCCGCCACCGCCTCGGGCGTGGCCAGCGCCGCGCCCAGGTCCACGCGCGGAGCCCCCGCCGGCCCCGCCGCCCCCGAGGGCCCCGCCGCGCCCGCAGCCCCCGCCGCGCCCGCAGCTCCCGCGCCGCTCTCGCCTTCTGGCGGCGCGTTCCCGAGCCCCGAGAAGTAGCGTTGCAAATCCGATAAGAATATTTGGCCACCTAAATATATATTTTCTGATTTCAGGCGACGAATAATATACTTTTTTTTATTATGGAATATACGTTTTAATGTTTATTTTTTAATATAAATACCATGAATAGTATATATCAGTGATTACTGGGAAATGTATTATTATATATAAATAACAAGTTCAGGAAAAAATAACACTTAAAAAGTATTTTATAAACCTCTTATTAATTAAATCTGAGGCATGTAACAAAGGTAGTATATGAATTTGGAATTTCGGTATAAAAGAAGTGCTGAAAATGCAAAACGAAAGATACAAGTTTAAAAATATTGATGCTTACTTTTAAATTTTATTTTTTTAAAGTAAAATATAAATATATAAATAAAAAAAGCCAGTCCCCAAGTACGGCACCTCTTTATTATTTTTATTTATTTATACTTTTATTTCATCAATCAAGGTCATTACATCATACATCTAGTTTTTTTTTTTATCTCAGAGACTAAACCGATAGTAGTAAATGTCAATTTTTCAAATAATATTATCAGCTATAGTGAGGCAATGCTGTACCTGCAAAACCAATTTATTGAACCATATTTTTTTTATTTTAGACTAGCTGTACCCGCGGCTTTGTCCCTGTGGAATTTAACTTTATTTTTCTAAAATAAGTCTCAGAAAAGGCAATGGTTTTTTTTTTGTAGGTATTATGGATTAAAACACGTTTATATTTTAGAATCATGTTTTTTAATATGAATGCTTGTATTGAGGAGGATTTGCCATTGCCTTTTCTGCTAAGTTACTCCTTATTACATCAGATACCTACAAAAAAACTCATTGCCTTTTCTGAGGACTAAGATGTCATGGTTCTGTACCTTGTAATTTGACTGCTACATCCTATACATCATATTGAATCAAAGTCTCAAAATCATTCTGAAATTGTTGAGACAGAGATATCCAGGACTTTTTACAAAGTCTATCTTGGCAAAATAAGTGTAATGAGTAATGTTGATGTACTGACTTGGTGGCTGACCAGCGGTGGCAGTGTTGGGCGGTGTAGCAGTGGGTGCGGGTGCATCACGAGCGCGAAGCGGTGCAGGCGTGCGCGCGCTTGCCTCCGTAGTACGCGTGCTCGCTTCCGTAGTACGCGTGGTTGCTTCCGTGGAGCGCGTGCTCGATTCCGTAGAGCGCGTGTTAGCGTCCGTAGAGCGCGGAGCGCTACCACCGCGTGAGCTGCCGCCGCTGCCCGCCGATGGTCGGGTGCTCGTGTTGCCGCTACCACTGTTGCCACTGTTGTTGCTATAATTGCACAGTACATATAGAATATACACACATACCCGATCAATACGAATTATTGCATCCTACGAAGAATTGAACCTTGATAAAATTTCCCATACTAAATCTATTATAATATATTGTAATTGTACTGTGTCTCAACCTCTATACAGGGTGCCACACAAACTAAATAATATTTTAGTCACTAGCGAAAATTTTGTCTACAAATATGATAAGCAAATCATGTGCATCAGGTGAATGCCATCAGACAATTTTTATATAAAATTGCCATCATGAGTGGCAACTAAAACAATCTTTAATTTATACTAATGTAGCTTATGCTATGTATAAGGGATCTTTTATTTATTAACTTTATATATGTCTGATTATGTATTATGTAGATTGTATGTATGTTTGCTGCCGTATGTTTGCTGTGAGATTAGTATGCATGTTTACTGCAGCCAAAGTAATAAATATATTACACAGAAACACTTACCCTACTGTTCCTAAGAAGGAAGATAAGCTTCCAATTTGGCCGACTCCTCCAAATAGTTGCATCAACTGTTGCTGTGACATGTTATTAAAGAAATTCTGAATCTCTCCTTCCTGATTTCCACCACCACCACCACTGCGGCCACCTGATGTTGGAGGATTATTTAAAGCCTCATTAATGCGACGGCAGTATTCATCATCTTTGTCTGTTTTAGGCTCCTAAAAGTTGTAACAAATAAAGCAATTATTATAATAGCTTACACATAAAATTTAATACAATTATGTTACTAGAAATAATTTTATATACATATTGAGATGTCAGCTAATTCATATTTATACATTAACCCCATCTTGCATTTCCCATATGCCATTTTCCCCATGACTGTATACTTTTAAATTCTATGTAAATTGTGAGCATGTATCTAAAACTAGTCAATACACCTTAAACTGATAATGTAAGCAAAGCATGTAAATAAAAAGATGTACCTGCAACCAAAAAAAGTATTTCTTTGAAAAAGACTTGAATTTCAACACATACACCCGACCAGTGGTACATTCATTGACTCTGACAAATTCACAATCATCAGGAAAAATTAAGAGATCGTCCTCCACTTCGCCAGTGGTACGATCTTTCCAGCAAAAATGCATCAAGGAATCTTCACCTTGATAGACATACAATAAACCCTTCCTTTTATCGGGGTGGACCATGCGACCTTTTAAGGTCATTCTACCAGCACGAAACTCAACCAAATGTTTATTTCCTCCAGAGCTGCCACCGAGCCCCGAGGTGTTACCGAACAACGCGGTAGCAGACATGCTTCTGAAAGAAAACGTAAATGAAAAATAATTACGTAGTGAAACATGTATTGTAAAATAGGAAAGATATAAATGAAATTTAGTGTAAATAATAGTAATTTTATACTTGTTTGTGTATTATCAATTAATATTATTATTTTGATACATACCTATATAGTTTTGTTCCTTGTTAATGCCGACCAAAAGACTCAAGACAATGATAATACACTTTGATTGAACGAATAAGTTTTCTTTTTTTTCCTTTGTTGTATAAAATGGCACGTAGCGGTAAAATTTTCCGTAAGGTTCAATAGAATCAATATAATAAACGCTTAGTCACTAAATGAGAGAAAAGACTTCAAGAGACACCAATCGACCATAGAGCACAAAAACTTAAATAACCACGGATAATAGTCTCCATCCATAAATAAAATTCAACGAATACTAGTTTAGTCTATGGATTTTCAATCTGATTTGGATCACAAATCTTCTTCACGATATAATCATCCACCGTTATTTATTCTTACCAAAAAAAATAACGAAAATGGGTTAAAATTCTATGATATACGGACATTAAAAAGCCAAATGTGTTTAGTTTTTTCTTCGTACTAGCTTAGTGTTTTAAGGTTGGTAACCCTAGCCATTATTTACATTTATTATGTGATTGCTTTCAGTGTAAATTAAGCTATCGATGATCTGTCTAGGTTCATAACATTTTATTTATTATATTGACAGCATTGAATACTGGGAACATAATTTATAATAGTAATTTTGTCTTTCATTTAATAAATGTTAATAACAATAATTTCTTTTATAGTTTTCACATTTTGGTGATTTTCGCCCTCAAAAACAGTTCTATCCCTCGATATACACATAGAGAAGAATACTAAAATCATAAAATGTATATAGATAAATAATAATAATATCCATAGACAGGGGGGAAGGGGATTGTTAGTAATGTAGATTGATAACCCCATTGCTAGCAATGTACCATGTCAGGTCGACCTCCACGCGGTTCCCCCTGGAAACCACCGTGTTAAATCCCTAGTGAATTTGTCACGATGGGCTAACTAACCTGACCTCATGCTCATCTTATATATCCTCCACTGGTGCCCCGCCAGCGTAAACCGTTAGCGCAGGCGGGTGCACCATTCCATTATCATCCACAAAAAAAAAATATCCATAGACAATTTAAGCAGGAGTTTTTGTTATAGATATTAGACAACTGATGGAATTACTACAAATACGTGGGTACATTTATTTTATAAATACAGAGTAAAAAGCACATTTTTGTTCCGTACTAGGAATCGAATCCGCAACCATCGAATATAAAGCGATGTGCTAAACCGCTAGAGCACCGAGGCCATTCTAGTATTTAGTAACAACATCAGTATTCTTATTTACTACTAGCTGTTCCCCCGGCTCCGTCCGTGAATTTAACTTTATTTTTCTAACATAAAAGTAGTCTAAGTTACTCCTTATTACAACAGCTACCCGCCAAAAAAAGTCCCGTCAAATTCGGTCCAGCCATTTCAGAGATTAGCAGGAACAGACAGACAAAAATTGTAAAAAATGTTATTTTGGTGTACCTACTATATTTATATTCAAATGCACGTAGTAAACAAACGATTAATCAATGTTACAAACAGACACTCCAATTCTATTTATATGTATAGATATACCTATTTAATATTTACCATATAACTTAAAAGCCAAGAACACCTACTTTAACATTATGGTTAACATTAGGTATTTTGTGAATTTTAAAAACATTTAGAACATTAATAACATAAATTAGTTAATACCGTTTTGAATAACTGACCTTAAAATCCTGAGATATTTTCTTCTAACGAGGCACTATAGGAAAAGTCTGCAACCTTTGTGAAGAAGGAATATTCTACTGACAGTAAAGAGAATAGAGTTTTATTACTCGACCTTGCAGAGTATAACACAGCTAGAAACATGGGACACGAATTGTTGATAGAACACCACAACATTCACCATATTGTGAATAGAGTTGCAATTGTGAAGTGGGAAAACATTGCTCTGAGCGACCAATCGACAGAAGAGTTGGGAATAAGTTCTTTTAATATTTGTAATAACTTTCTAGATATCTGTGAGTATCAGTGATTAAGAACGAATTGAGGAGTTATTAATGATTCAAACAATGAGTCTGTATGTGTATTGTTTAATGAGGATGCTGTGGACAAATCAGATCACCAGGAAAGTAATGCAGTGTTGCATAAAATTTCGTTCATGCATGCTGAGAGACATTCCAGTAAAAATAGCAAAATGACAAACAGACAGCTTTGACCAATCAGGTGGACAAGGCCATATCTAGAATGTTTAGTTCTCCAGTTGTCCGTATCTGTTTAATTTATATATGATGACAAATCCATGCTTTGTGATCTGTGGATAGCGCTGACAGCAATGGCAGTGTTGCCATATTGGTTAAAAACTCCCATTCATTTTAATATTTTTCCTTTCTACATTTAATTAAGGAAAGCAGATTAATATTATTTGATATATATGCATATGACTTTGAAATATTTCTTAGTAAATCTATTGCAGTACGCTAATATATTTAATAACTAGTTGTGCCCGCGACTTCGTCTGCGTGAACTAATGGACCATGGATAGCATTCACATTTTACAAAAGAGACACATGCGTATAAATACTTGCTGTGTTTCAGTGTAAATCTCTTATTATTTATAAAACTCCAAGTAATACTACAATTTAATTTACTGTATTCTGTGTTATATTATTAAGTTTCTGTAACTATCATATCTTATGTATGTCTAGGGACTTGATAGGTTAAGACTTATCCTTAATCTAATTCTAAATTTCCGATACAAAGCTGTCCCCATTTTGCTTTTGGCGAAATACCCTAAAATCGGGGTGACTAGTGAAGTAGGTACCATATAAGAAAAAAAAGTAATATGTCATAGTCGTCATACCTAAACATTTTTCTATTCTCATTACTTATAGAATTTCACCACATAGAAATTAATAATTTACATCTTAAAAAATATTTTGAAATTTATTTACATATACAAGACTGAGGCACAGAATTGGCTATTTATTTAGTTTCGATCTAAAATGAGCGGAGTCCAAACAGGTGAGTAAACTTAGTGATCAACACAACACATTCGTCTTCCTGCGTGTCTTTTACATATGCTTTTGTTACTCTTAAGATTCGAAAAACCATGTCTGTTTTAGAAAATCCATGCTATATTAACATGTCATATGATAGTTTATTGTGATCCACTAAAAATTACTTTCGAGTAATTGTTATTAAGTATATTTTCCTATATTCTACATAGCCGTATTTAAATTTAAAAATTAAGTACCGACGTAGTATTGAAAACTTATATAGAAAACCTAGTTTCTAATTTACCTTCATTTTATTTCATATTCTTACTAACACAGCAGTGTATAAGCACTATGTGCTGTCTAGTCCTAAAGTAAAACGAGTCTTTGTTTTTTATATTATAACATTATTGAAAAGCACTGAATAAAATATTTTTCTTTCTTCCTTAACTTTTATATACTTTTTAAACTAGTAAATACATAGAGAATAGAAACTCAGACTCGGTTTGTAGTGTAAATATGGAATCCGCTATCATTAAAGAATTTTTATTAAACCATTAAGATCATCAGGAATATTATTATTAGGCCAAGTGTCTGAAATATGATTGATTAATAATTGTGTGATGTATACTATAATATTAGTATATGTTTAAAAACAGTTATAGTATTTGTTTAAAAACAAAGTATTTGTTTAGATACTGTAGCCACATAGATTCTTTAATTATGAAAGTACATTTATGTCCATTCTTATTATCCAAATAATTGATCCATTGGATCAAAGAATTGATCCATCACCCTAAAAACTTACCCTGCAACTTAGTGTGGTATGGTATGTGATACAATTAAAACACCATTATATCCTGGAGCTAGAAGACCGGCAGTAACTCTAGGCTGCAGATGAGTAGAAGTATCCAATGGGAAGCCACTCTACTTGACAGTATCACAGAACATATTCACTCTCATAATCTTAGGACTCATTGCAAAAAACTTTGTTGAAAAAGAAACAATATGTCAATTCATGTGTATATATTAGATGTTTACTTAAATTATGTGCCAAATAAATATAATTAATTTCTTTTGCTATTTTAATATAACTTTTTACAATTTGCGATTCTTGTTTTTTATTATTTAAGGTAAAGTATATTGTATATAATAAAAGTTTGTGCCATGAGAATTTGAAAGAAATAAAATTTGAATAAATTATTGATATATACTTTACATAAAGTTCATAGCAGACCAATATTTATTAATGTTTAATTTATATAAAATTATCATTACATACTCTCAAAATAGTTAAACTAAGCTATTTTATAATTAACCTATATCTATGTATAATGTGTGTAAATCAGCAGAATATTTATTCTGACAATATATTAGAAGAAGAATTATCTGAACTATGAATATAATATAAAATAGTATTAGAATTCTGTTATATTTCATTTTCATAAAAATATTACATAATGTTAGAACATTATGTAATATTTTTTTAATTAATATCATTGCACTGCAGTACTGCACTGGTGAGATTTTTACATTTATTTAACTGTATCTTGGGACTTTATTACATTTTCTTCCTTAATTACTTTGACTGAACTAATTGAGACTATTATTCACTTTTATAGCATTAAAAGAAGGAGAAATAATATGATTTATCTCCATTGTATTATAATAACATTATAATTTGGAAATCTTATATGTACTTATTTTTATTATATTTCCAACTTCCTTTCTCCCACATTCTATTCTTTGCTAGGTACCATTGTTGATGGATTAAGGCACCAACAAAAGCATTGCGAAGGAGGGTAGACATCTGGCAGGCAGTAAATATAAGCTGAAATCCAATGTAAAATTAAAGAAAGCAAGTGAGAACACTTGCTTTCTTTAATTTTACATTGGATATAGTAGTATACAATATATAGTAGTAAACAAATTTTTATTTGATGCTTTAATGAGGTGTTCAGAGTTGAAAGAAGACTTGTGGCATTTAAGAGTTGTTCAATAATCCAAAAACGCCATTAAAATAGCACATTTAAAAAAGTATATTGTATACAATATACTTTTTAAGTAGGTAATTGATTTAAAATATTATTATTAGTAGATAGTATGGGATTCAATATAAAAAAAAATGAAATTACAAATGGCCAAATATTTCTTGTTGTAAAAATTAGCTACCTATTCTAAAAGGAAATCGTGCGCCATGAGAATGAGTCACAATAAGTTCGGCTTTTGCAATCAACGTTTTTTGTGACGTTTCGTCGAGATAAAAATGATGTAACCAGTGTGTTGGTCCAGCACCGCGGCACGCCGTTCGAAGCCAGCCTTTCGCCGCAGGCACTGTCAATAAACTTTGCAAGCACAAAGTGAACTCAACGTTGTTTTGTTCATTGTTGTAGTTCCTTTAGAAAACTGTAACTGCGTAGCTGGCACTCATCAGTGTTACTATATGCATGAAGATGTGCTTTATGGCATTATGAATTACGTTACTGTAATTTTCTTAGAGGTCAATATCATATTTTAAATCACAAAGATAGGAGCTCGCTCGCATGGCTGTTGGTGAAAGTGGCAAACACGAGCACTCAGGCAGCGGCGCGAGACGGGCGCGGGCGGGTGTGCTGGTCGGGGTCCGACCGACGTGGCGGAAGAAACCGACTTTATTGCGCGCCGGCTGTGCATGTTTTGCTGTCGTTAGTCGCGTATAATGTATCGCGAAAATACATTATATTTTTGTAAAGTGAGACCGTGTTTGTAATGCTAAAATTAGTAAAATTGCACACAGATTGATATGATTGATTGATTGATATTTTGTTTTTAAATGACGTTAGTAAAGAGAGCCAACTTGGATAGTTCAACCACATATATACAAAATATGTTATACTCTCGCGGAAGAGGCAGATAAGTGGATCGGGGTATGGCGAGCGATGGAACGATAAATACAGGCGTGGAGCCAACGAGCTTGGAGTATATGGAAGATCCGTACTTCGTACCACCAGATGACGACTCCACGCCTAGCTTCGATTTAGCCGTAGATGAACTAGACGATGCTGAAGAGTTGACCAGCTGGCCGCATGACGATCCCGAGACTGACTGGCGTGCTCTTCCTGACCTTGCAGAGTCCGCGCTCTGTATTGAAACCGAATTCTATATGGATAATCGCCGTCGCCGGTTACGTATATTTAGGAAAAAAATGCGTGAAGTTCGCGTCACGTTTCAAGATTTATCGAAGCCGTATCTTGCCAGAGTCTCCAGCCACACCAACTACAAGAAGTTTTTAGGTATCACTCTTGGAGGTTTGTATCGTCTCTATTGTATTTTCAATTCTCTATATTATCGTATCTAATTTCCTTTACCACGTGTAATCTTGGTCCTTACGATTATTGATAAGTGAAGTTGAGACTAAACGAAATTTGATTCGTTTTTCATCAGATTTCATTTTCTGCCTCTTGAACCACATGTGATAACTAAATGACTAAAGCTGTGTAAAGGTTCACTCACATCTTATTACCAACGTTAATGACAATAGTTACAGCTGCGTAATTTTTCTTTAATCCTGAATATAAATTACACAGCTGTAATAATATGACAATAAATTTATATTATAATCAATACTTATACATGTTTATCTTTTCTAAACTTAAAAGTAGAAAAAGATTGAAGGTTGTTCTATCAATTTTTATTATGAATGAAAACTACTAAATGAAAATTCCCATGATATGCGTAAAACTAACTTATTAATGCATAGTAAGTTGTTACTTTATACTTAAACAATATTACAATACATATGTACCTATGTAGCACGTGTCATAGCATACGCAGTTACTATACATAGAGGCCTTTTTATAACCATTTGCTATCTGTGATAAAAACTTCCATAAAATATTCTAAGATTAAAAAATCGATTACTTACAAATAGATTCCACACTTGAGTAACTGATTTAGACAACTGCTAATATTTTGTTACTGACTTTATTATATTTTGACATTAACTAACTCGGTGGTCTAGCTTCTTTGTACACCGCCTTTGGTTCATAATGGTCATGGGTACGATTCCTCGCACGATCAAAATATTTGTAATCATGAGTATGATGGTTTGTATTTGTCTGGATCGGCCAAGTTAAGTAGAAGCTTACGACTATATGGCTTTGTGTAAATTGTCCAGGGTTTTTTTATCAACATTGTTTTTATTAGTTCATTTTGCAAATAGTAATGTCTAATTTAAAAATAATTACATAGTAGCATACTACACCATAATAGAAGCGAAGGTAACTATTATGGAAACAATGCAATACGCTGAGTTTGTATCTACAAAGTAACGTGTTCGAATTTGTAAATCACGTTTAAACAAAAAGACCAATTTATAAAATACGACACTGTACTATCTTGTAAACAATTAACAGTTTAATGAAAATACAATGACACTAAAGAAGTCATAGAGATATCCAAAAATATATTTTGATTATTCACTAATGAATTTAGAAAACAAAAGAATTGAACGTGAAATTTAATAATCAATATACGTAAAATCAATATGTTTCGTATATTGATTTAATAGTCTTTGAGTAAGTATATAATATCTAACTGAGAAAAATGTGACATAATCTTCAATCGCGACACGGGAAGTAATTATTTACAGGGGCAGTACCTAACTTTCCGTTATTTGACCTACGTAATTATTTCTTGACTTTTCCTTTCTCACAATTTGTGTTTACATACAAATCATTGTTCTTCTTCCTTAACGGTAGGGAAAAAATAAAATTATAATGTAAAAATTTGACGTTTATAAGCGGCTAAAATGTCCTACATGAATAAATGATTTTTGAATTTTGAATTTTGAACTACCATATAGTAATTTTAAGTAGCTATGACGAGGTCGAGTGGAATGTGTAGTCATGCTCACTAAAATGGCCAGACATGTGGCGGCGTGGTGGGCCGGGTCATTGGGCTCTCTAAAATATGGTCGAGCGCAGTGATGGCTGGCTCATCCGTCATACTCGTGAAAGAGTGCTGCTTGTAGGAACTGGTCTGCCTTTATCACTACGACTGATTTAATCTTATTGTGTTTTTATATTTGAGCCTAATAAATTAGTGCTGGTTGGTAGTTTGTATTCACACATTTCGACTTGTAAAATGTGAACTTACAAGGATTATTTAAAAGTGCAACACAAAACTTTTTTGCTCGTTCTTGTCTCGATGAGACAGCTTTCCGATGTGCGATAAATTCAGGGCTAAAGAACCTAAGGGATTAGCAATGGATCCCGGTTCCAAACTGTGGGTGGACAAAGTTAAGATATCCACGATGTCCGCTAACCTCCAATGAAGAAGATGAACAGAAACTGTTCTGGTCGACGCCCTGGCCATTCAATCGGGGATCGAAATTATGACGTCTTGAGTCGAGTTTCAATCCCCCAATGGTGTGTAGACTAAAGCCAGCCCTTAGTTAGCTTAGCTGGAGACTAGTCTAGTCTAGAGACCGTCGGCCGCTTCTTAAGACCTGCGGGTTTGCAGTTCTTTAAAGTTGGTTTGCCTTTTATATACTCAATCCTTATTGAGTATACAAAAGCCCCTTGGCTATCCTCTTTTTTTCAACAACCCCCAACCCCACCGGGCCTTGTGCTCGCCTCCAAGTCTAAATTGAAATTTTATTAAATATTATGTAAATATTTTTAAGTTATTTATTAATAGTGCATATTTCAGCTTTTTGTTCTTAGATATATTACATTTTGAAATGTGACGTCACGAAATTTAGGATCCATCCCATTCCTTGTCACACTGTTTCTGTTTGCCTTGAGGTGCGTTGTAATTTATGTATGACCTCTTATTTTTAACAATAACCTTATTTTTGTTGATTGGTTGATACAATAATCTTGTTTTAGTTGATCTACCAGTATTTATTATATTTTTTTCATTTGTGCAGCTGAGGAAGCGATGGCGGGTGCAGGCTCAGTGCCAGAAAGCCCATTAGTGGACGAGTTGGCCGGCCTCACGCCCGAGCAGGCGGACCAGCTACGCGCCGAGTGGAGCCGCGAACTGGCTCGTGTTGAAGACGAAATCGCTACGCTACGCACCGTGCTGCAGAGCAAGGTCACATTTTTTTTATTGCAATATAGTTGCAACCTACTTATCCTGATTAAATAGTATATAATTACTAAGAATAATGTCGATCACGTCTGCTTTCAAATAAAAAAAAACCGTATCATAATCGGTCCAATCGTTTATAAGCTACGATGTCATAGACGGACACGGTTAAAAAAATAATAAAACCTATGAGTCACAATCGATCGTTCGCAATTTTTTCTTTTTATGATAATGTTTTATCTAAATATAAGATATTATTATTCGATAAAATTACATTACATCCACAAGAGTAAAAGTTTGTTCTATTTGGGCAACTATATTAATAAGAAATAAAGACGGAATTTTTGTATTATAAGTTAAAACCTACGCGACTAAAAATACAAACATCTGTAGTTAAATGAACAAATAAACGTTTTCCATATACATATTCCACTTAAGCCATTGCATATTGTAAAGCTATATTTTGTTCAGGTCTACGTACCAGGTATAGATGGTGATTGCCACATGTCATCCTAACAAATTTAACTTGGAATGAAATAAACATTGCTTAAAATAGCTTAGAGCATTTTCTTCAATGCTTCTTTATCTCACAAATTAAATAAAGCTCATAATTTTTTTCGCGTGGTGCACTTTCATAATATTGTACCTGTATTTGCATACAAATTTATGTCAGTGATTCTGATATAAATTTGTATACAAATTACCCTGATTTTAAAAGCGATTTGTTAATTTGTAACCTTGAAGCAGTTCAAACAGTTGAAACTTATGTTTAAATATGAGATATTCAATCAATTATTATGATTTTAAAATTGTAAACAGTTTTAAAATTATAATAATTATTGTATTGTTAGTTAAAATAACAAATATATGACACTAACTGTTATACGTAAATTTCTCTGCTTTTTGAACTAGAAGATAGCTGACACTGATTCGTTCTGACGGGCAGTGACACAATTTTATCTCGATGTCAAACGTCAGTAACATTAATTTAATGTCCGTTCTGCCGTATAATGAGCAATCGGACACGTGTTTATAATAAGTATAAAATATTACCTGCGACTTCGTAATTATTAAAAAAAATATAAATAATTATTAAAATAAGGGTAAAAAATATTTTTTAGCTTGGGCTTATGTTCATTTTTACAGATTCGTCAGAGTTCGGAATTAAAACGAAAACTTGGCATTACAGTGTGGAAAGAAATTACCGAAGATGTTAATCAGGGTTTGAAAAACGTGAAAGAAAGCCAAGTGTAAGTACAAATACAATATAGTATCACATATATTTTGATTATACATGTGTATATATTTGCATTGGATATATTTTTTTCTTAAGGGTTAGAACCAATTCTATTATTCAGTCTTGGTAGTGGTCTAATAATTGAGCCTGTAGACAAGTGGCAAACGAAACCTTTTCTAAATACACTTTTGATTTACATTTGATACATTTAAATATTTCCAACTCGTATTTCATTTTAGTTTTAGTTAGTTAAACACTTATTTATTTTTCAAGGTTTTCAGATGTAAACTGTCAAAAATTGACTGCATGGATACCTCGAACCCATCTATTTCAGCTGCCAATCGGCACACCTGTGTTTCAGGTTGTAGAGTCAGATTAGGTACTAAAATGACTGGATATGGGGCATGATATCTTAATCCTCTGGAATGACTCTGGGTGTCATATGAAAACGTGTCCGTGGCGCTGTTCATGTACATGTATAGGTGATGGTAACCACCATTTGATGGATCGTCAGCCTGTTTACCATTCCAATTATATAAAACAAGACATAAAATTAAACAGTTATATCTCATCTATCTGTTCTCGAAGCCGTCCTAACTGTAAATAATATTTGGTCTATTTCCTCCATTCACTTCATAAATTTTATTAAAAAATAAAACGTCTTAATTCTTTTGAAGTGTTGTGAATGATGGTTTTGAAGGTTTTCCTTAAAGATTAAGATTAACATGAAGTTTTTCATATTGAGGTTTCTTGAGGGTCGACCACACACACTACACCTGGTGTTGCAGACGTCCATAACCATTTCCGTAAAATGGGTCGTATGGTTATATATTTTGTCTGACACTATTAGGGTATAAACAAAATGTTCTGAATTTTCAAACAATACCTTAAAACCGTAAAAATGAAAATCCACTCGAGTAGACGCTGTATAGACCTACACACGTATTGCTTATCTTAAATCGTGACCACAGCGATATTATCAAACACAATAAAATTCAACTTGTGAAAATGTGTTAAATAATATAGGCAAAGCGTTTAAAAATATAATATTTTGTTACATTTTTATCATTGTGAACACGACATTAGAATTGGAACCCTTTGTCACTTGGCTTATAAGAATCGTTTCGCTTGAGCTTGGTAGTAACTTGTAGAAGTGGTAGCTTTCTTATTTAGTTCCTTTTCGTTTCACATTTGCTTTGTTGTACGACAGCTATCAAACTATAGAAACACGCGTGGCAGAGTTTACAAAGGCTGTGACTGAAGCACCAATGTAAGTATATGCACGTAATCTATCACTATTCTATCAAGGAACAGATAACGACGTCTAAGCTCGGGTAGTCATACTATATTTTTTTTATACATATAATTTGTAACAATGACGGGATCTTACCATGTTTTATTTTATTGAGTTCTCGATATTTCGGCAGTATTTTAACCGCCATGATCACGGGTAAACCATAAAAACAAAAGCAGTAAAACCCCATTATTTTTACTAATTGTAACGTATGAATAACGACCACGTCAAATTTAAAACAGTATATATTTTTGTTGTTCGGTAAATATTAATATCTTAATAGCCCATGGTTTTAGTACAATATGAATTAAATAAAACCATAATTATTCCCTATAAATTTGCAAATTGAAGTAGTAGTGGTCTGGTCATATATGTCGTAGAACTGATGATCGCTGGAATGGACATATTCTAATGCGGAGACCGCGAATTGGGAAATGTAGCGTGGGATATCACCCAGCTAGGTGGAGCGACAATATGCGTAAAGTAGGTAAGAACTGGACGAGAAGCTCTTAAGATCGGGCCCAGAGTTGTCCAGCAGTGGGCTAATGATGATGATTATTCCAAAGGATCTAATAGATTTTTTTTCGTAAAAAGATGAATCACCTGTAAACTAAACTATCATATTTATATAAATGATTAACTATTTTTCATAATGACGTTACAAACTCTGCAAATGTAAGCAGAATTAATTTCATAATATTTTTAATTCATTAAAGACGGGTGTTTTTTTTTTATTTTTTTTTTTTATAATAATTAATTATAATAAAATTATGTTACTTTTTACATATAGGTATTTACTATACTTTTCCTTCATGTCCTTTTCAATTCTATACTAACAGTTACGACTTCGTCCATGGAGATTTTTTTTAAATAAATACAATTTCTGAACTAAAAGTAGCCTAAGCTACTCCTTATAACGTGTATGAAAGTCAAGAACAAACAGACAGATTAAATTTTTTTCAATATTTTTTATGTAAGCATATACGTTTATATGTATTTAGTGAAAAGTTGTTAGTTTGAAATTTTATATATTTATAATATGTAGTTATTTCTATATGCATGCGTAATTACACTTTAGTGCTTTGTATATATATATAATTCACTTTTATTCGATTGGTTTTATTTATAATCACAAATTTATATAAATTAGTAAAATTAAAATACTACACTTACATTTGAACAATCATTGTGTTTTCAAATGTTTCTTTACGGCTTCTATCTGTTGTATCTGACAGCAACGCTCTAAATAGTCTTGGTATAATTAGAAAGTCTACATTTGTATATGTCGGTGTCCCGCCTACAACAAACTACTTTTTAAATGTTTGTAAAAATTTAGAACTAAATAAAAGTTGAATGTAACGAAATCTGATGTATTTCTTCTTCAATATCAAATGTTATAAAAGATGGTAATTCTATATGTAGTAATTTAAATGTAATCTGTCACTAACTCTGATCAGGAATAACTTCATTTTAAAATTATAATAAAAATAAACCTTGATTGAATAAATAATGCGTATGTGATAATTAATAAATTTCTCATATATTTTTATTATTGTAGTGCTAATTTGGTAAATTGCATTTGACTGCATGATCGCTTTTAGAACATTTGTTACAACGTTCTAACCCGAAAGAAAGTATGTCTAAATATATATTTCTAAATTAAGTGCCTATAGGAGTAACTATTACTAATATTGTTTTATTAATATTTATTAAACAGTCCAATTAATAGAGGTCTTTACAGTTTCAAACTAATGTAAAATCTTCACATTAATTGAAATATATGAAATTTTATGATCTTATATATGTTTTATGACATATTTGTGAAGATCTGTCAGTATGTGTTTTGCAAAATCTTACTAATATTATAAACGCGAAAGTTTGTGGGTGAATATTTATTACTCTCATGCAAAAACTACTGAACAGATTTTGACGAATCTTTACAGTAAAGTACCTCATAAATGAGGCTGATAAATGATGAATCACATAGGCTATAAATTAAAAAGATAAATAAACTAGGCGAAATATAATGATAAATTTCAAGAAAGTGTCGGGTCAGCTATTTCTTTATAATATAAAAAAGATACATATTTATATCTAATCTTACATTTGTATTCGTTAGATACCAAAAAACTGAATCTGTGATAAAATCGACGGCGGAGAAGACGACTTCGATCTTGGGCGGCATCACGGCGGGCGTGTCCAGCAAACTCGGCCAGATGCGCAACTCCGATTCATTCCGTTCCATCGAAGAACGAGTAGGCAGTGCATACGAAAATGTTAAGGTTCGTACCAACATTTTGGGCCTTTCTTCTTTTTTATGATTGAAAATGACTGAAAATATTATAACAAAATTACGATCAAATCTAACGAGACTAGTAATCAAATTGCAGAAGTTAAGTCCGAAATTGTCGCTGTGGTGCGCAACATAAAATATAGTAAAATGTAATACATAAATATGTTTTGCATAACGTATGGTAAATGTATGATATGTATATGTATAATTGTTGAAAAAGTTATAACCGATTTAATTGTATACCTACCTTTCATTTATTTTGTTTCTTCTTTTTAGTATTACGTTTGCTATAATATGACGCTAAATATCTTTGTGTTGTGTTCACACAGTGCCTTCTTTAACAGAACTCGTATATGATAAATTATCGCATCTTTATTATACCTAAAGAATAACATCGTGTACGCCATTTTTTAGAAATGTTATAAAACTAAATTTTGTTTTTTATATTACAGGGGAAAGTGGCCTCTAGATCGAATTCAACACAGAGCTTTGATGAGGCATTGCGCGATGCAAGCCGCGCCGCCAGTGGCGCCACCTCTCCTACCATTCCCGAGAACAAACCCTTGCCCTAATGTGATCGCGCTCTGTCAGCACTAACCACGCCGCTACTACTAGTTGTAATAAAAGTTCCCGTTTCCAATCGCCTACGAAGTATTGATATGAACTCTTAATACAGGTATTGAAAAGGGTTGTTTCAGAAATGTATACGGCTCGCAACTATTTTATTTCGTTACATTTTTAAAATTGGGCAGCTCAAATTTTTATTTGTATTACAGACTTTGAGTGCCCGATAATACGCACTAAGACTTAAGTCTAAGTTTTAATTAATGCACTTTATTATTGAGCGTGCAATTTGCCTAAAATAAGTAAAGTTAATTAAAAATAGATTATTAGATGAGTTAATTTAATATTTACATGTTTAGCAATTTCTTTCATCCTTCAGATTTTTTTCCCTTTATTTGTAGGCAGGACATGTTTTTTGGTAATATGATTGAGATTCTAATTTGGATACTACTGTTATGATGAGTAAGTATATTTAAAAAGACTTTGTTTCATTCCTAATAAGTATAGCAAAGTAAAAGTAAACACGAAAAGAAAATATAGACATACTAGCTTTATTCGCGGCTTCACTCGCATTGATTCAATAATATTTTTATAAAAAATATCCTATGGTCATTCTAATACTTCCAAGAACATGTGAACAAAATTTCATGATGATCGGTTCAGTAGTTTTTGCGTGAAAACGTAACAAACATCCCTACTTTCACATTTATAATATTATATTATATATTAGTGGATTGGTTTATTAAAAAATGCTTTGTGTATATACGAATATTTGTTAAACATTTAGAACACTTACTACATATTTGTAACGACTGAAAATATACACAAAATTATTACATACTTTCAACCCGGTTTTGTTCCGTACGGGTAGTAGAACATTTATTATACATCGTCAGGATTTACTAAATATATGGATGGAAACTGTATAAAAATCGTGTTAGCTTTTGAAATTCGCAATCACGCGCAGTATAGATATATAAATGAAACAACCCCTTTATTTACTTAGGGACACCTCGTAACTTGCTTTTCAGTGGAATACTAACGTGTTATTTTTCTTTTTATGTACTTATTTCATAATATGCACGACTTCATATTATAAAAAAAAGGCAAATGAAAAAAAAATTGATAGGATTCTGTATTATCGTTTTAGTAAGTAACAGATAAAAAAAGTTATTGTTAAGTATTGTAATATTTACAATAAAGTTGTATTATAAATTTTATGGAAGCCTGGTGTCTTTCTTTGATTTTGTAGTGCAAAAATGACAAAATGGAAGTCAAAATATAGCAAACCATTGTTTATTAAGTTCCTATTCCCTTCTGCCTAAAAGATGTCATAAAAACGGGCAAAAATGATTAAACTACAAAATGTTATAGACATATTATGTGACATTTGTTTTAACAAAGACCTGAACATTATTTGTTTAATGTTCAGGTCTTAATTATTGAAAAAGTATACAAGACATAAATATCTGTTACAAAGTTTACAGTAGATCTTAATATTCTTTAAATTTAGAATATAATTTTGAACAAAGTATTTATCATGACAATTTCTTCATAATACTTGTAGAATTCAACCCACTACCAGAATTCGAACTTTATGTTTAATGCAATGTTTATTGTAGTAACTATACGCTTTTTGTTGTCTGTATTGGCAAAATGTATCTGCGGCGTGGTAAATATTTATTAAATATTGATACATTTGAGACTGGTGTACAAAGGCTTTGTGTACTTTGAAGATTGGTAACACGTATCACGATATTAAATTATATAAATGTTGCATTCCAAGATGTTCTCCTTTTTCTACCCCACTCATTCTTAGAGAGAATGATGTGAGAAACTTGCAATTGTTTGTAATGTATTAAATTCTATACACATGCAATAGTATTAAGATATATAATTACAGAAATAAAATGTCAAATAAAGTATCATTATTGTGTGTACTACACAATAATATGCCGAGCCTAGCCTGTTAGATCCATAAAAATATGATATTTTTATAAGATGCTTAGCTTTCTTTTACTTATAAAAATATTTTCACTATTTACATTAATTACCACTGAAAACGGTAAATAAAAATTATATATTATAAATTTGTTTCTTTTTGTTATTTTACAATCAATTTTAGTATACGTGGAAACGAGACTGGACGTTGGAAAAAAGGATTTATTGTATTGACTTCTGATATTATATATATATATATATAATGTATGTATAAAATAATATTTAAGTTATTCTATCAGTTGTTTAGTATCCATAACACAAGCGATACATAAATTGGAACTAGATGGTGGCTCTATACGAATTGGCCAGTTATTGTTTACTGTTATTATAGTTATTCCCTAAGGCCTGTTTTTTCTATTATTTTTTATACTTGTATTGTGATGGTCTGCTAAACTCCAATCTTATTATGTGATTATATGAGTATATGTGTTATAATAATTAACGCACTGAATACATTACATAAACATTAGTGGTAATACCAACGAAACATTCCAAAAGCAGTCAGAAAATTATCTTCACATGTATTGGGAATTGTCAAGCCACTAAGAAAAATACATATTACTGAAAGAAAACTTTATTATTATAACTAGCACGTAAAAATTATAACATTCTAAATATTTACACAATAAAACTAATAACTATTTTCTGCATTTTGAGAGGCGTTTGAGGCGGACCAAACACAATCGTCAACTTTATAAAGCCACTCATTCATAAATAATCATATATATTAATAAAATTCAAAATTCATTGTGAAATTAAAATATTTTTATACGACTATTAAAAATTGGCATTTGCTTTTAATATAAACAAACTTAAGACCATAAGAAGATGCCACTGCGGCTGCATTTTTCATATTTATTTCAGTAGCATAGACGTTAATTTCTTTTGTTAACCATCAGCTGCAGCTGCCAATTTTTCTCTAAATATTACGAGCTGTCGCCGACTTAGATAAAACAGTCCATTACACATTTAGCTAGTAGGCAAACAGTGGAACGATTAATTAACAATTCTCCATTATAACGGATCAAAATCAATAATTTTTCAGTTTATTACAGATTTTCGGAACTTTGAACAGATTTAACAGTTGCCATTGGTAACTGTACCATTTAGCCCCTATTTATAACCCTCAACTGGCGTATAGACAATTTCAAACCAATTTTAATCAGTTATAATTGATAATAAATAATAACATAGTCATATACTTGCCCCAGAATTTATTAACACAAAGGCATTATGAGCATCTAGCGCATTTGTAACTTAGTAATCACAATACATAATAAGTAAAACTACATGTAGGTCCTTAAACGTCTTCGCTATTACAATCATTTCTGTGCTATAAGAAATTTTTCAGACCTTGGAGTGGACACACCTGCACATACTAGTTTAAGTCCTGGTAATTAATCTATACTGGATAACTTCGGATTACCGTGAAGAATATATATAGGCACATGTATACGATACGTTTCTTTTTTACTTTATTTATTTAGTGTAAGCTACTTCATTATTAGACTAATATATTTTTACAATTAAGAAAAATATGATCCTTTCTCCTTTCCCTTCCTAAACCATAGTCGCCCTGGTAGTAATTTCAATAATATTTTGTAGGTGTATACCAGCTTTTTTACGTAAAATCTTTCACGCAGGAAAGAATTATTATGTAAATGTAGACACAAACACAAATATAACGCGTGTTCCTAATGCGTGAATGACGTGACCGTATAAAGGCTATGGACGATGTGTAGGGTTGGACCTCTTTACTGCATTTTCAGGGAAAATTATAATCCCTTAGAATTTATTGTAATTTCAGTTCGACTATGTATTGTAGGCATATAACTTTTCTACGAAAAGCAAAATAAGTCATCCGTTATATTTTATTTAGGACTAGATGGACGATATATCCAGTTCTTATTTTCCATATCATATTTCTTATTGTCTTATTGGTACAAGATTGGTACTGTATATTTTCAAAAATTTTAACAAAACAATCGATTTATAACCTACCTAATAATAATCATCCCGCACCCAGATCCGTCAACAGTATAATTATTTGTGAATATCTGTTATAAAATATGAATACCTCTGTGTTCTTATAATTATTACAAACTAAACTAATTTATAAGCTTAGTAAATATCAAATCAATATCATTACACTATATTCTTACTTACATGTAGGCATGTGGCATTTGGTTACAACAAGATAGTTAAAAAATTACAATTATGTTAATAATACAATTAGTTTTAGTCAAATATTTGTATTGATATTAGTAGTATCAGCTAGACAGAAACAGATATAGGTACGTCGTAAACTAAAGCCAATTGTTCCAATCTACTAATGTGTGTTTACAGTCACAAAAATATCAGAACCAGAATTATATTTAATGAGAAAAGAATACGGAAATTATATATTTTTTTTATTTATCTTGTATGCAATTGCATATTCCATTTGTATTTGTGCTAAAAGAAAATGTACATAATAAAAGAATATTATTAATCAATCACAATGAATTTTGAATATAGACGTTTCCTCTATTATATGCCGTATAAATGGCGCAGCTGTATATTACGCAATCTGAACAACGATTATATAAACAGTAAATACATTTTTATATTCTTCTATACATAATTGGACAAATCTAACACAACACTACCACTTATGTTAAAAATGTAGCGGCAACAGTTTGGTGCAAGACAGTTCTTAAAAACTACATGCGTAAGCAAAATTCACTTCATACTATTAAACTATGAAGAACTAGCAAAACTTTATGAATAACATGAAAAGGCATTATTAAAAGTGTCTATCATCTTTTTAATAATGCCTAGTCTAAACTAACATTTATTTAAGTGTTAAAGCAATAGCTAAAACAGAATACACTACAATAATATACCTATCGTGTCTGAATCAAAACTGTCTCAATTCTCATAACTTTTCTAACGAATAACACAAAGACAATGCCTTTAAAACTAAATGGACATTAAAACTATATGAAGTACGATTGTTCTGAAGAAAAAAAGAGATCCTATGAATAATAATTCAAAATTTAGGTTTTAAATAATTTCTAAGTCTTCTAAAAGACTCAAAATAATTTTAATAATCAGATATATTCGTCTATAAATATATATCATCTATAAATTTATTGTTATTTCCTTAACAGTGCTGGTTGTGAGACATTAGACACATATTGCATTATTTACATACTCATACTATAAATGCAAAGACAAAATATACTTTCATTCTTGTTTCAGATGAACCAAGGTAACATTTATTTAGATCATCGATTTATAATGATTACTGGTCCTTATTCACAATAAATAGTGTATATAAAAATAAAATAAAGTCATCAATGCGATGAGAAGTATATATAACAATAATAATTAAAAAAAAAAACAAATATCATTTGTTATGGTGGTATATTAATTAGGCGACGTTATAGATATTTATATAACTTTAACTTCTCACTAGTATTAAAAAGCTACATGTTTAGGACAACAAAAGTTCATTGTAGTTTTCTTCACAACTAAAAATAAATCTTTTTACATGTCAACCAAACAAATACTACGTGTAAATGTTACTCTTATATTTAATTCAACTTTCATTACCTTACACCACCATCGAGTTTCTTGATACTTTAAATCACTACACAATAAAATTATAACAGGAAGTGATTCACTCTACAATATATAACATATAAGTTACTTATTTTAAAATATAATTTTTAATTACATTACTTATTCTTTATTACCGATATTTTAAATTACTATATAGATTATTTTAATTATAACACTCACATTACATGATTTAAAACTATTTTGGTACCTATTTAATAAGGAGAGATATTTTATGGAGCAAAATAATTATATCTTATTTATTTGATAACTATCTTTTATTGGCTACTTTATTTATCGTGATTCACTGTATTTAGTCAAACACTATAGAACATATAGGCCTGACCTACCAGTAATCAAATAGCCGCTAAAAGCTAGAAACATCCTATACACGTAGATTTGACGTTAAAAGTAGATATAACATTAACAGACATTACTTTCATATTATCCCTTAAGTTTCGCGATTACCCTGCACGAAGAAATTTGGAATCTATTTTATTATCTATATCAAAATCTATTTTCAACCATACAATTACAAGCAAATTTATGTGAAAATTGTACAATATCGAAAAAATAGTACCTTCTCGTTCACGGCTATACAGCCACACCTATTGCACCCCTTCCTCATTTTGTGATTATCCATACTTCTACTGGTATTCTATATCTAAAATGACAATAACTGATGATCGAATCGTCTATTACATGACTATAATCATATGCACATTGTCCGTTGCGGATGACTATATTTAGGCAGTGTGAATTCGCTAGTCTAATCACTCCAGAGGCTCTATGCAGCGATCTGACGTAAGAATGTTACGACGCCAAAGGTCTATAAAATAAAATATATCCGATCTTTCTACCAATGTCTACAACTCCTCTTTCCTTGCTATATATAGCAAGCTGCTTTCTTGATCTCAGGTTACTAATATAATTCAAAATTGTCTATGATCTATTATTAGAATGTTAATTACAAAAATTATATACGTGAAAAGAAAAATATATATAAAAAAGGAAGATTTATGACTTTGAGAGAAATGACAGTAACAGAAACAAATAAAATTAAACTAACCATGTATACATATACTTTTAAGAATTGTATTCAAAGTTTTGAGAAATATATTCATTGTTTAAATATCATGTTGTACTAATGCGGGCTAATTGCATAATTTACTAACACGATAAAAGTATTACATATACATAGCCAATTCTTTCTTTGGAATTCGTCATTCATGGTTCAGATCGAATGTGATTACAAACTGATACAATAACACACTCAATAGTCATCAATGTTGTTCACACTCTGTAAAGCACTTGTAAAGTTCATATCCTCAACGGTTTTATATTTTATGAGAAATCTTACTCAAGCCGACTGTACTACTCTTTGGTATTCTTAGCTGTATATCGTGAATTGCCATCCTGTTACATAGTAATTGAATGAGCTGCAACTGCGATACAACCAAACACATATATTCCAAGATCGTTAATTTCATCGAAGCATTCTCGCATTCTACAGTCAAGTGTCTATTACAAAAGTAATGGGTGTACACGAGATAATTGTACATTGTCCGTTGAAGATATATTTATAACCAATAATTATTCGATATATATTAAAGGAGCATTGAATGTTTGATTAGTCATGTTACCTTGAAGAACTAAAGTTAATATCACTGATTTATATTGATCTTAATTTACTGAAAAATGTAAATTGAATAAATTATTTCATATACTTTATAAATTCTGACTTAAGTTTTGGCAATATCAAGACCTAGGCCTCTCAACGCAGTTTCACTTCTTCATTTTAAACGAAGTTTAAACAGGCAATAAAAATATAGGTGATAATAAAAATTGCACTACTAAAGACTACTATTACTACTATTGTATCTTAAAATGGAAATAACTAAGTAAAAAGTTCTTAGAATACAGTGACAAGCTTATTCTGAAGTAATTATAGAAAAAAGGTTTGATTTAAGAACTAGATACTAATTGATATGACTGTCAGTATTGGATTTCTTTTGCGAATATTATCACAGAAAATATTTCGTTTGACATAATACATTTTACATCATATAAAATTTCATAAAATTGTAATTATAAATTAGTCACACCTGTGCACGCGTATGAAAGAGTCCTGTTACCACCTTATGATGCATATAAACAATAGTACGTGTGCGCAGATGTGAGGTATGCAATTATTGGTGATATTGGCGTGTTTTATCTATAAAGAAAAATATTGAGTATTTGTTGTTGATTAGGAGCGGCCTAGGCACACTGCTGGCATTATTATAGAAAGGGGCAAAATATTATTGAGTAACAATATTGCTTGTTAAGTACCATTAAAATGTAAAACAACTTGTTTACTAATAAATTTTTTAAGTCAATATTTATGTCTGAACATGTAAGAAAACATTATTAAAATTAAATTGAACTATTAAAATAGATGTGGTTTATCACGTATAAAATACATAAATCACGATTCATAGTTATAGTACGTAAACTAGTACGGTCGATCGGTGGCTGTTATATACACGTAAGTATTGCAACGCACCATTATCCTCTGTCCCTGTACGGGGTGAGGCGATAGAAGCGGACTCAGGCGAAGTACATGACCTTCTTGGTGACGGCGTGCACTGTGATGGCTCGGGCCATGGCGCCAGGCGTACGGTCCTCGCTGCAGGCTGATTGGTGGCTTCCTTCGCCTGAGTCGTGCTCCTTCTCCACTAGGTGATAGCGAGCGCGGAAGGCGACAAGATGAGCGTAGTAGGCGGGCGCGGGTATCGACACCGAGCGCGTGCAGCGAACGTACGTGTGGCACAGCTGATACGTGAGGCACTGCAACTCGTCCGAGCCAAAGTGGTTGTCGTCCCACAGCACGTGGTAGTGGGACGGCCGTGACGTGCCCTAAGGACCACATAACAGCGTTAACATTCGTTGAACAAACAACCCGAGGCTGATTTTGTAAATAGAATGGATATCTGAGTCTTAACTATATCAGCAACCAACCACTTTACTTTTTATACTGAGTATCGATCGAAGTGTTAACATAGACAGTGAAATTACAGATTTTGCTGTTGTTCATATATAAAGGCGACAGATACCACATACCATCAGGTGGACAGTCAGATTCTTTGCCATTCCAATTACAAAAAATATTAAACATTCCCTAACAATTTATGATCTTGTACATATATTAGATATTACTATTTACAACATTTGCCATTTGCCTAAAGTAAACAAAATCATATATTTATACGACCGTATGTAAAACAATTACAATAAGAAATCCTCTATATACTAACTTGTATTCCTTGATGACTGCACAGATAGAAGTCGAACTCCGTAGGGTGAGTAATACCCAAATCGACGGTAGTCCCGGCGGGGATATTACCCGACTTTCCAGACTGTTCTTTTTTATCTGCGCAAAATAGTCGAGTGTGGTGACGTTTTTGTACTACTATGAATGTTATACCCGGCTTATATTCAGCTTCCAACTGTAAATAAAAATACGTTTAAATAATACAATATTTGATATATTTTAATATGTTCAATACTATAATAAAGTTGTATATAATGAAGATGGCGCACTGTCTGATTGTAACATTAGTAGGCTATGAACATCGGCAACATGTTACACATATGCAAAGGGCAAAGGTAACACTTTTATAAAGATTCCTATGTTATTTAAATCGAATATATAGTTTTCTTATGCCATAGTATTTTTTAAATTCATACATACATTTGAATCTTTTATATTATTACAAAATGAATAATAGAAAAGAATAATGACTATCTTTATTATTTTATTTTAATTAAATCGAATAGAATAGAAAATCCTTTATTGAAATAAACTTAATTTAAGCTTTATAAATAAAAAGTCTCTGAAGTTTTGTTTGTTTCAAAACTTCACAGAATAATAAATATTGATTAATTAGATCAATTTCAACGTTATGAAGTAGATATATTTATTCTAATAAAAATATATGTTTTCATCATAATTGACTAATATTAAAAATATGAATATTAGTCTGTTTGTAAGTTCTTGGCGCCTTTACAATTTCACTAATTTTCATGAAATTTGCTACATTCATCATACCTAAAGCTGATAGCTAAAGATCTTTGTTCAGTAAAAAGTAGTCTCCCCAATGTTTATGCCTGGTCACGAAAAAGAAGTTGAGGCCAAAGTTAGAAAACAATTACAAATATTTAGAAAATGTTATATTTCAAATTTAAGCTGGCACCCCAAAAGTTTCCATTCTTGGCACATACAGGTGGCATAACACCTGTATGGTTAATGTCGACATAGTTATAGGTCAATGCCCAGCACATCGGATTAAATATACCGGGCGTTGACCTAATCGTATTTACAATAGTCACGCAAAATATACTTCGCTTTTGTAGCATTTCTTATTATCAATATATTCTTGGACTATCCTCACTTCACTACTTAATAATAACTACGTGACTAACCAGTCGTGAAGAAAAGTTACTATTTGTAACATTGTATGATACAACAGATATTTTATTTGATTTAATTTGAAATTAAATCAAATAAAAAATAATTAATGCATGTAGGGCAATTTAGCCCCTTACGTACGTCGATTTTTTTTGTATTTTAAGAACACTGTGACAGAACTAAGCCTTTATAATTTGCAGTACAACATAGGGGGCCCCATATAAATTACGTTCTACGAATTTCGTGATTTATTGATTATGTGATGGCTCCTTAGTGTAAAATTTCAACTACAATAATGCATTACATGTAGTTTATGGTCGTGAAAAATGTTGAACACTTAAATACCTCCGCATATACAATATACAATACCTTTTTTCATATCCTTCCCACATTGTTTAATATAAATTTGTGAATTTAGCTCATAACGATTCAAACCTATATGCCAGTAGTTGAATCATGATAAAATATCCTGTATACTATGCAATATCGAATATTTAATCAATTTAGTGTGATTTGCCACTTACACACAAAAGATATATATTATATTCGCTTATGTCCAGAGGATATATTATATTTAACTGACCTTTATACACGCTTCTCGTACAGCGGTGAGTTCGTGCTGCAGCACTTGCAAAAACTGTCCCTCGGAGATACCGTCGCGGTACATTATGATACGATGAGGTTTGAAGCCGCCAGTACTTTTGTAGAACATTATTAATAACTCCTGTACCATGCTACTCATTTCGTGTACTATTTCTTGCCTAAAATATTTTTTAATCTTAGAAACAAATGTCACAATATTAACTAAATATTGTAAAGATAATATTACATATATGTATAATATTACATATATTACATGATATTGGATAAATTTTACATATTTTTTAAGAAAACATACTTATGTAAAGCTATTCAGACTTTGTATGGTTCCTTTAAATTCCTAGGAAGATTTACTAGAGGCTGGTCAGTTTCACACTTACAACTACTATATAATAAAATAAATGAATGTCTAAGATCCAGAGACACTTAAAACTCATAGTTGTATTCTGTTAATAAATAGTAACAGATATTTTCAATAATTATTAAATAACTAACTTAGTATATGGCCTCTAACAAGATAAAACAAGTCGCTGGTTCTCGGCTTATTTCTTCTTAATCACGCAACGGATTTTGATACTATTTTCAATGTCATTTATAGAATATCTATTGAAAAATTTTTATATACATGTATAATAAATTAAATACCACTACCGTTACATTCATATACACTGTACATTCGTGCAAAGCAAGGGCAGGTCGCTAGTATAAATATACCAATTACAAAGTTTATAACCAATAACAACTTTATATATATTTATTTATTGCGTGGTTATGTATGGTCGTAGATAATGCGATGTAACAAATTTCCAGCTGACTAAAGCTCATGCAATAGCATGTGGAGAAATTCTCAATCTTTCCAACCAGTTACCATTAATCTTGTAATATACAAGATAAAAGTGTAGTAAGAACTTTTATTTGTTTCTTACAAGATTTATCGTAAAAACAATGTAAAAAATTGCATATTTTTATTGAGTGCTTCTAAAAAGTAGACAAATCTTACTAGAATGTCGAAAAAGTTTTTATTTGGCATTTAAGGGTTGCTCAATAAAAATATATGCATTCTTTAAAATTAAGATACAGAAATTAAATCTTATCAAGCAATATTATTAGAATATAATATAGATTGTGTACACTTAACACAATCTATACCATATTTCAAAATCATCAAGCGTGAATTCCGGATAGGAAACTAACGGAAGTTGAACTTAATTGAGGAGTGCTTGTAAAATTAAATTTCTTAACTAAAAGAATATTTATTCTATAACAAAAAAAATGATGAAATATACCTGATACCACTATCAGGTATGTTCTCGATGTACCTGTGCTGCTGCACGCGCACTGTGGCGGCGTATCGTGAGGGGTGTGCGTCCATGGAGCCCACCACGGCCGCGATCGACGGCTTCTTGTTGTCGCCCGCCGGCGGGTGCGTCACGTCCACGCCCAGGAAGATTACCGGCTCATTGAACACCTACACATTAATAAACAATTTATAGTACAGAACTAACTTAAATCAACTACTACACAGTGATATACAATAGTAAAATTTGTAAAAGGTTCACAAAATGTAAACAGCGAAAATTTACGAACAATAGAAGACAAAAATCACACTCTTTCGAAATATAAAAGTCTAGTTATAATGTCTTCTATTAATAACGTACAGATATAAATTTAACAGTGTTCCAATAAATTTACCGGCTCATTGAACACCTACACACCTATCAAAAATCAATTTATATTACGACAATAACTTACAACTATAACTTTCGATAAGTCATCTGTTAAAACCAAGCTTGCTTTAGGATTATGTACTAAGTATATATTCATTAGGTACATTTTTTTTAATATTATCGAATAATTATGAATTTTGCTTGTCTTTTAGTAAAGTAAACTATTACAATCTTTTATTTAAATCCGTTGTGATTGTTGTACATTATCATCAATAGTACAAATATTAGGCTTTGTAATTTCATTGCCATAAAATTTATGATATCAAAATGTGTTCTATTAGTGTGCTTATAATAAATAAATAAAAAATGTAGGTATTAAAATATTTTCATGGTGCAAATTGTAGGTACTTATTTAATGTAACACAACCCTTCGTATTTAAGTACCCCTTGTCAAACATTTACAATAGGAACAAGCAGGTTTATTAACACTTGATGCTAATGTCAAATTACATATTCACGAAGCAATTTCGCCTTGTACCTCAATGTGTATGTTCTACTTATGTATCTCACTCCAACATATACATTACTACATATTTTGTCTCTTAAATCGATATCTTTACGCTTTATTAAGATCTTAGTATTAAATTTGCTAGTTGTAATAATTAAATATAGAATCAGAGATAAGTAAAAGTAATATAGAATATATTATTTCACCTTTGGACGTAATGACGGCACCAAAATAGAGTTAATGCCACCAAGTTTAACATTTATTTTCAAACACAAGTTGCTCAATGTCTGAGGAGATGTTTTGTTTACATTCTTAGCTTGCACACATTGTGTCGCCATTCCTAGTACTGTGTCACCAACTCTTTTTACTTCAGCTGAAAACATTGTTTATATGTATAAAAAGTAGTAGTATTAATGTTCAAATAAAATTTAATAAATGTCAATAATTATTATTACAAACAAATAATGTTCTATTGCGTTATGTGATTTTATTAGCCATTTTTGAGGAAATTCAAAATTAATTAATATAATTCATGCAATTTAGTAGGGTAAGTTCAAAATAAAATCTTTAACTCTGATAAAGCACAAAATAGTGTATTGCTATTCTGTGCCTATTATAATGTTCGGTGGCTAAGAGTATATTTCTCTGATGTAAATCTCTGAAACCAAAGTACTATTAAAGAACAATTAAAATAATAAAAAATATATACCGTAAACTGGTGTCTTCCCCGGCAGTACGACAACTACAAGTTGCAACTGTACAAACGTAGACTTAAGATATTTGAACATGGGTTCCACCTGGTCTGGACCCGTTGCGTATTTACAAAAGCATGGCTGCCCAATGATAGGCATCCCCGCGTCATTTGAGATTTTTTGTAATTGCTGTGTGAAATTTCTGTAAACAGGGTACAAAACAGAGATACTAAAAAAAAAGCATTGTCCTTTCAATTTTTTTTAAACAGTATGGCGACATATTAGCGTAACATTATAATTACCAAAATAATATATATAAAAGTATATAGGTGGACACTTGTACCTTATCCAAATACTTCTACTACTATATATGATACAAGTCTTCCGATTTTTAGAGTGAGGATATTATAACCTGATAAGCTAGGATTACAGACACCATTATTGTGCTTGATAAATAAGCACAAATAAAATAGTGTAATGCAATTGATCCTTTAATCCCAGAAATTCTAAGAGTTACATCATAAAGTTTATTAATATGACACCAATATAACAGATATGGGCATTGCTTTATTTTGCAGTATTGGGAATTAATAATAATAATGTCTAAGTAGATATTTAATTTACTTACTTTAGGGCATCTTCTCTGACTGTCCTTTGAGGTGCAAAACAAGCAATTGCCCACACTCTTATTTCAACTCCCATAAAGAACTGTTTCCCTCGCATATCCCATACTCCTTGATTAGGGAGTGCCTGCTAAATAAGAATATAAAATAAATTATATTTTAATGAAATTTTAAATATGTTCAGACTATAACAATAAATAGGCTTACAAGTATTTTTTACAATGTATTATTATTGTGTGCATAACAATGAAAATTAAAATTAGTGTTCATGTTTATGACACAATTTAGTGATGACTAAAGAAATCAAACAGGAAGTAGTAAAGCAATTATTTTAATTATTATTATATTATAATATCACATACTTCTATTTCTATAAGGATATTTCACATTTACCTGTCCGCCAAGTGAGGATACCCGGCCGCCATATTGAAGCTTGGGTGGCGGTAGAACGCGTCCTCGAACCTCCATCATGTTATTTGATATTGTTAATCCAAATTCTTTCACATACAAATCCGTGTTAAAGTTAGCTCGTCGCACCAAATTATTAATCTCTCGCTCTCTGATAACAAAATTAAATATTTTTCTTGTTAACTTTCCCTTGTCATTTAAGATCAGTCCGTCAGCAGATATTTAAGTGTATTATTCCACTTAAATATCTACTGACAGATTCTTGGTGTAATAAAAAGATAAATAATGGGTTGGACATAATTGATGAATTATATTGTCAGATCCCAGACCTCTCTTAATCCCACTCTATGCAACTGTGATACGTGCAGGTTACAGTTCTCATAATGTATATATTAAGTGCTAACTTACATATAGGACATTACTGCACCCAGCAATGAACTATTCCCTTTCCTTTCATACATTATATCCATATAACAGATTATTATTAGATTACAATAATGGATATTACACAACTGTTATCTATTATTTGAAATTAACATGTGAAAAAGACTAGAAAATAATTTTGCAGGTGGAATAACATTCTACATGCTTTTTCCATATATTTCTTTTTAACTAAACTTTAATATTTGTTTTTAATAATATAAATGTTCTGATTCATTCATTACAGCAATTCTATCATAACTATGCAGTAGCTTAGTGTTCCCAACTGATTAAAATTTGGGTACTGTTTTTCTACACTCACCTCCCCTACCATATAAGGCAATTCTAATTACAATTCATTTTATATGAAAACATAAGTTACCTATCAGGGGCAGAACGCGCTGTCGCTTTAATCATAGTAGATGTTTGCATATCTGTAAGTTTCTTAATACATCTCTGTCCAGGTACAATATTGCAAACTTCCAATGGCAAGTATGTATGTTTGTGTTCCTGTCCTACTTGTAGGCATGGTAAATGTGGATATCTCAACTTCATTTTGTATTTGTCCATGAAATATTTAGACACCGTACATTCAACTGTTTGACCATTTTCAAGCTGGAGAGGGAAACTGGAAAAAAAATTATGTATAAAGTTTAAAAACCTAAAAAGAATAATGCCGCTCATTGACTTCCCTCTATGGCATTCTAAATTATTTTCTGCTATTCTAAATTATTTTCTGCAACAACCCAAATATAAATATATTTTTCAAAATGTTATCAAATAGAAAATAATTTAGAAAGTCATAAGCAATTTATAGTGATGTGAACATTAAATTCAATGTTTATTGAGAAAAATAAAAATTATTAATCTAAAGTAGAACTAAGAAGTAACTATAAACAACTTCAATAAATGTTATGTGTGATTTAAGAATCATCTACTTACGACTGCATCTGTGCCGGTCTGCGTGTTACATTACAAACTCTGTACTTCCTTTTCATTGCTCCGCAGTGCGTAATCTCAATCTTAAGACCTTTTATTTCTTTAGTAAATTTCACTCGCTGTGAGTCTGTTAGTGGTTTTCTTTGGTCGTTAATGTCCCTTATATCTAGGACTTCACACATAAACTCTATAACAGGTTGTGCTTTGTAAAAAGCTGTTGCAGAAACTGTAATTAAAATATTACTGGGAATTAGTAATCACATAAAAAATCGTGACTCTATTCCTTTATTAAGCTTTCAATAAAAATGGTTGTAGGAATTAGGAATGAGTAGGATTTGCGACTAAATGTTGTTAATTATAGCTCAACATATAAATCGGCGCAAATATACCTCAAAAGAGGGCAACTATTAATTTAGTGAAAATTTTACAAGTGCCATAGTAATTACTTTGTTGAACTATAGCTCATAAAGAGTTTTTATTTATTGTCCTATGATCACGATCAATAGAAAGCAAAAAGGGTACAAAAAGGGTGTACCACTAGTTGATATAAATAAATAGATATTTCGCTATTTATTTATAATGAACTAGTTAATTTTATTAAAAATGTAGCATATTGATCAAAAAGATTCAAAAGCATTACACACCATCAATATTTAGCATCATTTTCCATTGACTTGGTCTTACAGACTGATGGAAACCAAACCAAACTTCACGTCCTCCTCCTAGGGGATGGTAATATCCATCAGGTGATGAGAAAAAAGAACGGCCAACAGGTGTGTACATCATAGATGGCAGATGTCTCATTACCACATCCAATGCCAATATGGCATCATAGGGTATCTGCCTGGTACGACCTTCTAAAGCTTCTTCCAAAGCAAATAATGATACCTAAAATATGTAAATAAAATTAATAGGAGTAGACATAACAATATAAAAAGTTAAATTATTTTATTAAATAATTTCTGCGATTATGTGTCTATTTTCTAACTCAAAAATCAGTAGTTGAAGTCAGATTAACATTTTGAGGGTTCCAAAGAAATAATGTAAAGGTTTCTGTTTTCCTTACATGATATTTATTTATCAAATATGAAACCTTTTATTTAGACCAGTAGAAACCTTGAAAAAAGGCTTTATATTAATTAGATTAGGATTATCTTTGTTTATATTAAAAATGAATATAAAATAATACAGATAACAATGTTTGAATACCCCAAAATTATGTTAGTTAATTAGTATTTTTTTTTCTACCACTTTATCCTAGATATTTATTAACCAACTTATAGCAGACAATGTAGTAGGCTGTAGCATGAAAAAATGCAGACCAATACCATCAGCAATATTCATAAATATTAATGTATAGAATGTAAGGGGATTAAGCCCACAAAAATTAAATGATCATACTTCAAAATGGACTATTTCTAACACAAAAAGACTCATACTGTGATATATTAATATTTACCTGAGCAAGCCATTTAATGGTAACCCGGAATACTCTATCCTTTCCTTCTCCAGGTAGTATCACCTCCAACTCAACTCTGTCATTCCCAATGGGAAGAGGATCCCTTGTATATAAATTATTCCTGCCATCAAAGACAGGTTTAAGAGCTCCAAAAATTTTATTGTATGCATGTACCATAGTTTCAACAATTTCCCTATTAACCTAAAAAATATTAGTATTATATCAATCATCAAAGATTGCCAAATGACTACTACAGCAATAAATAGATTAGCAAATTACACCTGGATTTTACACACAGATTTTAATACTCTACTGATAACACAGTAGTTTAAATAATAAACTACAAAATGCCTAAATAATATTTAAACCATTGGTTTATCCATATAATTATGAAGTACACTAATTCAAATTCAAATTCTAATGAACTGTTAAAAACATTTAAATACGTTATCCTTTTGTATATACATATACTATAAATAAAATAACCAAACTAACATCAACAAACACAATAACATAACATAACATCAATCACATTCATTGGACAAATGTATTTTGTATTGTGTGTGGACCAAACCTGCAACAGTTTTGAGGTGAGTCAGTGTGTTAAACTGCTACATCACCAAAGTCGTCCACTAATTAAATGCAGCACTATTTCCGATATGATGGCACTGTTACAATTTGTCTCAAAAACACATTTTATAAAAAGTGGGAGATTATTCAGAATAATCCTGTGAGAATAGGATTCATTTAGAAATTAACATCAGTGACAAATTAGTCATATAAACATTTATTATTGATTGGTCACTATAAAATTGATTAAAATTAATAATGATTTAGTATAGAAAACAAACATAAATGGTCATCAATACATTATTGTTTCTATATACTGAGAGTACACAAAATTACTGGATCTAATATTAAAACACGATTTTTTTCTAATTACAAATCTAGTTTAAACACTTACGACCTTATTACGAAAAGATAAACCTGGTTTAGCACTAGTAATAAACCATTCACCAATGTATTCCTTATTACAAAATGAAGTTTATCTCTAAATCGTGATTCGTCTATGGTCTAAAGTTAGACCTGCGATGCCCCTAGTTTAACAGTGGTCTAAATGCAAAAAATCAAACTACATTTTAAAAATTGTATTTTAAGTTGTTGTTTTTCGAAAAATATTTTAATTAAATTAAAAATATATTAACTAAAAACATTTAAAGCTAATTTTACGATAATAAAAATATATAAAAGACGGTATTTGTTATTTTTTCACTCATTTGACTTTGAAATAGTCACCATTCGCATCGATCCAATAAAAATATCCCGCAGTTCCTTTTCTCCGTATAGGACTCCTACTTGTAATTTAAAACAGATTTTCAGCCTAATAGTACATTAACAAATATAATATATTAATGAAATAGTTATAATGAAGACATAGAATAATAGAAATAAATTTATTTTTAGTTTATACATTTTTATTTGAAGTAATATTATTTTTGATCTTTTCAGTTTTCTGGTAAAACGGAACGTCATTGTATGCTAACAGACATGATTGACTGATATCTGTATGGAATACATAATGAACGATTTAACTGTAGTACTAAGTAGTCCTCTGTTAGATCTGGATTCGTAATAATGTTAGGTTTATTCCAAGTATTAACTTTAGGAATGGTTTAAACCTCGACCATTTAGACCACGTTTCGTCCGAGTTTTAACAGATTTTTTGTAATAAGACCGTTAGTGTAAAATTCTAGTTAATATATATAAGTACATGTAAATATTTACCTTTCTTGGACACTTATCCGGTTGTATGTTCACATCATAATGATGGACAAACCCTCTTGGCATAGTGATTTGAAAGTGGTTGGCACGTAGCATTATAGGTCTACCTTCATGACCAAGATTTGGGCGACGCGGGCACGTTAATACAGGTAAATCTGGTGGAGGCACTGCAGCTGGTGAAACCAAGCCTATGGCTCCTGTACCAGTGGCCACTCCTGGGGATGGGGCCGCCGTAGTCGGGGCTGTGCTAGACGCGACGGCTACAGAAGCCATTGTTCCGGCTGCAGCGCTCACTGCTGCAGCACTGACCGCGCCACTGCTCGTCTCACTCGGAGCAGCTAAGCAATATTTATTGGACAATATATTAAATGTATAGATTAAACCATAAATTCATTAAATTATTCAGTCTCATTAAACTATTATGAAATAAAATAATACGAATGTCCTAAATTTATTACTACCACGCTAAATAGGGCAAATTACCCACGAGTCTTTGTCCACTCTAAGTGCAATTATTTGAATGGTAAATTACCTTGACCAACGGGATACATCTTGTTCTCAAAATTGAACAAATATGTCGTGGAGAATGTTGATATTATTGTACAGAATATAACCAGCTTCCAAAACGCGTGGTTTAATGGATAGCTAGTACACCACCATAATCATTGCCATGTTATGCCATCTTCTTAGTAATAGAAAATTATTGTCTTTATAACTTTAACAAATACTATTAAGAGAAACAAGCAATAACAACTTTAAATCACAAATATAGAAAACGTTGTATCATATAATTGATAATTTATTTTATGTACAAAAATAAGGTCGGGACGACACCAAAGACAACTATGAAAACGATGATGTATTGCCCTAGAAAATATTTGTTTCTTCAAGCACCACTATAGTCGTAATGTTACCATATTTTTGGAATATATATAAGATTTAGAAAGATATTGTTGGTGATGAAATCGATGATGGAAAAACAGATTATGATTCAACAAGATGTTCTCTTTTCTAATCAAGTAATATTCCTAAAAATCGTTAACCTAGAACCCTATTAAGGGGTTCTTACTAAACTATTTTTTTGTTCCCGTTTATTATTTTAGATTTTTTTTATTAATGTGTACGTTTCTTAACCCTAAAATGATGTTATGTCTATGAAATAAGTGTACCGTTATTAAACTTTGATTACTTAAAATCGATATTTTCTCCTTAAATAGTTAGAAGACTTATAAGTATTGTATTGATCTTTAGCGTTGTGCTTGAATTAATGTTACTTTGTTGTCTTGAATTATTTGCTCTATGGAATGCTCTTAAATTCCGTCCATAGAGTTTGGACATAAATTCTATGGAAGATTTTAATGAAGAAATAAAACACTATGGATTTGAAAAAGCGCGGGAACTTTCAAAGCGACTACACGTATTTTTTTCGCGCTAGTTTTGGAAAATTATATTTTATTGAGTTTTTTAATCAAAACCATTAAAGATGACAAAGAGGAGCGGGAAGAAGCGAAAAAAGAAACAGGAAATATCGGATGATACATCCGACGATATTAATTTTCTAGGGTCTGACTCGGAATCGGCCCCTGAGGATGTGGATAAGTATAAGGCATTTCAAATACCAGACTATGTTCGGTACTATCTTGAGGATGGTGGAAATTTTGAATATATTGTATTTATGGAGAGCACAGATAGTAATAAGCCAATCGGTGATAGGGATATGATGTCTTTAGCTACTAATTTGAAAAAATACAATAAAGGAGTTAAGCAATTATTAAGGATGAATAAATTTAAGATCGGCGTCATTTTTGAACGCCCCGGTTTAGCTAATGCAACCTTAGTCAATAAAAAATTTCCAGACGGATTTAAATTAAAGGCAAGTATACCAGCTTCAGCCACGGAAGTAACTGGAGTAGTTCAGCTTGTTCCTACGCATCTATCGAACGAACAAATATACTCTAATATAACCAGCTCAAAAAATATTGTTTGTGTACGCAGATTCATGAGGCGTATTAAAGGTGATGATAACACCTTTACAATGCAGCCAACTAAAACCGTCTCCATCACATTTTCCTGTCCTGTACTTCCTGACACCGTCAACCTGAATAGTTGGCGCTTTGTGGTGAGGCCTTATATACCTCCTGTAAAGCAGTGTCTTAAATGTTTAAGGTATGGTCACATCGCTAAGTTTTGTAAAAACGCTGTAAGATGCTCAGTATGCGGAAATAATCATAATTTCAGAAACTGTTCGGCAAATATTAACAAAGCCAAATGTTGTCACTGCAATGGTAATCATATAGCCATTTCATCACAGTGTCCTATTAAGAAAAAAAAATAGAGGAGAATAAAAATAAAGTACAAAGTTATGCTGATATTGTTAGAGAGAAATCATTTCCTCAATTAGGCAGTACCAAAACTTCACCTTCGGCACAATTTATATCCCTACTTAATTCTGACCAAATTTTAAATACCCTATTAGAATCAATTGTTAAAATTATAACATTGAATAGAACCAATGACAAAACAATATGTACAGAAAATATAAAACAAGTTCTCCTAGAGACATTACAGAATAAAAAAAACCCAGATTAATCTTTCTTTCTTTAATTTTTTATTTCTTTATGGACCATATAGTAATAGTCCAGTGGAATGCACAAAGTTTAGTAAGTAATCAACAAATCTTTACACATTTTCTATTGGAGAACAATATTCATATTGCTCTGATATCAGAAACCTGGCTAAAAACCTACTATAAATTAAATATTAAAGGCTTTAACATTGTTAGATTAGACTCAGGCAATGACCATAACGGCGTTGCAATTTTAGTTCATAAAAGTATAGAATTCAGTAAAATTGATACATATAGTGATGATTCCTTACAGAATATTGCAGTACGATTAAAATATAAAAACACAGAAATGTCAGTTGTTAGTTTTTATAGCCCAAATAAATTGTAGTCCACATTTTAACAAAAATAAATTCAGTAATCTTCTTAATAGTATTCCAGAACCCATGTTGGTTGCTGGTGATTTTAATGCTCATCACACAGCATGGGGTTGCTCGTCTATTAATATATTAATGCTCGTGGTCGTGACATTCTTGAATGTATTGATGGTAACAACTTGGTCATCTTAAATGATGGTACACCGACTACAGTAGGATCACACAGATGGCAGAGTAATGCACTTGACCTTACTATTGTATCCCCTTGCTTATCTCTTGCTTCAAATTGGATGGTACATAATGATCCCTTAGGTAGCTACCATTTACCTGTAATAACAAAAATAGTAATTAATAACAATTGCACTAGATTACCAGAATCCTCAGATTATCCCAAATTTCATAATTACAATCTTATAGATTGGACCATGTATAAGAAGACCACAGATAGTTTGTTACAAGATTTTACACTTTACACTTATAGTAATTCACCCCTGCATTTTCAATTTAGCTCTAGACAAAAGTTGTATATCAAAATCAAAACCCATAAACTCTACAACTGATATTCCTTTTAAAAATAAAAGGATTCCATTACCTTGGTGGAATGAAAAATGTACACTTGCAGTAGATAACTCTAAACAGGCATATGTTAATTTTAAAAACAATCCATCAGAAGCAAATTATATTACATTTAAAAGGTTACAAGCCAAAAAAAAGTTAATACTTAAAAAAGAACAATCAATTAGCTGGAATAATTTTTGTGAAAGTTTTAATCGCACTACACCCATTTCGAAAATTTGGAATACTGTTAAAAAATTCAATAAAACTTATGTATATAGTCAGATTTCAAATAAAAATAACTGGATTTCAGATTTTCTTAAGAAATATACTCCTGACACTGTTGAGACCCAATTTAAATCACACATTAATGAAAATAGTAACAAATTAAATTATTTAAATAAACCCTTCACTTTTTCTGAATTCAATGCAGCCATATCTAACCGAAGAGATACAGCATTTGGTCTCGATGGCATAGCATATAAATTATTAAAAAACCTCTCTTATAACTCTAAAAATATTGTTTTATGTATTTATAATGCACTGTGGAAAGATTCCCTTATTCCTTCCGATTGGAAACAAGATTGTATTATTCCAATTTTAAAACCAAACAAAAATGCAAATGAAATAGATTCCTATAGACCTATAACTCTGACCTCCTGCATGGGAAAAATATTTGAGCAATTATTAAAACAAAGACTAGAATTCTACATAGAGAGTAATTGTTTATTACCAGCAAATCAGTTTGGTTTTCGTAGAGGTAAATCTGCCTCTGAGAGTGTTACTCATCTTCATATTGATATATTTAAAGCACTTAAATGCAATGAAGTTTTGATTGGGGTATTCTCTGATATTATCGGTGCATTCAATAATGTCAATCATCACATTCTCACTCTGGAACTTGTTTCTATTGGTATACCTGGAAAAATTATAAACTGGGTCTATAACTTTTTAAATGGTAGAGAAGTTTTTGTTAAAGTTAACAAGCAGTTAATAGGACCTCGTCTTTCTTATAAAGGTGTGTGTCAAGGTGGAATACTTAGTCCACTACTCTTTATGTAGATATGTATGTAGAGGACATACACAAACTTAATTTAATTTTAGGACCACATGTCAGGAATCTTCAATTTGCAGATGACCTTGTTATATACTTTTCAGGCCCAGACATTAATAAAGTAACAGAAAAAATAAGTAACTCATTGTTAAGATTAACAGATTACTTTAAATACCTCAATTTAGATGTAAGCCCTGACAAATCTAAAGTAGTAATATTTTCTAAAACTAATAAATCCTACAAAAACATTAAAATATTATATAATAATTCACAACCACTTATTACTGCTGAAGTTAGATTTTTAGGTGTTATTTTTTGTAGCAATTTGTCTTGGAACAAATATGTTGATTATTTACTAGGTAAAGCTTCCAAAGCATTTAATATTATCAAAGCTCTATATAAATGTGATCCTAAGATCCTTTTAATGCTGTACAAATCCTTGGTTCGCAGCCACTTTGAATATGGCTATCTATGTTTTGGTTCTGACCAAAACAAGCTTCATAAACTTGAAGTACTTCAGAATAATAATTTAAGATACATAACTGGTGCAATGAAAACAACCCCTATAAATTCCTTACAAGTAGAGTGCTGTATACCACCATTAAACCTGAGATTCTGGTACTTAAAACAAAGATTCATCCTAAAATTATTATCCTTTTCTGAAGACCCACTCTTACAAAAGCTCAAACATATTACTTCTTTATTTCCCCTTTCTAATTCTAAAACAGTTCCCTATATACTTCATGATTTCTCTGACTCAATCAATATTGATCAGCAATACAAAATTCACAAAAGCAATAGATTTTGGAATTGTTACCATGGACCATTTGAAAGTAAATTTCCAAATATTAATATTGTAATTGACTTTGAGTTAAGGACCAAACAAGAAGTTTATAACAAGTTGTCTACATTTTCAACTCATCAATCCATATTTACAGACGGTTCTAAAAACGAATCGAGAACATCCTTTGCTCTATACTTACCAAGTATCAGAACCGGTCATGGAACTAGAATACATAAAGAATTTAGTATTTTTTCAGCAGAATCTTTGGCTATTTTAAATGCACTTTGTTATATAAAAGATGATAGGGGCAATTGCAAAAAATGGTTAATTGTCACAGACAGTATGAGTGTTTTAACTGCTCTTCAAAGTAACAAACTACATTATAAAACCAATTATATCATAGATAGCATTAAGCAAATATTATATGAGCTCTCATTGGAGTGTTATGATATTATTTTATTATGGACACCATCACATATTGCTGTTTTCGGTAATGAAAACGCAGATTTCCTGGCAAGAACTATCACCAACAATGACATTGGCTTTGTCAAGGATGTTGCCATACCTTATTCCGACATTCTTTCTATAGTTTACAAGAGTTTTCGTCAAAAATGGATTGAACAGTGGCAACTTTCGCTAAAGACCAAGGGTAATTGGTTTTACTCCATTAACAAAAATATTCATTCCTCACCCTGGTTCACTAAATCTAGAGTTTATAAAAACCGGAAATTTTACACACTCCTTATACGACTTCGTTTTGGTCACGCTAGATTCAATAGTCATTTGTGCCGAATGAAAATAATTGATTCAAATGCATGTCAAGAGTGCAATAACAGCAGTCAGACCCTAAATCACATATTTTTCGAATGTTCCGCTTATAATATTCAACGCTTGGTCTTTATTGATAATTTACTGAACATTTACAAGAAACCGGAAAAAATCCCGCGCGACATCCAAGACATGCTAACTAATTTTGAAACATATATACCTATATATTTATACGTTACCTCGATATCGATGAAACTTTAAATAATTGATACAAGGATATGGACTACGGATAAGACTTAAATTTTGAACACGAATGAAAACATAATAAATAAATATACATAAGAATTGGCCTTTGGCCTCATCACTTGTTCAAATATGAAGAAGTTTAAAAGTAGACTAGGCTGTACGGTCTAAGGATCTTTGCCTGTTCCATCACTGAAAAGGAGATGGACGAATATGGAAAAAAAAAAACTATGGATTTTTATTTGAAATTTAACAATAAATAAAATCAATAGGTTATGAATTTGATGAAATAGTGTCTTAACATAAAAGTAATTTAATGAAGATCATTTCGTCCTAAGCGGGCGTAATTAAAATAAAATAAATATATTGAAATTAAAATAATTAATTGATTTTTAACATGCATTGCATTCGTTCAATAATTTCCATTTTAAAATGCAATCCAACAGGTAGAATAAAACCAAAAATTAATATATTGAATTATACCAATAATAATTCATATACAGGATACATATACAGATGTTATTCTAAAATAAATGAAGATCACTCGGGTATAATACTTTTCTTAACTTTATTATATTTTTATATATTCAGTCTCATTGTTAGTTTAATACCAATTACTAGTCAATAAAAATATTTATAATAGAAGCAAACACGTACGCAACTATATTAACTATAGTCCACTGAGCATAGAGTTACTCATCTTCAGAATGTTATAGAATTAACTAAAGGAGACATCTAAACGATAATGTTGAGGTTAATTCGTAGTGAATTTGTCATGTTTGGGTAATTGACCTGAATTCATAGTTATTCCATTATCTTTTGCTTATGCTTGATTAAAATTTGAGGACCCTCAGATACTAAAGCAGAAATAATTAATATGTATTGTGAATAATAATCCATTTCAGATGACATTGTAAATGAACTTTGTAATGGAGATCCAGAAAAAGAGAAAATGTTAAGAATATTGATGCTTGAAGTAGAGGTGATGCGACAAGATGGTCGATGTGCTCCTAATAATTTACAAAATAAACACTGGCAACAATTAATGCAATTGGAAACTCGGAATCAAAGAACCAAGTATTTATTATACTTGTGGAAGACCGAAAAATCCAAGGAAAATCAAAAAGTAAAATTTAATACATTGGTTTTATTTAAATTTGACAAACACTCCTGTAATTGCTATATTAATAGCAATATACCTTATTGTTGTTGATTTTCATGTTGCCCTGCAAATTCCTGGCAAATTTGCCACAATGGGACTAAAGAATAATAATAACAATATTTGTAGTTTGTAAGTTAAATGTATGTAATTTGTGAAGGTCTTAAGAATGTTAATATCTCAGATGAGAGACAAGTCTCAAATTTCAATATTTCTAAGTGCCTTTGTAGGTATATTCTAGATGTTAGGTACCTTCCAAATAAAAATAATATGAAACATTGCTAATTGATACTGATTGTTTATACAGGCAAAAAAAGAAGCCAGAAGAAAAGAACTTGAAGAAATGAAACCTGAAGCAAATAAAGAATATTCAGATGATATCACATATGGAATTTGTGATACATCATTGTTCCTACGCATCCGTGACCAGTCAATAAACAATTTTGACAACTACAGGTATGTTTATATTCAGTGTAGACTATATAAGACTCTTTCCTTAATAATAAAACAAAAAGTAATAATGACATAATGCAGTGGTTCCCAATTACGTTTTTACTGTGTACCACTTTAAAAAAAGACCTCAAAACTTGCGTACCCCCTATTGTAACACTAATATTATGAATGCGAAAGATTGTGAGTGTGTGTATGTTTGTTACTTCTTTACGCTGAAACATCTGCAGGTACAAAACGCAGCAGGAACGGGTGGCGGGGGCAGCCGAATGACGAGATGCGGCGGGCGCAGTATAGCGCACGGTCGGTCATAGTGCTCGGTGCTCTGTGCTTTAATGATGATGATCATTATAAAATAACATTTTGAAAATTATTCTTGTTTTTCTACTGATAGCCGCATGTAGCCCTGGGGGTACGCGTACCACTAATTGGGAAACACCGCCATAATATATTTTATTAAAATAAGAATATCTACTGCTTTCCAATTCGGCAAGGGTTAAGAACTTAAAAACAAGTACAGTATTTTTAAGTGGACCAATATTTTAAATAGTCCTATTTAAAACATTCTAATAAAAAAATTAAGGGCTTTCTTAATGAAACATTATTAAAATAAAATATTTATTTTAGAACACTACAAGCACAGTTACACGGTCTACCTATTGTTATAGATTGTTCATATGAGGATTACATGGTCTATAGAGAAGCAGTAAATGCAGCAAAACAGATGACTTTTGTTTTTGGTGACAATAGAATTCATAGGGATCCATTTGATATACATCTATGCAATGTGACCAGGGAAGGAAGCTTCATGAAACAGCTTGAAAAAAATATACCTTCAATAAAAGAGTCATGGTTCCCATTAAATATTCATACAAAAAGTTACCTTGATATCTTTCCCAAAAACAAATTAGTATATCTTACACCTCATTGTCGTGAAGAACTCACCAAATTCGATTATGATACTGTTTATATTATTGGATGCATGGTAGATAAGGTAAAGTACTTCTCAATAAATCAGTCATTTACATAAAATCTAAAATTAAAAAATATTGTGTCATAGTATTTGTTATTGAACTCATAGGAAATATGCTTAAACGCTTTTTATTTGTGTGTTTGGTGGGTCTAAAAATAGGTCACATGCTATTTTCTTTTTATTCCTTCAAGGTGTTACCATATTCAGAAATAATTTATATGGCAAAACAATGTTTGCCGCTCAGCTAGTAAATAAATAGATGTATGGCGTGGTTGTAATTTGTTAATTTTAAATAATAATGTTGACATACTATTATTCAATTCACATACGGTGATCTAGTCCCAGATCAGAACTTGTGTTATGGCTAGTAGACAATAAACAAATACATAGATTTTTTGTAAATGTATAATATACTTACATAATTAACACCCTAACCTATACTAACAATCATAATCATGAGTACAAATGTTTGTACTTTGTGAGGAATCGAACCCGCGATCAACGGAAGTCCACCGCCAGACCACCGAGAACGAGTATTTAATGATTAGATAATAGATAGATGTTTGGTGCTGTCATTCCAAATATATAGTACTTCTACTAATAGTTTTATATTTAAATTTTACGCTTTATAATAGTGAGGATTAAAATAGTATTCTGAGTTTTTTCTCATAGTACTTGAGGATATTTTAGAGCCAATAAAATCAGTTCATCAGTTAAAATTTTATGATTTCAGGTAAACAATGAACCTCTATCTCTAGCAAAGGCTAAAAGAGATGGAATTAAGATGGCGAGATTACCACTGGATAGGTATTTGGAATGGGCCCCAGGTGCAAAGAAAAATCTCAATATTAACCATATGGTTCCAATATTATTAGATTTAAAATCTACTGGTAATTGGGAGTTTGCATTACGGCACATTCCAAGAAGAAAGTTAATGGAAACAAAGATATTAGCAATGCAAAATATATTAAAAAATACACGACTATCAAATGATGAAGTATTCAAAAATCTAAAACGGTATTCTAATTTGAAAGGTGTATCATTAAAAAATAGAAGATCGAATTCAAGAAAATCATTGTATGATGATGAATAAATAAAATGAATTCTTAAATGTAAAATTAGATTCTTTTGAACATGTCTTTATTTCATTTTATATTAACATTTTTCTTTCATCCGTCACATTTCATATTTCACGAGAAAAGTTAATTTCCAATTTTCACTAATATTTAGTAAATCAAACCACTAATGATTATTCTATTTTTTGTACAACATACTCTAAACATAAAAGTATATACAAAAAGGGAAGTCAACTGTTATGTTCAAATATTATAGTTGCACACTTGCGCATTAGTATAATACATCCATCTATTGCACACTACTAAATTGTTTACATAATTCATATGTACGCTTCACATATTTTCGTTTATCATCTCTGAATTAAATCTATTTTGAAAATCATATATTATAGTGCATATCTTCACGATAATATATATAAATAGCGCGAACAAAAATTATTCGAATATATAAAAAAATACCTAGCAATATCTATCAATATAATAAGGTCTAAACGACAAAATGCTTCCGTGAAGTTTACGTCTAAATATACCTAATGTGTGTATAACTAACTTAAATATTCATTATGGTAAGGGTAAAGTACGCATATCAACATCGGCAGTTGTTGTCTCCCGCTGCTTGATCGTGGCAAGTATCTCTTGTAGATTTGATGGCAATGCTATATCAGCGAGGGGCACTACCGTCGCTGGCGGTGGAGTCATAGGTCGGGATGGGGAATATGCTTCATCCTGTAATGAACAAATGATGTTGTCAGGTCATAGACCATACAGTTTTAGTAACAAAAGTTTAATGATGAAAAACTCATTTTAACAGATAGATTTATATGAATATTTATTATTTATAATTTTTTTTATGTATTAGAGCGATCTACTGTATGAAGAGTCGTGACTCATTAAGAGAGAAATTCAAAGAGGCAAATAATCTCACCATTGCTTCTCAATTTATATATTCAAATATCCTAAATGTTCATAAAAATCTTGACTTATTTCCAAAAAACAGCAATATTCATAATATTAACACTAGATTTAAAGACAAACTTGCTGGGACAGCAAGTATCGTTTAGAAAAAGTTAATAGGTCTTTTATGGGAATAGGTATAAAAATTTACAATAAGATACCAAAGGATATGTTGGAATTTTTAGGCCTATTACTCACTAAACGATTACTTGAATGACGAGTGTGCATGGCAATAGTTGTTCATGCACTGAATTTTCATTTAATGTTAGACAGACGCCTATGCATTGTAAATAAACTGGTTTTAAAAAAAAAAGTAATTCAATTGAGTTTCTTGCCAGTTCTTCTCAATTGGATCTATATACCGAATTGGACGGTAGGGAAAAAAATAAAATTAGAATGTAAAAATTTGACGTTCATAAGCGGCTAAAATATCATGAATAAATGATTTTTGAATTTGAATTATAGTGTAGTTATAGTTCCAATAGGCATGTTTTTTTGACATTATACTTACTTCCCCTACTGACGAATCGGCTTGGGCCATTTTAAGTATTTGTTGTTTCTGTTCTTCAATTTGCCTATTAAGTTCTTCCATTTTACAACGCAGTGTGCTGGAAGTAGGAGGAGGCACTGGCATTTGAGAACTGCTGCCACTACTCGACGATCCCGGGCTGTAAGCTTCTTCGTCGTCTGCCGAAGCTACAAAAATGATAGCTTAGATAGATTATAAAAATACAAAGAGCTATTACATACGGTTGGAAAAATAACAAGCATATAAGTAAAATTATTTCAGCATTTAGAAATATTATAATTAAGTCCAGAAAAGATCAAGATTTCTAGAAACCCTATTTTCTGGATTGTTTCTTAAATATTAATTATTACCTACTGATGTAAATTATAACTACAACAAAAAATAATTAAGAAGAATTTAACACCATATTTATTTATATACATCTGGATAGCCTAGACGTCAAAGAAGAGCCTATTTTTGCGGTCTAATGATTATGAGGTTACATTGTTTAGTCGAAATTGTTACATACCCAAAGATGCAGCTATTTTGTCCTTCACTGAAGTAGAGAGCGCTGGCGAAGTGTATGTTGGTAGAGGGAGAGGACGCCGTCGCGGTGACGTCGGAGGCGTGTAAGTGCTCCTGCTTACTAACGGCGGCGTGTAGGAACGTTTACGAGACTCGCGTACTAACTGTAAACAACGTAATACAACATGTTATACATTTTTACGTAACATATTTACATAAGCCATAACATATTATTTTTATGTAGCTAGCCGAGATTGAATTTTAATAGTGATTTCGCAGTGAGACCGTACACGGATTAGATACATATTGATCGGCTGATTATATTGTATTTCAATTTATGTACGTACCCAGGACAATAACTTTAAAAAAGCATGGCTTTTAAGTAGTTTAGTTACCGTACCCTTGCTTAGTCCTGGCTTTAACTAACAGCAATATATTTCAGTCTGGGACGACTGAGCTTCTTTGTAGTGCTTAAGTAAGTTTACAAAATTGTAAGATGAGCGATTACATAAAAATTAAAATTAATATTCAGCAGCATAACTTTTTTTTGCTAAAAAGCATTGTAATCACGTCAGCATAATGAAGAACTATTAAAATAGGTCCATTCTTGAGCGAGCTACGATGCCAGACAGGTCAAACTTCGAGGGTTAATAGTAAACATTTTAATGTTATATAGATGCAAAACATCAATAAAAGTAATTTAGTAAAACTACAGAAATCAAGCTTTCTTTCTAATGATTTTATTACAATAGTCTAATAAGGTTCTAGTAATTATGTTTATGACATAACTATAGGTAGATACTACAGATCATGTGACAATAGCTATATTTTTGCTAGTTATCCTGGCTGTTATTTTAGGTACGATCATAATTTCTGTTGCAAAATTTATTTTTTCAGCCATTATTTTTTTTATATTTTATTAAATGCGCATTATTACATATAAGCAACAAAATTAAATACGAAATGTTTAAAAAAATAACTTTATTTTTATACATTATCTTGTTACACTATTGACTAACCTTTGCTGGAACAATATCTTTAGGAATATGAGTAGCCGGACGCTTTTTTCTTTGCCGAATCACTATTGCAATGAGAAGATGCATTTTTGCTTCTCCAAGTCCAGGCCCTTCAAGGGGTAGTAATACAGGCGGTAAAGTGGTGTTCGCAGGTAAAGGAACAATATAGAAATCTTTTACTGATGTCGTACTAGACACCTTCACCACACCCAACCTATAAACAGAATCATTATTATATAACGTCTTAAAACACTTTGGTTCCTAATTACAATTAAACTTCGTTATATTACATGATATATTTATAAATAGTAATTTCATTGCGATCCAGTTCAGCTGTTATATCTTAATTAAATTAAAGTTTCGTGTGTGATAGACTTATGTATATAAAGCATTTTCTTTGTAATGTCAGCTATCATTACACTAATGTTCTCAAGTTCATTATATTAGCTTTAGCTAATTGTAATAATTACATTTGAAAGATATAAACAGTATTTGCCATTCTCTTATATGAACTACCTAAATTGTAATCAGAATAATAAAAAGGTCGGGTAGAAGGATAAGGCAAAAAAAAAAAAACTCGGATAGGATTTAATAAAATAATAATTTTTTCTTGATTAGCAATTAAAATACTATAATTATTATTATAATATATTGAAATTATTATAATAATTATTACGTCATATGAACATAATACCAACCTATTGCGACTACTAAGATAGCTATAAAGTGCAATATATTGCATTTTTTCCTCGTCATTTGCAGCCTGAAGTTTTAAGATAACAATATCTTTATTACTAGCTCTCTTCATTTTTCCGATATAATCCCAAACAGTATCTGGATTTATTCTTCCAACGATGTCCAATTCCGTGTTCAGATCTTCTTCTAAATCTTGACCGCTTCCCGAAACCTATATATATATAAATATTAACATAATATTGAACGTATCTGATATTTGGAATAACTGAAAAAATTGTGACAATTTTACTTCAGATTTATAGCATAAATCTCTACATAGGTACCTATCTCAATCGTGATCGTACTGATTTTTCAACAGATTCCATATAACATCAGATGGATCATAAGCTTATTAACCATTCCAAATGTTGACGAATGTAAACTTATTGAATAGAATATGACGTTGTATTTTTTGATATAGACTTTTTACTAAAGGATTTTGTTTGTATTTTGGATTACTTTTTGTGTTATAATGTGTGTGGATATGTAGTTTTATGCTTTAATTTATTTTAATATGGCCCTTATAGCCCTGGCCACGTCAGGTTAATTGGTACCAATTTCATGGGGCATTATTAGACCACTACATAATAACCGGACAAAAATAGCAACTGTTTAATATTTTCACTCGAAATTTAGGATATTGAAGTCTCGTATTTAAATCTCGTAAATTTCGAGTGATACGATGTTAGAAAAGATTTGAATTGTCCATAAATCTTCACTAAACAAGTATTAATACTAATATTTACTAAATAAAAAATGTATTTCTAAAACCAGATAATAACCTCGTGCGCCGCTACATAAAACCTAGCCACATCTACCATATTAATACAGCCATTCCATACAATCGCTGAGGTACTGCTCGGCTCCTGATCGCTTTCTGCCTCTGTCAAAAGGTAAAGATACAATATAAGTTCACTTGCCAAACCACTATTACAATTAATACATTACATTAAACCTGATTGATAAAGAAAATCATACCTGATATTCTGTCTTGTTTTCCCAATTGTTTTGCAGTTGGTAATGTAATATTTGTATCAATGGAGAATGTTTTAGTAGGGTCAAAATCACCACCAAAATCATCAATGTCATTTTTGAAGCTGTTTTCAAAAACATCTTCTCTTGACTTTCTCAAATCTTCATCAGAAAATGCAGAAGTGATCATAGGTTCATGTGGATCATACTCAGGATGTGACTCTTTTAACATTGCCGACTTTGGCCGCTCAACTGAATCTGAGTCAGTAGAACTGAAATACATGAAATATGATACACTTGTATGTATATATAAATATAATAATATATATTGTGTTTTTACAACTGGTTATATTTAGTATGACTGTTTTTATAGATACTAGACAGGTGAGACAGACACAAAGTAATATAAATACATAACCCATAACTTATTCTAGAAATTTATTTAATTATTTTTATAACAACATGCAAGAACAGCATAATAAATGTATTTTTGATCTTTCTTAAATATTATTTCATATAAATAAATGTCACAGAAAATAGAGAATATTTATTGTTGCCTTAGGCAAGCCAACAATAAACCCACTGCATCTGGTTGATTCAGTATGATTACCTTGTATACACAGGGTAACTCAAAACAGGAATAATAACATCTTTACATTAATTCCAAAGAACTTTAATTAGTCATAGAGATCTTTTAAAATACTTTGTAACACTAAACATGATTATAGTAAATATTTTTATTATAAATTATAAATAGATAATGTAAACATGCGTGTACACATCACCAAACATTTATAACCTTGGTATAACATGGTACACTTAAAACTTTAATCTTATTGCATCACAGATGAAATCACCATTTTGCTGTGGACTACCAAAAACTCGAAGTACGCTATTTAAAATTTTACTCACTCGTTTTTATTTTTGCTAGATGTATTTTCTTGTGATCTAGAACGTTGCTTGAACTTTTCATCAATGCTGTTCGAGCGTTTAGACCTAGAACTACGTCTCCTTCTACTGCTCACAGAAGGCGAACGCCGCCTCGAGCGAGTTCGTGACCGTGATGTTTCCTCATCTCTGCCTTTTGACTTTGATCTTGAATGTTCTCGGGATTTTGATCGCTGCTTAGATTTTGCTCTTGACTGAGATCTATGTCTCGATCTTTCGGAATCCGATTTTTCTTTGGTTTCAATATTTGATCTATCCTTCGAGTCAGATTTTGTTCTTTTACTCTTTCTTTTATCCGATCTACGGGTGGACCTGCTGTCGTCATGAGACTCTTTGCTTTTTTCATCCAATGCTCTTTTACGGGTTTGAGATTTTCTCTTTTCTGAATCTCGTTTAGATTCTCGATTGCTCTTTTTAGTATGACTAGAGCTTTTATCGTCTCTTCCCTTTTTTCTTCCGTATTTTTTTTCCTTCTTGACAGTATTTCTAAAATATATACAAAATATCATGTAAATAAATGCAATGTTTATAAATATAGCCATTTATCCATTATATACTCCTAACAATTATATACTTACGGTTCCTGAGAAATTTCATTTAGAACATCTTCACCAACAGTTTTATCATTTAAAACTGCCACTACATCCTCCACAGGTACATTTGGGTCAAGTTCTGTAGATACAGATTCCTTAGTTTCCATTACCTTAAATGAAATATACAATAATTCATATTGAGTCACATGAATAAAATTTAAAGTCTAGGTAATAACACCTGATTAATTTTATATTTTATGTTTTAAATAAAGTGAACGGTTATAAGGGCCGAGGTACCCTGAAATAGCGATGGATGGACTGTGTGAAAGATCATATGACAAGAAAGGCAGTGAATAAAGAGATGACTGCGAACAAGAATCAATAGAAGAGAAAAACATATTACGCCGACGCTAAATGAATGGGAAGAACCAGACGATGAATATTTAAAATACAATATTCACCAATGTGTATTAAAAATTTGAGGAAGGAGGAAATATTCAAATAATTTACAAGAATAACGCAATTGTATATTTACCTCTTCACCTTTATGTGTTTTTAAGACATAGGTTTTATTGGCTGCTAAAAGATCTAACTCTGATTTCTTTATCAACTCCAGTTGATGTTTAGCTTCTTGATCTCTCCATTCAGCTAATTCCTGACTTGCTAATTCTTCAGGGGACAGTCTCACCTTTACAAGTAAAAATTTTAATTATTAATAATATTGATATTAATTATTTGCTACAGTAATATAAAAAAAAAGACATTTCACCTTACCAATTCTTTGGGTGTAATAACTCGGTCACAAATTTTCTGCCACAGGGATAGATTCTTGCGATCTTTAATATTGAACATTAAAGATCTATACTTGGCTTTATATTTCATTCCCACATCTTTGAATAGTTCATGCAATTCATCTTCAGTATCATACACAAACTGTTGTATTTCTTCTTCACTAAATCTAGGTCCGTCATGTTCCGCCATACGTGATGTCATTTGCTCCTGCAATGCTTTCCGCACATTCTCACGTATTGGTTCAGGAGAATTCATTTTATGTTTATTATCGCCAGCGTCTTTTCTGCGTGATGTGGACGGTGAAACTGAAGATACCTATAACGTAATAATTATCGTAAATATGCCAAACACTGTGAGTAATCAAAATGCAAACATTTCCAAGGTTACGGTGATAACATAAGGATTGTTTTGGCAAAGTTTCCATTAGCTTTTATGGACATAGATTTGTTACTTGGACAGGAAAATTAATTACGTGACCTGTATATTGATTTGACTCGACATGTCCATTTGAAGATACTATAAGTTCAAACACATTAATACTATAATATTATATATTATTATTATTGATAGAATTTTATCTGTAAAAAATTGTACATTAGAATGGTACATTAATAACTCTAACAGACAAACCAATACATGAGTACATTATTTAATTTTAATATTTCTCCGATTAGTACTTTATATTGAATATCGTATAAAAATAAAGCTTTCCATATCATAGATTGCTTATTAAATCCTATTCTTACCTTATCCTGAGTTGATTGAGATCTATTTAAACTTCCACGAACCAATTTACGTGGCTCGTGCGTAGTTTTGGCGAAAGAGGTGCTTGGTTTTGGTGTGTCGGTGTATTGAGAAGCTTGTGGTCGAGGAGTCACAGGCGTTTTAGGTTGAGAGACAATCTTTGAATCTTCTCTTGTTGGAGTAACATTTTTAGGTGTTTTTTCTTTATTTTCAACCTGCTGACTCTTAGCAGGTTGCGATTGTTCAACGTTTTTTCGGGGGATTTTCTCAAAATTGAGAGTAGTCTGTATTTTATGTGGTTCATTGGAAAGCTTGCGTTTGGATATATTAGGTTTAATGGCACTTAAAGTTCCAGGGCGTACAACTTCAAATGTGGGATTCTTTTGCAACCAGGCCTTTAAATTTTCTGCTGTAGGAGCATTTGGTCCAGCCAATATCCTTCCAGTTTTACGTTCGTAGACTATAACCTGCAAAAGAATTCTTGAATTCAATAGAATACACTTACCACCATATTAGTATTAACGTTAAAATGGGAAGACCTGATAACAGTTATTATCAATTTCTTAAATTCATATAATGCAATAATAAACAAAACAACACAGGACAGCTCTCACAGCGCCACCTAGTCGGCGGTAGTAGCGCCGCCTTTTGTAATGGGTACTACACAAATCGTACAAATACTTACATACATTTTATTTATAAATACATAGATAATATATATAGAAAACAACCAGACCGGTAAAAACAATTACACTTATAATACAAAAATGTTTGCACCGTACGAGAAACCGAACCGGCGGCCAGCGAAAGCACAGAGGTGTGCTAAACCGCTAAACCACTGACGCCAATTTTATTGCTAGTGATACTTACCCTGGAGTCCGCCTTTTGTTTCTCCTGCAATTTTCCTTGTTGCCCCTCAGTTTTACTAGAACTACTCGGAGTTGCCAGAGAGTCCTGTGCATGTTTTAGAATGCATGAATCGCTACAGTAAATACTACTAGCACGGGCAGATTTCTTGCACACTATGCAAATGGTTTTAGATAAAGATTCCTTGATGACAGGCGGTGGAATTGCCGTACCTTCATTAACAGTTTTTTTCACAACCTGAATGATTAGTATTGTATTCAAAATTAACATTTCTGTACAAATAAGTCGTCGTTTATACAATATTTATGTAAAGATGGTAGGTTTACAATTATTTCCTTATTTGCTTTGTTTTATATTATTACTATACATTCATCATAAAGGATAACCTAAATCAAACCGGAAGCCAGCTATAGTAATAATTCCGGGAAAATGAATAATTTACCGAATGAAGTTAGTAAACAAAGTGAAAATAAATTAAAATTTCTATACAAATTGTGTGGTAAAGTGATAAATTTAATATGAATGTTTAATAATGTACATTTCCAGATTTCTTTTCATGTTTGTGACAGTTGTTATTTTCATGAATATTCCGACTTTTTTCGGTTTTCGGCTTCGTGCCCTTTACAACTACATATATATTATAATACATATAAGAAACTGCTAAAGTGACATAAACGGCATTAAAGAAATAAATAAGTTGGTTTTTATGTTCTTTACAAGATTACTAATCTAAAGATGAGGGCTGTATTTACGATTTATTACATAGTATAAACACAACACCATTCTCCAAGATGTCATACAAGTGGACTAAGGAAATAAAAAACCGAACTATTATAAATGTTCCGTTTTAGCTTTTTGAATAGAAGACTCGATTACATCTAATTAAATTTACAGAAATAAAATTTTACAAAAATAGAGTATAAATAATCCATGCCTTAAAGTACCTAAAGATTTCATATAAAATTCATTTAGAATTTCATTAATTGTCATATTAGCATTTCTTTAATTGTTAATATGACAATTACAGATCATCATCTAAAAAGATAAAATAGGAATGAAAAGATGTAAAATTTATTATTACACCAATAATTTTTTTTTATAAAATGATTAAAAGCTAACTATGAATTTTCATCATTTCTAAAATTCTAATTCCTTCTAGATATACATAGTAAAAATAGGTACCACTTAATATTAGAATAAACTATAGATATTTCAATATTCAGTAGCTTTTATAATTTACTTACCTTGGTGGCAGCTTTAGCTGATGGTTTCGATTTTTTCACACAATTAGGACATCTCCATTCAATACCTTGTTCTTCCATTTGTTGGCCCATAGTTTTTGTTATATTAACACATTTACCATGGAACCAATCTTCACAACCATCACAACATATCATAAAACGATTATTATGTGGCTGTCTACATATGCACCATAACCTATATATAGAATAAATTGTACAAATAATATATCACTATATAATTACATTTTTTATGCAACAACTTGAATGTTAATATTACAAAGTAGTCAACCATTATAAATGACTATATTTCATGTAGTCATGAATTTTTATTGGCTATATCACATACTGACTTCAAACATGATAAAAAGTGTAGATAAACTGCCTCATCTTTCAGATTGTCTCTAGTTTAACCTCACAACTCAACTACTTCATTAGGTCAAACAAAGGCTACAATTTTCATTTGAAATAAATTAAAACTATTTACAACATTTATATTACATATAGATCATTTGACAGTCACAATTGAGAACTGTACAACTGAGCTTTTATCAATTAAACTAAATAGTTAATCAAATCTATAATTTTAATGTGTTACAATTAAGAATTAGAATAATTAACATAATAAAGCAGTAGTTGTGGACAAGCAACAAATAATGAATGCAAGGATGGTAGGTATCTAAAAAAATAAGGTTACAAAAGTAAAAAAATGAGAAGCTTTGACTTTGATTCATCCATCACATCCAATGCCAGATATAAGTATACTGAATTTAGTAGATTTTGAACAGATGTATAGCAAATTTAAGTACCTGTTAGGATCATCTTCTGAATTCCAGCTTTCTTGTGATTCTGCTGAGATTTTATCAACAATTGGAGTTGTTGTTGGCGGTTCTTGTTTCTTATTTAAAAGCTTTTTATTTATATACTGTTTAGAGACAGCTTGCACTTGCGGTTCAGGTGTTGTAGCCACAGGAGTTGGTGTAACTGGTATAGAGGTTGACAATCCATCAGGAGTGGCTGTAGTTTCTATTTGACTTTTTCGTTTAGATGATCTAGTAGCTGGTGCCTCAATAGGTGGCAAAGTAATCACACGACCATCTTTTCTAACAATTTCAATCGGATCTTTACGAACTGCAGGACTCTTCACAGATTTAGAGACAGTTTGTATATAAGGTGTAGTTGATGTGTGTGCCTGTTGAAATGGTGTTTGTACTGGTCCTTTAGGATTGCCATCTACTTTCCCTAAAACTTGTTTGTCTATAACCTCTTGCAAATTTTCTGAACTTTCTACCAACTGTGCAACATGCATCAACAAGTCCTCAGTTAGGCCTTCTTCCTCTGGCTGCAAACCCCCTAATAAATCTAATGTTGGCGACAATGGCCCAGCCAACCCAGGACTACTAAGAGTATTTGTGGTAGTAGTTACATTTGGTTGAATTTTCACTGGATTAGCAATAGTTGTTGTGTCTTGCAATATTTGTGCTAAACTAGCATCATCTAGCTGTGGTATTAAATCATACCCCTTTGAAACTTTTTCAGGAGGATTTATTATCTTGTCTTTTTGTTTAGAATAAGTTCTGTGTGACATGGTAATCTTAGATTTATCTACATTGTCAACAGATTTAGCATCTAATTTTCCTTCAATTATATCTACTGGTTTATTAGAAGTAGTAGTTATCTTTTTACTATCACCAGGCAAAGTCTCTTTATCAGTGGGTTTTGCTGGAAATTTACCATCTGTTGACACTCTTCGTATTACATCTGGTGTTGAAAACAATGATGTCATATCACTTAATAAAGCTGTAACATGAGCTGGTGTTTTCTTTTCTTTTTTAAGCAATTTAGGAGTAGCTTTGGAAACATTCTTATTGAGATCATTAGTTGTAGAAGAAGATAGTGATATTTCAGATGTAGGAATAAGACTTTCAATATCAATTTCATGTTGTTTCTTTTCCAAGACATTTTTCTGCTGAGTTTTTTCTTTATTTTCTTTTCTTAGTAGAGTTTTATTGGCCTTTAGTCTAGATGATAATTTTGGATCTACCTTAGCAGACTTAGTAGGATTAACACTTTTGAGAATTCTTGGTTTCAATTTATTCCTTTTTATTTTCTGAGAAGATACCCTATCTCTGACATCTTTATAATCAGAGTCGGAGTCTCTATCAGGAATACTATCTCCAGATGAACTTATTGATGATGATTCAATACTTTCTTCAGTCTTTCGGATAACATCTGTAGCTTTTCCTTGATCATTAACATGCTTCAATTTTGATAAGACTGTTAATGGCTTATTTAGTACATCACTGCCCTTTAATATTACTGAAGCATCAGAAGGATTTATTAAAATCTTTTTACCTTTAGGAATAATTTGCTGTTCTAGTATAGTAATTTTCTTTGTACTCGGCACAGGTTTTGGTGGTGGTGTATTTATTATTTCAATTTGTGGTTCATCATAACCCATGAAATTATCAATTCTTTGTTGTGGCAATGTTTGACTAGGGGAGGTGAGTGTGGTATAACAATGATCATTTTGGAAACCCACTAAACTATTTTCTCTTGTTTCTATTCTCAGTGACTGTAGCATTTCAGCACCACTGTCTGTAAAAAATATATATACAGTATAAGCATATTATTTAATAATATTTAAAATTAAATAAGGGAACTACATTTGTTTTACTTACCATATTTTATTATACTGTTGGGCTCATTATAATAACTGTCCACAGAGAGTGTGACATGAGGCACTTTATCATCATCCGATTCAGAATCAGTAGCATCATCAGGCCTACCCTCATGGCCAACTCTTACCACACTTATACCAGCTCCTTGTGAACCATCACTGCCTACAAATACAGTTATTCAATATTATTTACATACATCTATCATAGTATTTACTAGCTGCGACTTTGTCCAAGTGAAATTTAACTTTAATTTATTTTATAATAAGATTTAATTTAATTTTAATTTATTTTCTAAAATAAAAATAGCCTAAGTTATTCCTTATTACATCAGCTACCTGCCAATAAAAGTCCCTTCAAAATCGGTCCTGGCCGGACCGAGATTAGAACAAACTGACCAAAATTGTAAAAAATGTTATTTTATTTATATTCATATGCATGTAATAAGTAATGGTTATTTCAATATAACAGACACTCCAACATTTATTTATATGTATAGATAAACAATTTTAATATGTTTTTGCTAATATCAATATACTTGAGATGAATATTATTAAAGTCAGGTTTAACAGATTCACTTGCTTTGTTGCAAGTGAGTCTGTTAAACCTAAGAGACTCCTAAATGTTTTGGCGGAAAAAAATACTTGCCAATAGAAAACACTGGATCATTAAAATCATGTTGAAAACTACATGCGATAAAATTCTCCACTATAGCTTACTTGACATATAATGAAAAATGTAAATACTAAATATTAGTAAACAAGACGAACAATATAGATGAATATACATTTTTGTATCTTGTCGGTTAATGTAGGTATCTTGTCGTTAAAAATATTAGGCACATTGTGCATTGATACAATATTATAAAAGAAAAAATAAAGCAGAATATTATAAATATATAAATAAGTACTTAAATCTCACCCATGAGAGTTCCAAGCAAGTTCTGATCAACAGAAAGTGATCCATCCTTGTTTACAATAACAACAACAGAACTATCCGCCTTTGTAGATGGTCCATTGAGGTCTGTGTAATTAGTTATCACTGTGTTTGACATTTTTAATACAATATCTTGCAACTAGTTCACTGTAAGTCCTCTATTTTTAGCCATTATAGACACATACGATTTGATTCTATTTATGACGCATTCTACCGTAGGACGCCCGACGCCATTTTGCAATCAACTTGAACCGTGGTTGTTACCGCGCCGTGTACAGAACAGAAATATTATTATAACACTTGAAAACCACTTTGTTGAAACATTCTTATATGTTTATTATGCAGTAATATGACAAAATAGACTCTGAAGATTAAAATATTTCGTTAATATTTTATAAAATTTGACAAAACGCGAATAAACTTAACAATTTATATTGTCAATGGAATAAGTGTTGCCAAATCTAAAATTTGTAATAGGTTTGCCAATTTTGAGACTTCGTGCTGTTTATGAAGAAGAAAGAGAGAAGAACGATATAATAATATGACAATATGGCAATCCAAATCTAAAATATTCATATATTAATATAGAGACATAAAACACTAAGAACTAAAATTTATAAAAGTGTTGAACACAAATTCCCACAAATGTAGTTGAATGTAAACTCGTCGTCTACTTTGCTGTAATTCTAAAACTATGAACATAAGGAATATTATTTCTAGTGTAACAATAACATTGTAGAGTGTGTAGAAATTCATGGTATATTTTTTGTTTGATTAAGTAATTTTTATTTAACATATTTTAAAAGTTAATAATTTTAATAAATCATTGAAAAATATTGGCACTCATAAAATTATGAATTTATTTTCATGGAAATACTTTTAACACAAATGGAAATTTAACAACAATCTTGAGAAATTAAAGTAATTTATATTTAAAGCACTTCAAGGCATCAAATTTTAAACAAAAACTGAACGAAATCCTGTCGGGCACTTGAAAACCAAAACATTTTTTTGCACCTCTTTCTTGTCATGTATCCATATTCTAAAGCGTCTCGTAATGTGAAATACTTATTGTACGTATTGTTTGTAATAACAACTGATATTTAATTGAAAAACTAATAATATTATTAAAATAGTTTTTGCTTATATCAGTAACTATAAATATAAGAGAATTTAACTTTTTAATTTTTCCCGGTTAAAAGCTAACAGGCCAGAGACAACCTTACGTTCACCCTATTACCACAGATAACATAATATTACATACTATTACTAAACAATTCTTAAACAGTTCACCTAATTTGACGTCATAGTACGATTTTAAGTAGGACCGTTTAAGGCCTGCTATTGAACTGCCCTGCGTAAGGATTGTTTCTTATTCGGTCATAGTAGCCTTCCTGCACATTATATTATTACACTTCTCAATGACAACACGTTTTTATTCAATAATAAGCTGTTGAAAAATCGAAGCTAATGTAAATGTGTTATTTTATATAAGGAACCTACAGGCTAAAAAATAAGATTGTAGGGAAACAAATAAACAACAAATTATTATTCATTATAAAATCAATGAACACAGGTACAATCAATGAACAAATCAATCAGAAAATCGTTGTTTTATATAGAATGTCCTACATTGCAGATCTTGTGGAAGCTGTCAATGTCAAATTAGAGAGTATTTATGATCTACACGACTTGCGTGTGTGATGTCAACAATTTTAAGGTTAACTTCTGAAAACCTTATCGTCCACGAATTTTTAACTTACATTAATTTATTGCAGAAATTCTAACATTGTGAGATAAAATGAGTTATTCAAAATTTGACTTAACTTTTAAGATAGGTCAATATCTAGACCGCCACCTCGTGTTTCCTTTGTTGGAGTTTTTAGCAGCAAAAGAGGTAACAAAAATTTGGACATCAGCGGCTATAACGTTTAAGTACCATTATTTATGACATATTTTTGTTAGAAAATTTTTCGTTTAGTTTTAATGTTTTTTTAAGCTTTCATTGTATTTCAAAATAATTAAATGTACTACTCTAATCTACTACTACTACTGTACTACAAATCCATGTCTAGTACTTTTTAACCCTTTTTGAATTGTGATTTCTAGACATATGACCAATCAGAACTACTGCAAGCAAAACTGGAAATTTTAAGCAAAACTAATATGATTGATTATGTTATTGATATACGTGGCATGCTATATCCTGAAGAAGATACACCTGAGGTAAAAATGTTGTCCGTAAAATTATGACATATTATTGGTATAATTTGTTGACTATAAAATTCTATTGTTAGTATATAATACTGAAATATTTTTTGGGACCAATTAAGCTGTTTACATTTTAATGTAATAATTAATTAATGGCTGCAAAACTTACAAAATGAGAAATAATGGATCAATTCAATGTAATATTGAATATTTATAATAATATACATTTTATAGCCCAATGTACTAAGTCTGTATATATATATATATATATAAATTAAGTCAATCTTACATAGGTCTTTCAATCACACAACTGTCATAAATATCTTTATCTAAAAAAATTATGTGTCCCATTGTTTGACCGCGATGGACTCCTAAAGTACTGAACTGATAGCATATTTGATTTGCACATTGCATGCAATTTCATCCAAATTGAAATATAGAATAGACTATATCTCAATTTATATTTGCAATATTATTTTATTCAAGAACCTTAGCCACAGCAATGCATGGCCGGGTCTGATATACGTTATCAACTATATTCATATTAAATTTAATTCTATTTAGCAATTTTCAATGTAACGATAACCAATAGATAAACAGATATATACATACTTAGGATCTTTCAAGTCAAGAGTGAATAGACACTATTTTCAGGTTGCATATAACAGCTTAGACCGCATGATCAGGTGTGATTATGGTCAAACATGCTCAAATTTAGTAATAAGAAATTATAATATTCATAATGTATTAATAAATCTTTGACAATAATTTAAACAGACATGCATAAATCTTTGACAATAACTTAAACACACGAAACTGTTCGGTATAATGGATGAGTGGAATAATAGTTTTGTGAAGATTGTTGGCTCTTAGAAAAAATTTAAAGTTTCTCTAAGAGCCAACAATCCTCAGCTCTAACTTAAATAATTAGTTAGTACTGTTACTGAAAATAAATTGGTATCAATAATTTATATGATAATTCAAAAGGACATCAAATCACGCAGAGGAGTAGTTCTATCCCAGCTTCAAGTGCTACAGGATGCAGTTGAGCCAGTGCTAAGGCTTATGCAAAGAGATGATGTCATGAAAACTGTTGAAACTATGAGAGATCCCAAAACTCTCATTAACTACTTGACAACAAATAAGGAATTTGAGGTATGTGCATGTAGAAATAAAATTAGTTAAGTATATGGAGTTACTTATATTTATAACTTACTATTTCTTGCAGCATTGCTATTGACTTTTGATGTTATTATATCAAAATTATAAATCACATTATTTTTAATTTAAATTTGAATCCCCAATATTGAATGTTTTGATTCACATTGAAAAAATGTATATACAATTGTCATCAATCTAATTTTATATGAATTGGTCATAGAACAACTGAAACTCAGAAACTTGGTTATATTTCAATTATTATTATAATTATTGCAGCCTAAGAAAACTTTGTGACCAAGTTGTTACCTACCCTCAATTACAGACTGTAAATTTGAATATAGACTGTTTAAAACAACATTATTTTCTTGTGTGTCAAATTAGACTTTACATACAATTTGTGGTGATGTAAACACTGTTAATATACCAAATTAATATCAAAGACTGTGGCAAGTTTGTGCCCTACTATTGTACAAAAAATATACTCAACTAAATATGAGCATGTAAAACATTACATTCGCAATAACATCAACAACCATTGTCAATACCTCGGCAAAGATATATCACTCTCTACCCCATGTGGGAACACAGTCTGGTCTTTTATTCTGGTATAATATAAATTTAAATATTCTTGTGATTTCAGTTCAAGATTGAAATGATAGACAGTATGTATTGTCTAGCAAAGTACAGATATGAGTGTGGTAACTATGTTGAGTCTGCATCATATTTATATTTCTGCCAATTAGTGATGTCACCGACAGATAAGGTGAGAATTAAATACCAACAATATAATTTATATCATATAAAATTTATGAGGACTTAGTCCATAATCTTGGTTGCAAGCATTCAGACATTTATTTATTAAGATGTATATATATATCTCTAGGGCGGACCTAAAATGGTATTTTAAATATTTTTACTTGTATAGCATTATTTTGTGAATGAAATTAAAAGGATGCCTGCAAATTCATCAAGAACCACAATTGTTAGTATTAGGGAATACTGGCCTCTGGAATAATGTTGCAAATACAAATATCTACGATAAATATAAACCTGACCCAGACGAAGTAACGTTTCCTACAAATTGAAATGCACATTAGTGTTTTAAATGTTTTTATTTCTTTATTAGCGAAATAACAAATTAGATATTTTAGTATTCAATTCTTCTAACGTCTTCATTTTGCACGTTGTAGCTATTTGGATATTCGTTGTAGTTTATCTGTAAAATAAATCCTTTTTAAAGATAAATCCAAAAATAATAAACATCATAAATGTAATTGAATACATACAATATTACAGTACTGCATTCCTGTACCACATTGAGGATGGCATTGAGCTTTGTGAATTTGAAGTGATGGTATAGAGGAGAGACACTGCCCACAAATTTCGCACTGGTAAACTATTGAATCGGAATTAGAGTGCCCTTCGCTTTTTGCGGTGAAATGTCCAATTTTGTATCTATAAGAATAAAATAAATACTTTTTATATAATACCTAAGTTGTTCAAATAAATTGTAGGTGCCAATTTTGCAAATAATTTCAATGACCTATGATCCATTGAAGTCGCAAATTAAAAATAGTCCTTTTTTTGGCAGCACGTAATTAAGCCCAATCTGGATTTGAACTTGTTTTCAACTAGCTTCGCCTCAATCTCCTAACAGTAAATGCACAAAAACCCAATACTTAGCTTTTTCCATGAGTATATTGAATACAATATAGATAATTTTTGGAAAAAGCATATCTACCGACTCAATTATAGCCCATTCACACTTAATAGAAGTCCATTTCTCCCACTACAACTGCCTTTCAGTTCTTCTAGTACGTTCTGTCACAATCTGGCAGTATATTCAGATATACTGAATTTTCAGCACGATCTCAAACTCACTGTCGAAATAATTCGCTAACTAAGGTACCATCATTATCAAAATAGCGTTGATCTGAATATTGTTAGGATGGCATGAGGAGATGTCAGTAAAACATACGTATTGAAATTAGAAGGAGCACAGAGAGCCCATCTCGAGGTGTGTACATACACCATGTGTGTGTACATTTAAGCTCATAATATTGCCCGCCTTTATCAATATTGCCAGGTAGGTACTCACAGTTCGCCAACTTTTTATATTATGTACTACCTTCAAACAACATCTTGTTACCGCCCTTAACGCACTCATCTCTTCATATCGCCATAAACTATCTGTCGTTAACATATCTCTATTACAAACTCGATTCTCCCATCATCATCCATCTTCATCCTATTAATTCTTCTTAGGTCCATTCCTCTATAATCTGCATCGCAAGTTGAATATTTTTCAACTACCAAGCTTCCAATATAATCTCAAATTGAATAATTACTACTCTTAAACACAAACACATAAACCCACACGCACAATATTACCTACTACATGTATGTATATACTATACTTAGATGTTTCCGTAATCTTATTGTATAAAATAAATCCATATAGAACCGCACACGATGATTGTTATTGTTATTACTGGTCTACTGAGATACGGACGTAGAGTCTAGTTCAGTACCCAGACTAGTATAATCACAAATTGTTTATAAAAATGATAACTTAAAACCTGTATATGATTGTGGCTGAATAAATTTATTATTATTATTTTACCTGTGATTGTATAATTGATCATAATTTCTAAATTTTCGATCGCAGGCATTACATAGTAGTAATTTTGGCAAGGAAAAAGTGTAACACATTTTTAGCCAAGGACATAATAGCCAATGTTCCTCAGCAGTCTTATAGTAGAAGAATGTTGCCTCGCAAGCATTACATTCATAGTTGTTAATTGTAGTATGCATTTTAGAATGTCGCAATAATCTTGGTATACTAGTAAATACCTTCTCACAAAATTCACATTGTAACAATGATGAGGTTTTTATTTCGCGGACACAATCGACACTGTCCGACTTGCAACATTGACTGGAATGTCTCAAAGCTAGGTCTTGTCTAGGCCACACTTGGAAACATTCTATACAAGTCCACACAATTTGCCATCGTGGCTGTATTTCTGTCATTGAATGCCTCATAGAGTAGTGTCTCTTTAAACCAGTTTCATAGACAAAACATTTTCCACAAGAGTTACAAGGATAAGATCTCAATGGTTTTGGACAAACAATATCCAATATTTCTCTTTTCTTTGTATACGTTAAAGTTCTGTTTAACATGTGAATATTTTCCATTATACGGGCGTTATTTTCTTTCACCTTCTCGAGGCTATATTCTAAAGGACTTTTATCTCCATCAATATTATCAGATTCTATCACTTCATTATGATTTATTGCTTTTGTTTGATCCTTGTTAAATAACAATGATGGCGTTTTTACTCTTATTTCATATTGTCCTTCACATGAACTATAGATGTCAGTACGCTGATTCATATTTGATTTAATATTTACATTGTTTATTGGCCCTAAAAGCTTTCCATCATTTCTCATCATTTCATTTATCATCTCGTTACGAGGATTTGCATCTTCGCCATTACTACGTGTATCATTAAATACTTTCAGTAATTGATTGCCTACTTCTTGGGCACAAGAATCTAAATCCATATTGCTAACGTCGTCTTCCGATACAATCTTTATGATCAATCGTGATAATGACTTCTCAGTAGCTTTTTCTTTCTGTTGTGGTTTTCCATCTAACCATTCACCGTACTGTGCGATACACAAGTCATTGTCTTCATCTTCAATCATCATCTGCAATGATTTAAAATAGATTCCTGTTTCGAATTTACGAATAGTTATTTTAGATGACATATTTATAAACACTAGCAAAAACGTTTAGCAGCTATTGTGTTTCTCTTGTCATTAAATTTTATTTTTTCTCAGCAGATATTGACACTGACAGACGTAAATTAATAACATACCTATTCGAGAAGTTTTAATTTAAATAATTGACTTGTATTTTAGTGATGTTTTATATAGATTATTGACTTATTAGTTTCGGTAGTTAAAATAATTTAGTACTCATATTAACACTTAATGCATATAAACCACTATCTATTTAGGAAAACATTTTTCGAGAATTACTGAAACACATCATCACAAAAACATCTCTTCATAAATTAACTTTGAAATGTTGAATGATTTTTTTATTATCATAAATTTAAAATATCGTGTGATATTTTACTTACATTTAGGTCAAATTCTTACTTTTAGGTCTCTTTTAAAGGAATACTTCTATTTATCAGTATACCGATACTTTATCCATACAATAAGACTCGACAACTGTTACTTTTATTGCCTCTAGTTTAATTAATAGCGTTGTAGCATTTGTAGCTGTTTACAAAATCGACAATAATTTTGTTGTTCGTTTTGTGACCTCGTCCTGTACTCCAGTAGGTCACGACTTCAGAGTTTAGTGTTTGGCAAGCTGCTTGGCGGATACGATAATAAGAAAGACAAACTCTGTAAAAAATTTTAATATTTTAAAAAATATCGCAACTCCATACATTTTTTGCTTCCAAGTCTAATTGTTAGCTAACTTTATTGCATACGTGTATCGCTGATACTTGCCTAGTACTACTAATTTACAGGATATGAGGCATGAAGTTTTAATTTTATAATATATAGGAATAGCAACGGGTGTGTGTATCACGTACGTCACAAGTAAACGTGATGTCCGTAGTCCGGTTAATGAATTTAGACAACGGTTACCACTTATCATGGGTGGACCTAGGTAATGATCTAGCTCTTAGTGTTATGGAATGTTTCTATAATACTAGGTCACTGTCAAAATTTCCCCCATTGCAATAATTAAAAAAATTTAAAGGATTACTTGTAACAGTCGCTAAAAAACGTTTCCATATGGTATTGTACTAAACAGTTATGTCAATATTAATCACAAAAGTTTAAATGTCTATGCGTAACTGAACGGAATCGATACTAAATATATTATTTAATTTTTAGAATTACTTGTCTGTGCTTTGGGGTAAGTTGGCCAGTGAGATCTTAGTACAAAACTGGGACGGTGCTCTTGACGACTTAACGAAATTGAGGGAGTTCATCGACAATGGTGCAGCGGGAGCTACAGTGAATAATATGCAAGCTCTGCAGCAACGTACATGGCTGGTCCATTGGTCGCTGTTTGTGTTCTTCAATCACGTTAAGGGGCGTGATCTCATTATTGAAATGTTCCTGTACAAACCACTGTAAGTGTAAAATAAATTTATATAAAAAATGTAACTCTTTGAGGTCTGTATATAAAATGAACATGAGCAAAACTTATTGTTATGTGTTAGTATTTTTGTTTGTTTGAACTCAATTCTTAGAAACAGCACTTTCATTTACATACACTCGTGAGCGTCCACTTCAGGTATAGTCCTTGTTTCATTTCAAACCGATCATTAAAAAAAAGTTGTTATGACGGTATCGTCTTAAGTCATGGCATCAACTAGTAAGTAAATTTTTAATTTAGAGTCGTTTCTTTGTGTCGTTTACGATTATTTCGTGTCTACTACGATTAAACATCCATTTAAAGACAATATGATACTTTAGATTTATATGATATACCCTTAAGTTTTATACAAATACTATATGATTTAAAGCTTGTTGTATTTTTGTCTTCTAACGCAGTGACGAAAATATTCATAAAGTTCGATCTCTACTTCAGTATCTAAAGTCGGATTGTATAAATTACAATTAATAGATATACTAAATATATAACGATTTTATGTTTGTATTACAGGTACCTAAATGCAATTCAAACGATGTGCCCCCATATCCTACGCTACCTAGCTACAGCTGTTATTATTAACAGATCAAGGAGGAATGCTCTTAAAGATCTCGTGAAAGTGATTCAGCAAGAAGCTTACACCTACAGGTAATTAATGTATATTGCTCAGTATAAAAAATCTAGAAGTGTTATTAAATTTTATTGAGATTAGCTATTATTCAATATAATATTATTTTAATAATTATAATACCGTTAGTCCACGCACTGCTCATAATTTATTCAGCCTAGGTTACATTCGCTGATATATATCGGTAAAGATTGCATGGTATGGGATGCAAATTTCCGAGGCATCAGTTGAATTTAACCTACGTAGTATTAGTCGATTAATTAGGAATTAATCGAATGATACTATGTAGGTTAAATTAATAACCAGGAATAGTTTTTTTTAACGTAAATTTTGTACGATAACATAAGATGAGATTTTGATATGTCATTGTATTAATTTACTAGCACATTATTCATTGTATTGTTATTGAACTATTCACTGTCAAATCGAATTATAATACGGTACTGTTTTTATATACCTATTTTTAATTTCAGAGATCCTATCACAGAGTTTATAGAGCATCTATATGTGAACTTTGATTTTGAGGCAGCACGAAGAAAATTAAATCAATGCCAAGCTGTACTTTTGACTGATTTCTTCCTCATCGCCTGTTTAGAGGAATTTGTTGAAAATGCACGTCTCATGATCTTCGAAACATTTTGCCGGATACATCAGGTCATCAGTATTGGGTCAGTATTTATTTATTAGGTAAATAGTCCATTAAGTGTATATGCAATAGTAGATATTTAGACTATAACGTAAATGTTAAAATGGAAAATCAAATTCGATCAGTCGAGTCATAGATGAACTGATAAATCAAATTATAGGTGGATGCTATCAATATATATTTTTATTTTTAGAATGTTGGCTGAAAACTTGAATATGCAACCAGAAGAGGCGGAATGCTGGATAGTAAACTTGATCCGTAATGCTCGGCTGGATGCTAAGATCGACTCGAAATTAGGTCACGTGGTGATGGGAGCGCAGCCCCTCTCCCCCTATCAACAGTTGGTCGAGAGGATCGATTCCCTTGCCGTACGGTCCGAGGCTCTTACGTCATTAGTGGAACGTAAACACAAAGCACGGAATCAAGATGTAAGTTTATTTTAATGTGTGCCTTTACAACGTTTTGTGATTGAATTATTAAAAATATGACCATTATTTTTTTATTCCAGATCCGTTGGGGAACACAAGAATTCTGAGTAAAATTAATAACATATAATTTTAAACTTACCCAAACCCAACCTTAATAATAACGTTTTCGTATAATTTAATGAAGACAGTAACATTAAACTTTGTATTACACTTAATTCTTTTTTGTATGTGATCCTCTTATGATAAACTATGTAATTAAAAGTATCAGTAAACTGAAAAACAAACTCGTATACTGAGAGTTAGTACCTAGTAGGTACCTCGTTATATAGAGGTTCTTGGTTATATAATTATAAAGGAAGTTGCCCTTATTTGCGTTCTCAGCAGTTAGTTTTAAATGTAATGGTATACCATCTGTATACAGCCCTACTAGAAATAAATGCTAGATATTATTGTAATAAGGATTTTCTTACATAATTATTAAAAAAATTAAGTTGTAAATATAAATTCAGATCACATGATTAAGTTTCTTTGGAGGATTTTTCAAGACTATTTTTCTTTTTCTTGTAATTTTTACATATTTTAATTGCCAAATACTATTATAATTTGCTTAGTTCATATTACAAACCCAAGCGTTAACGACCTTCCCATAGTATGGATCCCAAAATGAGGATCAAATGGAAGGTAGACCTTCACATAAAATATAATAGTATCAAATACCGTGATTGTAATAACGATACATTAGGGACGGGAAGAGATTATTAGTAACGAAGGCTAGTGATCCTATTTTTGATAATGTACCAGGTCAAGTAGATCTTTACACAGTTTTCTTTGCCAGCTCTGAATCTACTTTTTTTTAGGTGGGGCAAAATCTATAAATGCCAACCAGCCAACATTTTCACTAAATTGCAACATTCTGTATATTAACATACAATTAGTTCGCCTAGTATTGGTATTAATTATTGTGTCTTTATTAACAGTTATATCTTAATTTTCAAATGCATTAAACAATTTACTTAACTTCCGTCTTTCAGAGGTCAAGTTCTCAAAGGGGCGTCAAAAATGTGTATTGATCTGCCAAATTACAATTGCCCGCCCGTGGCATGGGCATGTGTTGCCACCTACATCCCGGGTTGCTCACTGGATACCATCCTAGTTAATTTAATATGAAATACTAATCAACCTGATTTCATCCTCTTTCTATCATCTTCCATCGTCATATAATGTTAAGGCAGCCAATTGCACCATTAGATATTCATCTATTTAAAAAAGCTATAATATTGGTAATCAAAAGAACTTGTATTACATATGTTTTTATTATAACAATGACATTAAATGGTAAATTATTCTACAGGCTTGATAGTTATAAATCTAGATAAAATAAAAGCAACTAGTATGGTAGATAGAACAAAACATATAACAAAGATATAGAATGTGTCCTCTGAGAATACATCCGTAAATTCTGGTATTTGATTGTATAATTCCTCTACCACATGAAGATTTCCTTTGTTGGATCTCGTCATTTTTACAAGTTTATTTCTTTCTGCCCTTCTTTTTCTCTGATTTTGTCTGAATAGTTGAAACTGGTTGTTCAACAGGTGCCAATGATGATACGTGTTTGTTAAAAAGCTGTAGAAGTTCTAAACAAGTTAGATTTCCACTTTTGAATGTTATTTGCTTAATATTTGCAGTATCTGAAATAATAAACAGCTTTATTTTATAGTCATCAATAAATCTATAAAATACTGTGATACAATCTTTTTCTAGCTTTTGAAACTAAAAATGTCATGGTCAGCACCATATATTGAATATGTTTGTCAGATAGACTGAAATGAGCTTTATAAAAATATCTCTAGAGTTAAGGTTGTAGATTATTTCTGAGTATCTTTACAACCTGCTGATAAGATCTCACATTGAATAAAAAAATAAATACACTTATATAACTAAACCCCTATGTGACTCTGAATGGGGTTCTGATTCCAGTTACATATGATTAATAGTTGAGATGTGGAATTTGTATTGTCAGGTATTATAACTATACATCTTATCATCATATTCTTTATTTGTAATATATTGAATAAAAAAGTATAGCTCTTTCGAAACTTAGTTGTTTGCAGAATAGTGAATATATTATAGAATAGATATCAATATATGTATCACAAAGTAGGTATATAAACTTATCAAGACAAGCTTACCTCCAATATTAGGTAAAATTGTTACACCAACTGTGGGCTCACTGCGATCACATACAATTTCAGTTTTTAGTGAACAGTTTGGATTTGTTAAACTTATTTTTGGTGAGCTCAAATAATGTAAAAAGTGCCTGAAAAAAGTTAAGTACTTATAATTTATTATAGTGAATATGCAAGAACTGGTAGCAGTATGTCAATAAACTGACGTTGATATTAAGATTATTGGTATAATAATCACTTCTTATTTAAATACTGTGGAGTAATCATTACTCCTGGAGCTACAAATGAGCCTGTAGTATATAGGGCTGATAGCAGTATGTCAATAAACTGACGTTGATATTAAGATTATTGGTATAATAATCACTTCTTATTTAAATACTGTGCAGTAATCATTACTCCTGGAGATACAAATGAGCCTGTAGTATATAGGGCTGATAGCAATGTCAATAAACTGACGTTGATATTAAGATTATTGGTATAATAATCACTTCTTATTTAAATACTGTGCAGTAATCCTTACTCCCGGGGAAACAAATGAGCCTGTAGTATATAGGGCTGATAGAAATATTCTTTATTTAAACAAACTTAATATATAAACACTTTTGAAATAGTAATTTTATTTATTCTACTTTTTTAGAAAGCAGACTCAGCATAAAGTGCAAATAATTTGTATTACTCTGTAATACAATTATCTATTTACAAGTTATTATTACAAATTATTGCATTTTTAGTTTTTAATGAATAAAAACAGCTAAATACCAAAATACATAAGACTACAAAAATTATTACCTCAGTAAAAAAATTAATCAGTCAGTGATCATAATACAAAGTAATTATTTTATCAGTGGTAATTGAAAAGGGTAGTCGCGTACTTAATATGAATCTAATTTACTAGGAATAACTATGATAGTATTCAGTTAGGGAGGCCAGAAGGGAGTGCAGTCAGCGAATTCTAAATTAAAGCAGATAAAGAGGAAGAAAAAATTTATATCACCTACAGGGGGTAGCATAATACATAAAATCGGAAATGAAACTACTTATATTACAATTGTTTCCTTATTACAAATAATGATAACGTTTAAAAATTAAAATCCATAAGCAGTTCAATATTACATTATATGAAATCGTTTTTAGCTATTTCTTACCTCGTTTGAGTTACATTATCAGCGAAAGGATCGAATTTTACGACGATTCTCTTTGCTGCTTTTAAATTAATGCCCTTCAGTTGTTTACCAATTGCAGATACGACACCTGCGGATCTCTGTATTGTACCACTGTATGGAACAGACATAATTTTATATATTTTGGCTGAATACGCATGAATCAATAAAATCTATTTATACTTATAGGTAGGTTAATAGCACAGACTAGATAGGGATGTAGTCAGAAATTGTGAATTGTGGCTGTGTCCACCGTCTATGATATATATGTACTGACAGTTAAATGACAGTTTATTTTTTCTGCCTGACAATTACAGCACTGAATTCTGAACGGCTGTATGGGCTTAGACTCTTTGCCTTTCCGTTACGGATAAATAAAACAAAAAAAAAAACTGAATTCTGATCGGTCTCTCTCGACTTTTTGGCGGGAAGTCAAATAGAGCGGGTGTTTTAAATATTTTTCCTTTATTTTATATTTTATTTATATTCAATAATTTGTATATATAGGTACAACTAACATAATTTGTAGTTAATTACAGTCCCAAAATGGGAAGTAAGCGCAAAAAGCGCAAAGCCGATGATAATTGCTCCCCAGAAAATTCCAGGGATGTCGACAGTCCAGATTCTGACTCCTCACTGGATGAGGATAAGTATAAAGTTTTTAAAATCGATAATTACTGTCGCCAATATCCTGAGGATGGAGGAAATTTTGAATATATAGTTATTTATGAAAGTACCGATACGAGGCCTTTAGGCGACAGAGACCTTATGTCCCTTGGCGCCTGTCTTAAGCGCCAAAACAAGGGTATAAATTTTCAAGAGAATTAATAAATATAAAGTCGGAGCCATTTTTGAAAGGCCAGGTTTAGCCAACATAGCATTAAATAACACCAAAGTACAAAAAGATTTACATGTTAAAGCCACAATACCTGCAACATTAACGGAAATAACAGGGGTCATAAAAAACGTACCTATATACATGTCAAACAAAAGTATTTACAATGGTATTTCCAGCTCCAGAGACGTCGTCTCGGTGCGTCGGTTTATGCGAAGAAGTCGTGATGAAGATGGTAACACAAGTTTTCTGCCCACCCAATCAGTGGCCATTACCTTTGCCTGTCCCACACTCCCTACGAATGTCGATATCAATTCATGGTATTTCGAGGTAAGCGCTTACACCCCACCAGTAACACAATGTTTAAAGTGCCTGAGATATGGCCACATTGGTAAATTTTGCAAAAATACTCAACGTTGCTCAATATGTGGAGAAAACCATCATTTTAAAGATTGCACTAAAAATAGCACAGAAGCTGTATGTCTTCACTGTAATGGTAACCATATAGCTATCTCAGCTGAATGCCCAATTAAAAAGAAGAAAATACAAGAAAACAAAATAAAACACAATACTGTTCCCTTCTCTAGTTTATTTAATGAAAAATCTTTTCCATCTTTAAACACTAAAACTAAACCTACTGACAATATTAACACATTATTGCAAAATGATGACTTTTTAAAATTAATCATTGCATCAGTTATTAAAATTATTTCTGTTAATAAAACAGATGACTCTCCCTTAAACTCAGAAGGCATAAAAAACATAATTTTAGATACTTTTAAGATTTCCAGTACTAACACTAATTAATAGTATCTCTTTAATGGATAATATTTTAAATATTATCGAGTGGAATGCCCAGAGCTTAATAAATAATAGACTTGCTTTTACTTATTTTTTATATAACAACAATATACATATCGCCCTTCTTTCTGAAACTTGGCTAAAGCCTTTCAAAAACTTTAATATCAAAGGTTATAATATAGAAAGATTAGACATTGGTAATAATCATAATGGTGTAGCCATTCTAATACAAAACAAATTGAATTATAACAGATTAAATACATATCACGATGATTCTTTGCAAAATATCGCTTTAAAATTATATTTGAAAAATGAAACAATTTCTTTTGTTAGTTTTTACAGCCCTACATCCGCAATGTCACGTAACTTTACACATTTACATTTAGATAACTTATTTAAATCTATCCCATCACCTATGATAATAGCTGGTGACTTTAACGCCCACAATACCACTTGGGGTTGCTCGAGAACCGATTCTAGAGGCACTATTCTTCTTAATACTATTGAAGACAATGATCTTTGTATAATTAATAATGGTCAACCCACTACTGTAGGCTCTGATATATGGAGTCCAAGTGCTCTGGATCTTACAATTGTTTCTGCCTCTCTGTCACTCCGATGCAATTGGTCTGTACATGATAATCCTTTAGGGAGCTATCATCTTCCAACCATCACCCACCTTTTATGTAACACTGTAAATGCAAATAACATTTCCATTAATCATAGTAATTTTTTTAGGCCAAATTACAATAATGTAAACTGGCTTGTATACCAAGAGACTGTTGATAATAAATTATGTAATGAATTTAATTACGATCCTTCCACCCCTTTAGACTCCTATAAACAAATGTGCAATATTTTAATAGAAAGCATTAACACAGCTAATAATTCACATGGAAATTTAAAACATTCTTTAGTCAGTAATCACAAGGCAAGACTTTCTTTGCCATGGTGGAACAATACTTGTTCTCAAGCAATAGAATTATGTAAGAAAACTTACATAGATTTTAAAAATAATCCCACTCAAGAAAATTACATAAGATTTAAAAGACAACAGGCAATCAAAAAACTTACTCTCAAAAACGAAAGAAATGCCAGCTGGATAAAATTCTGTGAGTCGATTAATCGGCAAACTCCTCTATCAGTTATCTGGAATAAAATGAAAAAATTTAATAAAACATTTAATAACAACTGTTTACTTATATCTTCAGACACTGATTGGATTTCTCCTTTCTTAAGTAAATTTACATCCAAACCGCCAGCCAAAAGTAGACCCAACATACAGGTATCATTAAATAATAATAACAGCTTCATTATAAACCCTTTTACTATAACAGAATTTTACAGTGCCTTAAACAGCAGACGTAACACAGCTTTCGGTCTTGACAATATCTCTTACAAAATGTTAAAGACATTATCACCCAATTCTAAAAACACTTTATTAATGTTACTTAACTCTCTTTGGAATACTTCAAAAATACCACCCGATTGACAGATTGTCTGATTCCTATTCTTAAACCAGGCAAATTGATAAATCATTCAGACTCCTATAGACCCATAGCATTAACATCTTGTATGAGTAAACTTTTCGAACAAATGATTAAACAAAGGTTAGAATTTTATATAGAATCAAATAAGTTATTACCTTCAAATCAGTTTGGCTTCAGGAAAGGTTTTTCAGCTACAGAGAGCTTAAATCATTTAAACCTAGATATTCATCGTGCTTTTTCTAGTAACAATATACTGGTTTCTGTCTTCTTTGATATAGTTGGTGCTTTTAACAATGTTAATCATCATATTCTAACTAATGAACTGCAAACACTAGGAATACCAGATAAGTTGATTAACTGGATTTTTAATTTCCTACATAATAGACAAGTCTATGTTAAGTACAATAATAATTTATATGGTCCACAATCTTCATATATAGGTGTATGTCAAGGGGGAATATTGAGTCCACTGTTATTTATTTTGTATATTCATAAAATTAATATTATTCTTGGTAATGAAGTCAGCAATTTACAGTTTGCTGATGATTTAGCAGTTTACTGTTCAGGCTCAAATATTCATATAGTAGAAAATAAAATAAACAAAGCTTTAAAGAAATTAAATGTTTATTTTAAATATTTACAATTAGATATTAGTTTAGATAAAACTAAAGTTGTTATATTCAGTAGATCAAGAACTTTGCATGCTAATATTAATTATAATGGTAGCATACTGCCTGTAGTAGCTGAAGCCAAGTTTCTTGGTGTAACATTAACAAAAAATCTATCTTGGAATAAGCATGTCTGTAATATATCTGATAAAGCTTCTAGAGCTTTTAATATTTTAAAATGCCTTTCCAAAACATTTTGGGGGGCTGATCCAAAGATTTTACTTATGTTGTACAAATCCATAGTCCGTTCTCACTTTGAGTACAGTTACCTTTGCTTTGCTTCCAATCCCACACTCTTAAAAAAATTAGACAATCCAAAATAATAATTTGCGTCTAATCACTGGTGCAATGAAAACAACTCCAATAGTCTCTCTCCAAGTAGAATGCAACATTCCATCTCTGTCATTAAGATTCAAATTTCTTAAATTTAAATTCTTGCTAAAATTACATAGCATTTCCAATAATTCGCTGTTACAAAAAATTACAGATTCTCAAACCATTGCTTCTTCTTCTAATTCCATAAAATTCCCATATATTCTCCTTGATTTCTCTGCAATGAAATCTATAATTGAGCAAAATAATATTCATGTGGCAAATAATAAGTGGGCATGTTATGAAGGGACATATGACAGTAAATTTTGCAATATGACAATAGAAACAGATAAGAACTTAAAATGTAAAGAAGAAGTTTATGAACATCTTTCTCAATGGCCTTCATTTAACACAATATATACAGATGGTTCAAAAAATGACCAAGGTGTGTCATTAGGTTTTTACCATAGCGATATAAAAACTGGTTATGGATTTCGATTACCTACCATTACTAGTATATTCACTGCCGAAGCCTTGGCTATTTTGCAAGCTTTGCATTATATTAACGAAGACATATGCGCTAAACCTCATAATCAGTGGCTTATCATTAGTGACAGCATGTCAGTCTTATCAGCGTTGCAAAATCATTCATTTAGTGCCAAAACAAGCTATATTATTTACCAAATTAAAGAACTATGGACTGTTTTGTTTAATAAAGGAAAAGAAATTATATTTACTTGGACACCGGCACACAAAGGTGTGACAGGTAATGAAGAAGTAGATTACCTTGTCAAAACTGTCAACAGATTGGGTGGTGAGTCTAAAAAAATTTTCTTACCTTGGCAAGATTTAATTCTTGAAATTAGAAAAAACTTATTAAAAAATTGGGAAGAAGATTGGAAACGTACTACCAAAGATAAAGGTACTTGGTATGCAGGGATAAACAGTACTGTTGGCAAAAAACCCTGGTTCATTCAGGGAAAAATATTTTTAGAGAGAAGATTTTATACTCAAATTTGTCGACTACGATTTGGACATTGTAAATTCAATGCACATTTACACCGAATGAAGATCATTAATTCTCCGATTTGTCTTTTATGCTCTAGTAACGAAAATCAAACATTAGAACATATATTTTTTGATTGCCCGGCCTTTAATTTAAACAGAATTTTGCTCATTGCTAAGCTTCAAGAACTATATAAGATTATTCCGCCATCGCTTCAAGAATTATTCAAATGCACTGCAACTTTTAAACCAATTTACGACTTCATCATAGCAACAATCGGAGAATTATAAACATTTCAATTATGGACACATACATGGACTTAACACAAACTTATAATTAATGAAAAGATTTGGCGATATCGCCTTGAAGAATTTTTGAATTTTCATGGAAACACTACTGAAGATTAGGCTGTATGGTCTCGTACCTTTGCCTATCCACTTGTGGATAAAATATACCACTACTACTACTCGGTCTCTCTCTCTCTCCATTCTCTAGAGCTCTAATTTTATCTGTGACCACAAGGTTTGAGGTTATAACTTTTTTAGATTTTAAATAATAAATTTAATTAGTCTTAAACGCAAACTATTTACTGAATATTATTTTGACAGGCGAACTGGCAATGGCGCTGCCTGCAATAATGCGACGTGCCATAGTTAATGGTACTTTATATTCAGCAGCTGCATTGCGATTTGCTTCCACACAACCTGAGAAAAAAGTGTTCTTTGATGTCACAGCTGATGGTGAATCTCTGGGTCGAGTAGTTATGAAACTTCACTCTGATGTTGTACCAAAAACGGCAGAAAACTTCAGGGCTTTATGTACGGGGGAGAAAGGATTTGGTTACAAGGGGTCCTCTTTTCACAGAATAATTCCTGATTTTATGTGTCAAGGCGGTGACTTTACTAATCATAATGGTACAGGTGGAAAATCAATTTATGGACGTACATTCCAGGATGAGAATTTCAAACTTAAGCACACTGGGCCAGGAATATTGTCAATGGCTAATGCAGGTCCCAATACAAATGGTTCACAGTTTTTTATTACTACTACTACCACTCCATGGTTGGATAAAAAACATGTAGTCTTTGGTGAAGTTGTAGAAGGTTTAGATGTGGTAAAAAAAATGGAAAATTTAGGGACCAGAAGTGGGAAAACATTAAAGAAAGTAGTAATAGCAGAGTGTGGGGAGTTGTAATTTTAGGAAGTATTCAAATATTTTAAGTGGTAACAGTACATAGTCTAAATAGGTAGTCTTTGTATATTAAGTATAAGAATTGTTTCAATGTAGTTGCTGTGAAATAGAATGGTATTGAAATATTTCTGGCATTATTATTTTAATCATATCATAAAGTATATATGTACCTATTCATTTTCTCATGAATAATTGGATTAGCTTTAGATACATAAGACAAAGAATCAATATATCTCATGAATTAGTAAAACTGCTCTTCAGATCAGGGGAATATATATATATATATATAAATTTTAAGACTCCTAGCAGTTTTACCATCACAATAAGCTTACATGATAAATTATGGAAATTTGGAAATAACAGAAATTATCTACAGGTTTGTTAATATCAACCGTGAATAATATTGCATTTCTTTTGTTAACACAATAAAAAATTGTGATTGGTGGTAAAGGTGTCTAAGCCAGATATTACATAAGACATACTTAATATATTATTAAGTAATAATATGTTCATTGTTTTAATAATTATGGAAATCATTCGTCTTCAACATCATCAATCTTTTTACTACTATATTTTTATTATTATTTGAAAATAAAACAACTGTATAAAATAAGTATGCAATTTTTATTAATCTAAATGCAACAAATTAGTTATGGAGTTGCTGTCATCAAACACTTTTATTTGTGATAACAACCTATACAAATACAGCTAAGTCAGTATCAAGTCTTAAAACTATTGTAATAAGGCCTTTTTAGATAAAACACTCTCTTTCATATCAAACTATTTCTCTCTTAACAATATATGACATTAATTTACATTGCTGACTTTTGTCTTTTAATTTCGAGATAAATATATTGCTTTAAAATATGTTATTATTCTAAGATAATATTCAAGACTTCTATCACAATTTTACACAAATGTTTTTTTGCGAAGTTGTGCAACAGTGATGGAAGCATATCAATTGTGAAAGAGATCATTTAATTAAGTTCTTAGATGAAATAGCAGCCCAAGAATTGACAAATTTTTTAGTGAATATAAACAGATAGATCTAATATATGATATACTAAATCATAGAAATTTATTTGTCAATCACTAAAATATTAATAAATGAGTAATGAAAAATATGTACTTAGGAGCCAAAGGTCATTTTCTATCAAAACATAATCTGTCATGACTTGTATAAATATAATTTTAATGTTTTTTAACTATATTTGTACTATTTATAGAAAAGAATATTTTTCTATTTTTAATATTATACAAGAAGAAAGACAAAATAAAATATTTAATAATATATCTACATAACTGTACCAATCCCGATAGGGCAGTTAAAAGCATGGACATTGTAATGAATGCAACACATGACATGCCTATATTTTGTTAGTATATTGTGATTCTAAAATTTCGTTTGGTATACAAGTTTTCTAACGACAAAAATTCAGTCTGCTATAAATAATATAAAATGTAATCATAATTATGAAAATAATATGCAGGTATAAATATTTAAATTATTTCAATTCTGTTTTTCTTATACAATTTACGTAGTTATATGTATATGACTACAAATAAGTTAATTGCTTATGCCCCTCACCTCCCTGGTATCCTTAAGCGCCGACATGTGATTAGTCTTGTAGTAGCGATCAATCTAAGTAATTGGTGGTATGCACTTTTGCAGTACTGTTGTGACCATCTTGGATATACAGGATCAGTGAATTTTATTAATGGTTACTATTTAACCACTATTTGACTATCACATATTTTTTTCAAGAAAGTTATCGTTAAATGTCTGCAGTTATGTGTGATAGATTGTTAATATAAAAATTGATATCAAAAGAAATAACGTAAAACATATTCTCAAACTGACATAATAATTGTGAAAAGAAAGGATTTCTAACATTGATTTCAGTTAAAAATAGTATTTTACTAAAATTTTGAGATCACAATAAAGAAAGACAGACTTCATACACAATGTATAGTTACATATACAATATTTACTAAATGAGTTTTCTTATGCTTTGTGCTTGTGAATAAAATGGTGATTTACTAGTGCTAAGGAGGAATGTTGTGTCAACATTTTTTAAAAATAAAATTTTGTGTTTCCTTAATGTATGTATCTGTATCCAATGATAAGTCTTATGAATTTTTCGTCATCATTGACAATTCTGCTCAGACATGTGCAGATTGATTTTTAACAAGAGCTGGATATCAAAGCATTTACATAGAACTTCACATGCAAGTGTAATTTAGCAGATGATTAGTACTATGGACTTATAACTGTCTTATTCACACAATTAATAAAAGTGATTAGAAAACAACAGCCTAAAATAGCATAAAACCTTAATGACATAACTAACCATTGGCAGATTGTAATATTCCACTTTATTTGCTAAAAATGGGTCAACTAGGGAATCTTATACTTTAGTAAAACTACATAAGGTGAGACAATGAATAGAAACTAAATTTTTTTTTCATTTTATATACATGTATGTATGGTTGACCCTGAAATCGGTTGCATAAAACCAGATTAAAGCTTTAATATGTGAAGTGTAAATTACGCTATTGCAAAGGTGAAATTTCCCACAATATTGACTAAAATCTGTATTTAAACTAGTAGTCTTATAATTTGAGTAATGTTACATATTATGCCTGCAATTAACTGAAAGCAGTTTGTCATTTCATGCACATTAATATATTAATATAGCACAATGCATACCTGTATAACATCACTGTCATATACTTGTATTGTATACTTGTCCTGTACTTAATATGTAAATAATTGTAACCGTAGAACATGTTGTTTTCAGTTTTTAGGTGGTATATATATATTTCTTAGATCTTATAATTTTTTCAGACAATACATATTAAGTACATACAGAAAAATAACGAGAATAATATATTTTGTAAATTGATATCAATTAACTTAGTGCATAATAGGGTTATTATAGTATGTCCGTGTTTGGTATACCACAGTGGCTAAGTTTAAAACTAACACCAAAAATTGCAATTGTTATTGAAGTATCAATACACGAAGGCAATGTTTTTCCAATTGACTTTTTATTCTAGATCAAATTAAACTTGTTAAGATTTTAAAAACTACCCACCGAGGATAGATACAAGCCAAAATTCGAGTTCGATAAGTTTCACTACTTTAAGATATGATTCGAAATCACTCATTTATCTATGTCTAGAGCTTTAGAACTAGAATGTGAGTCCTATCTGAACTTAACTACTATAAATTTCACTAAATCGATTATCACACTCAGTATCGCTATATCAAATAGTGACTACCGTGGAGTGTCTGCGTCGCCCGATCACTAATCGAGATTCAGGTCGCGACCGTCACGCGCTGCCTGGCCGCGTTTCGTTCGTCGGTCACACGCGCGGCTCTAACGGCGCCGTCGCCAGTTGGTCCACGCTGCGCCCCTTCTGTATCTGCAAGCTCAGCTCGCTCGGCTCCATCGTTAGGTGATGCGACGACGTGCGCTTGTGTTTCGTCTCGTGCGGTTTCAAGTCTTTCGAGCTCGTTCTACGGTGGCGAAGCATACCGCTGCCATCTATCAGTCGTTTGCTTTCCTCGTCGACGCACTTCGTCAACGGTAGCACCGTGAGGTCGAGACTCTCCATGCTCTTTAGGGCGAGATGCTTGAGTTGCTCGAGACTGAGGTCTCGCGAGTCGGACCGCGAGTGGACTTTGAAGTCGCGGGAGCCGCTGCGCGAGTGAGTGCGGAAGTCTCGCGAGGTGGAGCGTGGGAAGGCATCGGCGCGCGAGTCGCGGGAGTCTCTGGAGTCGCTGCGCGTGGGGCGGGCGCGCTCGGACTCGTCGAGCGAGTGTTGCCGCGCGCGCGGCTCCAGCTGGATCGTCTTGGAGTCGTTGCGCAGGTGTCGCGAGGCGACCAGCACTCGCGGCTTGCCGGCGCCGGCTCTCGACTGCGACTCTTGCGAGTATTGTGACTCGGTTCTCTGAAGCTTGCCTCTGGTCGGTTCCTGGCTACCTTCAGGTACCGCGCCGGCCTCCATGGGCGTCGTGGTCGCAGAGCTCGGGCCCGAAGTCAAGCCGGAACGAAATCCGCTCGCGTTATCCGCAGATGGCAGCTCTTCGAAAACTGAAAGATAACAATTACAACGTTTTCTATGTAAATAGTAGTCCGAAAACTACAATAGTATGACAAGCTTCGAAGTAAGCAATTACTAAAAAATAATTTTAATAAGAATAAAAGAAGAAAAGATTGATTGTATGAGTAATTATAAACTCAAGTCTGACACTGATTAGTAGACAAAGTCTAGTCTCATGTGTTGTTACTGGGCGCATTAGTATAGTATTTATTAATATAAAATATATATATTCCCATGAGATCTCGGAAACCGCACTGAAAATAGTCAATGGCTTTAAATAAGGATGTAAGAAAAATGTACTCACGCTTATCGAGACTTATTATTGAGCCGGCTATGTCCTTGTGAGGATCGAGTGGCGGTACAGTTTCTAAGTTTCTGCGACGTCGTACCAGCCACCAGTCAGCTAGGAAAATACCTAGCGCTACGATTTTTATTCCACCACATAGACCGACGTATCTGAAAATCAAAATACATATTAATTCCACTGTTTTATTTTATTTATAGTCTTTGTCGTGTAAATTTGGCCTTAAAATTTGTTTCTAGATGTATTGACTTTGATTCATAAAAAAAAACTCCCGTCGAGTTTGCGATTAATAATTAGAAATAGAACACGATGTTTTGTGGCACAATCAAAATAATACTTTTAACTATATATTAACAAACAATACCTGTATCTAAATTGTTCAATGTCGTAGAGTAAACAGCGGCCGCCCTTTTCGCCGCTGCATGATTGTTTCCAAAGAATGCACGTCGAGTCGATGAGATTGCCGAATACTATCGGCGCCGGGATATAACCAAATAAGCGAAATATTACGAACTGCATACCCAGAGCAAACGACCGTTCTTCCTCGCTTACAGATCTAAAATAAAAAATATTTTTTTTATTATTACAATGATATGATATATTTTTACCGCCACCGAATACTTTGGTATGCCGAATATCATCAGGTTTGATAGCAAACCTGATATTATTCGGCAACCGTTATTACATATACTCTCGTACTCGCTATATATATAATAACGCTACGAATATCATCATGATGTCATTATATGACAAGTATGTAATGTATGTATTCTGAAAGCGAGTATGTAAACTCTTGGTAACATACTATACAAACGCTTACTTATTTTAAAACTTTCCTGTTGAATATATATAATTTATACTTATAATATTATTCGTGGAAACGCTAACTTGTCAAATTTAAATATTGTAATAGCAGTGGCAATCCGTGAGGAAGTAGCCATTATTATTGCTAAAAGTTGCATATAGATGGCGTGATTGGTATCGATGGAATTCTTCATAGTTTTGCAAACGTTTTAAAAAACAAAACTGTGTTTACAAAAATGTTTAATCAATTTTTAAAAAGTTATATATACATGTTAAAATGAAATAATGCGTTTAGAAAAGTAATTTTCATATATTTACTCATTTTGTTATTTTCCAGTACTTAATTAATTTAATCAGTGCTAATACGGGGCTCAATGTTTTCAAAAAGCTTTCATAGATGGCATTGTTGTCATTTGTATCGGCCTAATTAAATGTCTTTTTTATATTTTCCAATAATAAGCACTTAATATATTATTATTGTAAATTACACACATAAAAAAATTTTAAGTAAATTAAAAATAGCCGAACAAGCAAGTAATACTATTTCCAATAATACTTATGTATGAAGTGTTGTCATATTAAAAATAAATACATGTATTATCGATTTTTTTTAATAATCGATAACAGGATTTTATTACAGCGCATTATTCGATGATGCTTTTAATGAGTCGTTGTGAACAGTAAATTTTCATTATTTTGTATTATAGCAGTGTTCCGTTTCAAAGAACGGAATATAGTAGTACATTATTAGTGTCGTTGGTTATTTACATTTGTACTGAAAAATCGATTACATAATAATTTAAAATATCGAGTACGAATCGTAGCTGTCTTCGAATACTGGCAACTGGTAAGATTAAAATAGTATTTAAAGAAAAGAGAGAAATCGACCCTAACGCGAATACCATAAAGTTGATTTTCCTTTCTCATTAATATCATAGCAGTTTGTTTTTAACATGCGTATGGCTCTGTGGTATGATGTTTAACGTGTATTGTTATTGTACGGTGCATACATTTCAAAAATTATATTTTATTGTAGGTACATACATTTCTTTCATACATTTCATACATGTCAAAAATTATCTTTTAATGTAGGTACATACATTTCTTTCATACAATTCATACATGTCAAAAATTATCTTTTAATGTAGGTACATACATTTCTTTCATACATTTCATACATTTCAAAAATGAACTTTTATGTAGGTACATACATTTCATACATGTCAAAAATTATCTTTTAATGTAGGTACATACATTTCTTTCATACATCTCATACATTTCAAAAATGAACTTTTTATGTAGGTACATACATTTCTTTCATACATCTCATACATTTCAAAAATTATATTTTAATGTAGGTAGGTACATACGTTTCATACATGTCAAAAATTATCTTTTAATGTAGGTACATACATTTCTTTCATACATTTCAAAAATGAACTTTTTATGTAGGTACATACATTTCTTTCATACATCAAAGATATTATTATTGTAGATATCGAAAGTTATGTATACAAGTAATTCTGAATATTATCAAGTTCAAAATAAGCACACATTACTGGCTTAGATAATAGAGTAATATTACTTGTAATAAAAACATTTGTGACACCCATATGTATACATATTACATAGTAAGTACTTACGCCCGCGCCGTGAGACTCATCTAAGCGTACAGCGCATGCGCGTCGTGCGGTAACCGCACCGACGGACCAATAGGAGCGCGCCTCTCGCGTATCCAGAAAGTTCGCGACTAATGGACGGTATAGTAGTAAAGCAATGAGTGTTCCAGTGACATCATTATAATATTTTCTCGTTAAGTTTTATTGTAATATACATAATTTCGTACTAAGTAACGTGTTCCCCCGTTTTACATTTCTATAATAGTAATGAAAAACCTAGATCGACCCTGTTCACTTCATCTAGGATTGAAGTTTTAAGCTATTTAGCTTAATTAATATTCCTTCTTTTGAAACCGAATTTCATTTCATTATAAATATAAATTAACTGACCCGGCAAACCTTGTTTTGCTTTATAAATTAACTAGCTGTACCCGCGACTTCTTCCGTGTGGAATAGTGACCTTTATCAAATAAATAATAAATATTTAATAATGTAACTCGAAAAATCCAAAGAAAAAAGTTTCATTGTACTAGTTTTGAAAATGACGAATTTTTTCATCATCTTCAACTTTCATCTTATATTTCATTTTACCCTCTTAAGGATAACATTTTACATACTTAGAATGTCATATTTATTTATATTTTAGTCAGCAGCCTAAAAAATATTTTTAATTAAATTATAAGATTATAAATTAAAGCTTTAGCTTACAAGATCTGACTTTAAAAATGACGATATCTTCATATAGCCTTTCATTTCCCCTTTCAACCCTTTTTCGCATTAAAAAGTAGCCTTTCTCACGGTCTACATTAACTGTGTACCAAATTTCAATTAAATAAGTTCAGTAGTTTTGGCGTGAAAGCGAGACAAACAGACAGAGTTACTTTAGCATTTATAATATTTGTAAGAATATCGTTATTAAAAATAGGGGTTGGTGAAAGACGGGCCAAAATTTAGGCGTGTATGTAACATTATAAATAAATAAAAAATTGCCCATAATACAAAAAAAAAAATTCTGGGTAGGCCACCCCTATGACTTAGGGGTATAAAAAATAGATAACAACCCTACCTCAGACCTAGCAAGTATACATATCAAATTTCATCAAAATGTGGGAGAAATATGGCAACTAACACTGTGATACGAAGTTTATATATAAGATATAGCGGAATTCTCATTAGGGAAAAGAGGGGTACATCGTAGAATACATGAGGTATATACCAGTAAATTCATTGTAGCTAAAACCAGTCTCTTACACATAACGATTGAAATAAAAAATCATATAGCCCGATTTTGATACGTACGAGTATAAACTTATCAAAATCGGGCTATACGTATAGCGCAGACGCGTTACAACATATCTTCGTCGAGAGAAAAAAATAGGCATGGAATGTAGAATAAACTATAACATAATATATACATTGGCACATAAGCCATATCTGCAGGGTGTCGGCTAACGATATTATACCTACACATTTACATTGAATCTTGAATCGTCCCTAATGAGGTACACGATACAGTTACCTACATATCTTGTATATACCTATCTTTGCAAAACAGATGTCATGTAGACTGAATTAACTGCCATCTATTTTCGTGCTTTGTTACTAAGCACCCACTAGTAATCCGAACTGCTTCAGATCTAGAGACATCTAGCGGCTACGGCGGCGAAATAAAATAGCCCGAAGAATAGCCCGAGTTAGGAAGGAACCATTTTCTTGTATGGGATGGGGTATCTGTATGTAATATTATGTTATCTGTGGTAATAGTCACATACATCAATATAATTGATTTCGAACGTGAGACGTCGACTGACCTGAGCACGATCATGAGAAGCGGCATCTGCGTGACGGCGACGACGAAGGTCATGAAGAAGAGCAGCACGAGGAAGGGGAAGATGGTGGTGCAGGGCGGGTTGCAGGCGCCGGCTGTGGCCACCGGCACCACCGTCACCTCGCTGCCGAACTCGCGCGCGCCGCCCGCCGTCAGCGCCGACGCGGACGCGCCGCTCACCACCGCGCCCAGCCCGCCCACGCCGCCCACGCCGCCCACGCCCCCCACGCCCACCTCGCGACTGTTCTCGTGCACACCTAAACACAGATTCCATTCTAATTGTAAACCCATTCTTATTTATTTATTCTTTTTCACTCAAATACTCGCGCGAACACTGCTAACGAGTGTGAAGCTTGAACGAGCGGGCATGAGCGGGGAACGATGCCCTGTATCAGCGGCGTGTGTCTACTGTTGTCCTCTATTTTTGTCGCATTATAATTTAAATATTGTAACAGTTAAATATACCTGTTGATACAGTCCACATAAGTTTTATTTATCTCCGAGGAGTTGAATCCCCAACAAGTATATAGAACTCATGTATTAAGTGAGGCTACAATATAATATAAATCAGAGTATCGATAATAACTAGGCGTGTAAAAACTTTAAACTGTTAATATTCATATTTATATTACTAGAAGTAGGTTAATAAAATAAATGTTAATTGGAAAATAATAAAATAGATATTAATTGACAAATCAGTATTTCCACTCGATAGACAATATCGGGTGGAAGGAAATTGTTAGAAAGTTAGCTGACCTCCACGCGGTGGAAACCATCGTGTTAAATTGCTATTTGCCAAGATGGGCTAACTGACCTGACTTCCTGCTCATTTTATCATCTTCCACTGGTGCCCCACCGTAAGCTGTTAGTTAATGCGGCATTATACTATTATAATTCTTAAAAAAATGTTTATCATGGCCATAATCAGACAAAGAAAATATTGCACTGAATGTGGAATGAATGGTTGTAGCATTTTATAATACGTCAACCATTGGAATTAACTGCAATTCAGCAATCTTCATAATCTTAAATACACGTGTCACATATATAAAATAATCTTATACATAAAATACTCGTGTCTTGACCGATTTTTATGAAAATATTATACGCATATTCAGTAGGTCTGAGAATGTGCCACTATCTAGTTTTCATACGCCTAAGTGATAAGCTTTGTCCACACCTAACATTTATTTTTTATTTTTTTATACTTTGGCATGAAAAAATACATTCACCCTTAAATTTTAACCCTTCTATCACCAACCCCAAGTTTTTAATTTACATGGCAAAACAACGTTTTCGGGGTCAGCTAGTAGTATATAATTTTATACACCTGCCTATATTGTTACACATATTTTGTTTTTATTTAACAATAGCTAGTAGACAATTATACATGGCATTGAGCATGACAATTTATTTTTTAATACATAAAAGATTAAAATAAGTAATTGTAACATCGGCCAATTTATTACAGAACTGTAAGGTTGTTCGGAGTCTAAAAACTTTGTATGTTCGGGTAATAATTATTTTACTTTATTTGTACTATTATATCAACAAGAAGATGTGCCACTACCTAGCATGTTTATGAAAAATGCTAGGTAGTAATTAATTACTTACATGCGCAGTTAGTAAAATTGGATCGAGATGAGAAGGCCGCGCAGCCTGCGTGACACGGCGAGAAGTACGTGAGTCCATTGTTTCCACATACTGGTTCCATGTCAGTCTCGGTGCACAGGCAATTGAAGTTACACGCGGCAGTCAAATTGACTTTAAACGGCTCCAGATTGCTATGAAACATTGATTTTCAGATACATGTTGTGGTCTAATAAATAACAGTTAATTAAATTGAAAAAGTCCATTATTATTCTTAATTATACCACACTGGAAATAGTGGTAGAAAGAATAACAATAATGTATATTAAATGCAATGACACAAAGTATAATCCCAAATTACCTGCATTCATCAACTCACTAGCTATTATCTAGTATAGAGTCTTTTCCAGTAATTACGATTTATTCGAAATAAGTAAGTCTACACGTGAATGTCAAAACCTATTTTATATCTATCGTCAGCATATAGCAGTGAAATTCTATCCCTTTCTACACAATATTGACAGATATAGGGCACGTATATTATACTAGGCTACATTAGGCTACTAATATAAGATAGTACTCTGAAATGTTTTTGTTTTTTATGGACAGCTTGGAAGTTCATAACGCGCTGTTATTAAATTTTCTACATTAATTAAATAATGTCAGTTAGTTAACTTTGTCTACTATTATAAAGCCGAATTGCTTCAACAAATCACATGATATATATTTACTGCCTTCAATTACTGAATAGACTCGATTGCTATTTTCTATACGTGGTTTAGGTTCATCAAACTCTTTTTTTGCCATAAAAGTCATAAATAAATAAAACGTATAAATTAACAAAAAAATTACCTGTTATTAGTATACGGTATAGTAGTACCGGCCATTTTAATGTTGTCGCAGCCCAAGAAGAATAGTAATGCGTAGCAGGAAAGGCAGATGGTGTTTGATATAAGAACAAATTGCACTGCGCCCTTCGGCCTTAGTTCGAGTCTCTTCAGTAAACAACCGCCCATAAAAATGCCGATGCACGCCCCGGGTATTGCAATGGATCCTGTTAAGTTATTATGTTTATGTTTAATTTCATAGATAAATGTTGATTCTTGAATCTGTTCAAAATTTATAATTTTTTTTGAAATTTTTTGTATTGAAGTTCATATATACAAAATCCACCACTCATTTTACAATTTGAACATTCAGGAATAGAAATTTCTTTTAAATAGTGTCATATCGGACAATTTCAAAACAATACTGTAGGTAATACAAAAAATTCCTGTTGTTGGTCATCGAGAATATTAATATTTATTACTCACCAGTGAACACGCTAGCTTGGCTCTTGCCGAGACTGAATTGCGTTTCGAGATATTTGGGTAGGAACACTACGAAACCAGAGACGATCATAAGCTCCATGCATGCACCGAGACACGTCACGACGTACACGGGATTTTTGAGCAAACGCCACATTGACACTGGTATATCTAAAAATAAACCTTGTGTTAAACTAATATAAAGTTCATATTTTCCTATTGTATTTGTTGAAAATTATTGAGATACAAATATCTAAACATCATAACATCATATCATACTATACGAAGTCTCATATTTATAACGTTTACTCGTAATTGAAAGAATGTTAGTGCTATCTTGATCCAGAAGATATAAGATTTAATGTGTTATACATCTAGGTCACTCGAGTAGCAATGCATCAGAGATGCTATGGTTGGAAGAGCATGACGTTAATTATCTTAAGGTGAATCGTCTGATTGTTTGTTATTAACGATCGCGTAACAATGTGTCAAAATATGCAGTTTATAAACACTATAACTATATATTTGTCGAAAAATACCTTTAATATCTTTTCCATATCCTGTGTCTTTAATATCTGACTGTGGTTTCGGTGGTTTCACGCTTCCAGAACCACTGGCGGCGGCTGCCTTCTCTACAAGTCTTATCTTTTCCTTTTCTCGAACCAGCACTTTTGGGAATGAGAAAAAAGGGATGGCGACCAGTATCAGGAGAAGACCGCCTAGTAAGAAACCTCCCCACCACATGCCAACCCATCGGTGATCTCCGGGGTCTGAAAACAGATTAAATTAACATAATATATATAACAAAAGAAATGACTACTCGATTAAACTATCAATATTACTAAGAACGAGAGAGAAAATAATAATTCCACATCACATATTATTTACCGATATGCTGCTGTCGTTTAGTTTTTTTTATTATATAGATATGATACCCGTTTGAGATATACGACACTGAAATTATTGTATACGAGATCACCATCTTGTTTCTTGAATCTTGTCTCTGGTTTGCAAAAAATGGTCAATTGATTATGTGGGGACTAATTATTTACTATACGCATTATTATTAAGTGTAAAAAAGTAATGAAAGACGAAACATTATTAACCAAAATTTTTATACTGTTTCACTTACCTATAGATATGATGGCGCCAGAGAAAGAATCCATGTGGAATGAAAGAAGGTATGCGCCCAGTAGAAAACCAAGAACTGGCCCGAAAGCAGCCATGCTGTACATACATCCTACAACAACCAACACATACTGTTACGAAACTTAAAATTAAAACACGTGTCCGGTTGAAAATTCTAGTAAGGGAAACTGATTTTAAAAAATACGGTTCCGGTGATCTAGCGGTTTAGCACATCGCCTTACTTCCGATGGTCGCCGGTTTGTTCGTTTTCTCGCACGTACGTACCAGTGTTTGTACCGTGCGAGAAAACGATATTATTCATGAGTTATTATTTGTATCAGTCTCGGTGTTTACTACATTAAAAAGTATGTGATTACAAAAATATATATATATATTTATGACAGTTGTCTAGTAGATACTCTTAACATAAGCTCTGCTTAGCACGATTCTGAATGTAGTTTGTTTAGAAAAATATTTGTTTACTATATTTGTAACACGTTTTCTATAAAAAATTGTATACATATTATACATTTTTTAATAAATATATGTTTTATAATAAATTAAAAAAAAACGAGGTTTATAAACTTGCCGTATTAACCATTAATAAGCACATTTTTAATATTATCATTTAACATTTTATTACGAATATGACTGTTTAATATTCAATATCAGTCAACTCCTGATGAACCTACTCGTGATTATCTATAAACGTGCCTCTCACATAAAATTCCTTTTATGATTCCTCCAGGATTACTTAGAAACAAAGTTATAATAATGCCAGTAAATTAGCATATTTCATTGAATAATTTGCTGAACGTTATAACGTCGTTTTAACTATGTACACGAATTACATCGTAGCCTATTACTTAATCACCATAATAAAAAAAAATTGTAGGTAACTAGAACACTGCTATACTTTTTATCGCATTAGCATGATACTCTCTAAATTGGAGTTCTACAGTAAATCTATATATTTTTAATTAAGTCCTGAATGTACCTAAAAGCTGCATGCGGCAATTGTCACTCACTTGTAGACTTTGCGGACCCAAACTAGGTCATTCTTATTTTGAGTGCTTGCAAATGGCGGGAAATTTTCGCAACGAATATCAATAACAAATGATTCGCTAAACTGGCCTCGCGTGCAGACTATTTCTTTGCACCCCATTAGTTATTGCCGTTTGTTAATTTCTGATTGTTCTTGAACTAAATTTTAAAGGTCATAATAAAGTGATCTAAATTCATTAGTATTTAAACATTAGCTGGGTAATTACAAACATGATATTAAATAATATCGCCTATATGTTAAAAGTATGTGGTATTCAATTAAGATTTTTAAAAGGTCAGTCTATGGAAATAGACTAATGCTGTTAGGTATCTAGTAGTGGTGACACAGTACTGATTAAAGTTACCACAGTAGCCACAAAAGAAACGAGCTTTATGAGTAATACGGAGGATTTTATCAATAACTTTGATCCCGTTGCTATTATATGCTACAAGTTCACCATTATAAATCGCTGCTTAGATACTACAATACATATAAAAAAGAAACAAAGATGTGTCCATGTGTTGGAGTTTGTCTGTGTAATATAATGAGTGAGACACCTGCTTCCTGTAGCAAGCAACAGACGCGTTCTATTGGAAAATCGATACCGGTGACAAATGTATACAATTAGGCTTGAGGCCAAAAGAATGTTCTTAACCTTCAGAAGCACCAGTCCTACTATATAGGTATATTTATTGAATAATTCATAAATATGGAACGAGTAATATTTTTTAGAAAAAAAAATTAAATTCCTACCTATTAGAAAAAAGTATTCACGTGGCTATGGGTAGTCGATATGTAGACACAGTACTTACAGTATAGTAAGCATGTCAAGGGTACGACCTCTTGCTTTCAGCTGAATCGTGGCTGAAGCACAAACCCCAATAAAGTGCAGTAAGCTTAACCATGCAACGGAGCGCAACTTTATGGTAACATTATTCGAAATTGTAACTTATTACTGTTTTAGTCATGCAAACAATGCACAATGTCAAAATTTATAAAAACACTAGGAACCCGCACGTATGCAATTATTGTATTTTTTTAAATAGAAAATCTAATAATAACTTCAAAAATATTAACCCAGGACAATTCACACAGCACCATCTAATCCCAAGCTAAGCTTGTTATGGGTAATGGGCTACTAGACTACTAATACAAAATACTTATATATATTATAAATACATACTTAATATACATATGTATTGGTTTGGTCAGTACAAACAATCACACTCATGAATACAACTGTTTACATCGCGCGAGGAATCAAATCATCACAAGTAAAACTGCGTTTTTTTCATATGAACATTAAACTTGTACTAGTATTTTACTGTTACGACTTCCAAACTTATTCTTTATGTCTACGGATGACGCACCCTAACAACTGTGTCAGTGATGTAACTAGTTGTTTACCACTCACCACTTATTAATTAAACGATACCTCAGGTAGAGTTCTAGGGTGGGTCAGGGCTACATTTGACGGGCCGTAAGTATATGAATTTATAAAATGCATACAAAACCACAAACACGTAGACAGCAGTGCATTGACATTACTGTGGCTTTGTCTTCTATACTAGTACAACACGCGTGGTTTTCATTACTAAACAATGTATGGGAGATTAATTTATTAAATGGATTCTGCAGTTTTATGACGCCAACATGAATGAGATATGAATTAGATACAGTCACGATATGAAGGTGAGGCCAAATTAAGTTTTTTGTGAAATTGTGAATTAATCGTAGTCCCAGCCAATTACTACAAACAGATCCTACTTACTATATAAATCGCTGAAACATAATAACGACAACGAATGTTACTATTTTCACTTATTCTATAACAAAGGTACAATAAGGTTATATGTAAGATTAATAAAAAAAACAAAATATATTAGAAAAAAGAATACTAAAAATCAAACCTATTTAGACCTATATGTTATATATCTTCATATATATAAAAAAAGAATTGCAGCATGTTTTTTTGGATGATAGTAGAACCGCGCTGAAAAACGTTCGCTGGAGTATCAGTAAAGACATCCCCTTGATGTCTTTACTGATAATGATATGTTGTTATTACAAAATGTCATTATATATAGAATAAAATAAATGCTTGGAATGAATATAAACTTCAGAATTAATGCAGTAGTATCTAATTGACCGGAATTGAAACACGAATTAAAAATATGCAATAAAACGGTATATTGTTATAGGTTCAATGACTTGGACCATGTTATATCCAAGAAATCGCAATTTATGAGACTCTGTGTGGTTACGAGCGAGGCACCACTCAGAGCATGACAATAAAGACATGCAATATAAGCCCCACTTGAAAGGTCATCTGAGGACACACACTCCATATAAAAACTTATAGTCAATCATAAAAACATTTAATTCACAACTTACCAATATACATGCTGGATGATTCAGGCCGTACATGGTCATCGACGTACGTAGTACCAAGTGTTAAAAGAGGAGATCCGCCGCATCCCAAAAGCAGTTGGGCTACAACGAACACCATTACTGGCATAAACGTGCTCGGTGTACTCTGTCAATTAAAAAAAAAACTTCAGTATTAAGATTCAGACTACAACTTAGCCCTCCGGAATGGCAACACAAGAGTGGTAACACGGACATCGCATTATGACGTTAGACTATCAAAGTGTATAGGCGACAGTTATTGTTAACCATCAGCTTGTTGCATAGCATGAAAACTTGATTTTCAATTTGATATGTGCACTTACCTTGATACAATTGTCAGGTCGTAAATTACTCGGTGGCAGACCTTGAGACAATCGGCCCAATCCGCCCATATCCTGGTCTAAGGCTCTCGGCAAGCGACAGATGTTGTCATCAGATTTATTGTTCATTAATGTTTCACTGTTCACTTCGGCTATGAAATGGGGAACGACAAATACTAATGATCCGATACCCATTATTACGGCACCTGAAAATAAATAATATATATTATAGATTAGACTCGATGGAAGAAAGAAATGTATTACTAATGAATGCCATTCTTCTTTTCTTCCTTTTCACATGAATATGTATTCATATTAGTACCATAAATGACTTTGTAACCCGTATGGTAGTTCGAAGTGCATTTTATTACATCTAGATACTAGGAAAGTAAACGGTGTAATTACAATAATAAAGGCAAAATACATTGCATTTTTAAAGTTCTTTCTCAAGAAACTCATTTACGCGTTTTACTTGTAATAATGATTTTGAAGTAAGGTTGTAATAGTAGAAATACTTTTAATCGTATTGTGACTGAATAAATACACAATATGTAGTCCTCATGATGAGCAATTTATAAGAGGCTACTATAGGAGCATAGCGTAAGTCCATTGGTACAAAAGAAGAAAAGCTTGAAATAAAATTTTTGAGTAGAGAACTGTACCCAACAATATAACGGTAATGAGTTTGTTATGATCATAATATCTCATCAAAAACATGTCCTTATCTCACTGTTATAAGTTATTATGTACCTTTCTACAGCTATTGTTTTTTATGTAGACAATACTGTTGTTAATGTGACGTTGAAGGTAGTCTTATTATTTCTTAATAAACAACTAATGATATAATAAAATAACCAAAGGTATAACCTTTGGTTATTTTATTTTATTCCTTGCATGTATTATAGATACTTATAAGTTAAAGACATAAAAAAGAAAACAAGCAAATATGATATGGGCATATTTTACAGCTCCACACACTCGGAAAGTATTTTATGACTACAATGGATGTAGTCATAAATTACTTTCCCAGTATTAAAAAAATGTTTATACATACAATGGTATATTTAAAAAAAAAAAAATAGTTTTCTAACCGACTGCGATCCACACTGGTATATGTCGTCTACTGCCGAGATATGAGACGAAGATCACCGTGATGACGTTTCCAATTTCGTAGCTGCTAGCGATGAGCCCCGAGAGACTCGAAGGAATTTCAAAGCGTTTTTCTATTGTAGTGATCACAGAGTTTATGTACCCGGAGCTTAAAGCTTGTTGTAAAGTTACCAGAAACGAAAGGAAAAATACAAATACCTGAAAGAAAAACCACAATATTTTTTAGAATTAACATTTTTGTTTATGTTTTGTGGATAGTTCTAACATCATTGACTACTTACTTTAATACTAGAAAATCTCTGGATAAAAAGCGGTCTCCACGATAAGATCCCGCAGTCTCTCGTGTCATGAGGAATGTCTAGAATTTCTGGAAACAATTGACGGGGCTTCTCCTTTTCGCGTTCCCGATCCCTGTGAAATGTGAACAGAATGGTTTACTATGATTGATTTGGGTTAGAACAACAGCTGTTTGTTGTGGGTCTTATTCTGGATACGTACCTGTCGCATATACCGGCGGAAGGGTTCCGGCTGTGACACTTGCCGGGCTCCCGAGGTGGGTGCGAAGGGTGTGGCGGTGTGCTTGGCCCTGCACAGTCGTCTGCGCCGCCCTCCGCGCATGTAGACTCGGCGTACAATCCCGTCATAGCGTACATCGACTCTTGCCTCCTGCAATCATTTATGTAATTCAATACGAGATTTAGGTGTCGTGCTATCCGGTCAGACGGAAACTTGACCGTACCTATTTTGCGGCGCAGCAATAGTTTCAATTTAAAAGGATTTGGTGGTTCGAAAGTGATTGAATGCATATCGAGGTAGAAATATTATATTGAACATTGAGACATTTTCAAAGGACAAATTTCTTACTGTACCAATTTAGTGGTTTACAAACTCAGTAAAAAATAAGTGATTATGACATGTTAGTTACCGTTAGAAAATGTTGGTTTATAATTTCCGATCTTAATTCCTCGATACAATGCTAAGGAGTTATTATTTTTCAAATATTGATAATAAGTATGTATTATATGAGATAAAACAATCTAAGAATATTGTCGAATGTTATTTTATCTATAGATATCTTTATATAAAGATTTATAATCGTATTATACATCGGAAATTCTGTAACTCGAAGTATAACATAAATTTTAATTTCATGTTATTTTTAATTTAAATAAGACAACGCCAAATTCGGCGTTCAATAAATATATAAACTGTTCAATAATTACATAACGTGTTGCCGTGTTTTGATAGTTTCTGAATATTAAAGAAATTTTAGAGGTATCTAATTGTAAAATACGTAAAAGGTTATTAACTTTGAACGAGTTAGTTAAGCGACTATGTCCTAATAAGCAGTTCTAAATGTCATTAAATTTAATGACTAATTTCAAGTTTTGAACGGGTCGGTTATGCAATATGCTTAAGCCTACCCATGGACGATGCTTCCTAGCAGACTGTGTGTGTGTGTTTCTGTTTCATTTGAATTTAAAAAACAATTACACGCTTGCGTACTAAATAGAGAATAATCGATTTATCAGATAAAAACCGATTTCGTTTCATTATAACCATTTTCATTATTTTAACATCAACATATTAAGGGTACATTTCTTTATAATATACAAACCAATTTAAAGGTATATTAATACCATAGAACCAAATAAATAGGGTTGTTCTATAAAAAGTTATGCTCGTGTAAATCCGTTTGGACAGCGTCCGTTTGGAGTTATCGTCAAAGCTAGGCTTTATCTGTCACTACAACTGTTAAATTTGCAACATTGAAGTTATGTGATCCCTTTATTTGAATAATAAAAAACAAAATTGCGGGAAGTAATCTAACCAGTATTATAGACCTCAGTTCTATGCATATTTACAATAAGAGAAAGTGATCAGAAAATCGTGGGAAAACACACTTGAATACACTTTGTTTACAAACATACCTTTAGCAACAAATGAATCATTTGATGTATAATCTATTTACGAGTATATATAATTAGAAAAAACGGAAGGTCATAACGCAGTTTATAACTGAGGTGATTGTTTACTTAAAAACTGAAGTCTATACACGTCTGGGTAAAAACTCTCATCTTGTAAATTAATTTTAATGGCTTTGCCTGTCTGTAAACTTCACAGGAAACCTATAGTGATATACAGGCTAGTTCAGATAACAATCCATGAGTCTAGAACATAGTTTTATTTTATAGTGCTTCGGAACAACCTGTGATCCTACTTTATTTTTACACCACTGATTTTGATTTTGATCAGCAGTTTTAGTAGGACCATCTAAAGACGGCCAGAATGATATTGATATTATACAATACACATAACAAAATGAAATTTTAAATAATTAAACAGAAACAATATTTCTACTTAAAGTAACTCTTTGGATTTGGGCTTGCAAATAATAAACGGTTTTTCTACTCGTATAACACTTTGTAGATATTATTATCCTATTTCTTTCTTTTAGTGTCTTCAGAAAATCATGGCAAGTAGCATAAAAAAAAAATTGACGAAGAGAGTAAAATTTACGGCTTGAACGTTTGGTAAATAATAATATTACCTATGAATAAAAGTTGTAAATATACCTTTGTAGCAGTGTTCGACATTGTTCTTCCAATGTGTTCATGATCACCGGCATGAACTGACAGTAAACATGTAATCGTGAATAATTCACTCACACAAATAGAATTCACTAACCCGATAAATTGTTTAAGATTTTATTATTTCTGACAAAATCGCTACATCTGTAGCGTATCTTTATTCGGCAAGATATATTTTCCTCACATATAAACACGTTCTTCAATATTAAAAAGGCGTACTTATCGAAAAAAGACAATGAGATGACTAATATTGAAGCCCGTGGTACTGTATGATGAATACGAGTTACGGTAACCAGCGGCATTTAGAATTGTAGGCCATGTGTCGCAAACTTTGTTATCTACGATACCGCGACGACTGATAGGCGATAAAATACAGGAACATTAGATGAAGGTGTGTTTCAATGATACTGAATAGGTGTGCATCATACAACGGCCCTTTTAATGTAATTTCCCTTACTGAGCCTACAATGTATTACGTATTTGATAACATTGGACTAACATTATCAACACGATAGGTATGTAGTGTGTATAGTGTGTGTATATTCATAACTCACTCAAAATACTTAATGAGTGTAAGAGTAAAGAACTAACAATACGCATTATATACTGTTTTAAACTTGACGCGGTCATTATTTATACGTATAATTAGTAAAAATCACGGGATCTTACCACGTTTTATATTTATTTACTGAGTTCCCGATATTTCGGTAGTGTTTCAACCACCATGATCACGGGTAGACTGAAGAGCAGCGGGTAGATGGAAAATGAAATCTTTTTATGGGCAGACATATGCGTCTACCTTCACACGTCTTCGTTTGTTGCTACTACTGGAACTCGCTCGATATTCATCTCGGCAAACTGTACTCACAGTATCTTTACGTACATTTAATACATTTTTTGATCGCGTATTTTGTTTTTGTTTAATTAAACCAATCACTGGATTCCAGGCATTAGAGAGCCTATAGCCGTCTTCTCGATTGAAATTTTTATATTTCTGTATTTCAATGGCCTCTCTAACCATTCTTGGGATATAATGCCGTTCTGATGTTAACACTTTTGGTTGGTGTAGTTCAATCCAGTGATTGGGTCCCGATCCCAACAAGTGTTCCGCTATGGCTGATTTACGTGGATCGTTGTTTTTAATAGCTTTTATATGTTCAGCAATGCGACGGGCTATTGTTCTTTTTGTCTGTCCGATGTATGAGCTCCCACAACTACAGTCCACCTTATAGACTCCAGGATGTTGTAGAGGAAAGTTGTCCTTAGGTGAACGTAACATTTGCTTTATTTTTCTGTGCGGAGTAAAAACAGTATCTACAGAGTATTTACTCAATAGTCTGCTTATCTTATCAGTCACTCCTTTAATATAAGGCAAGAAAGTTTTTTGACGTTTCACACTACATGATTTGGGGCGTCTGCTTTTGTTGTGTTTATGGCGCCATCTAGAAATGTCTATATTATAGCCGTTATTCCGTAGTACACCTTCTACGTGTAAGAGTTCTTCTTTAATTTGTATCTTGTCACACAGGTCATAAGCCCGATTAACCAGTGATGATACTACGGAGTCAAAGTGCCTGGGATGATGATGTGATGTAGCGTGCAGGTATTCTAGATGGCGCCATAAACACAACAAAAGCAGACGCCCCAAATCATGTAGTGTGAAACGTCAAAAAACTTTCTTGCCTTATATTAAAGGAGTGACTGATAAGATAAGCAGACTATTGAGTAAATACTCTGTAGATACTGTTTTTACTCCGCACAGAAAAATAAAGCAAATGTTACGTTCACCTAAGGACAACTTTCCTCTACAACATCCTGGAGTCTATAAGGTGGACTGTAGTTGTGGGAGCTCATACATCGGACAGACAAAAAGAACAATAGCCCGTCGCATTGCTGAACATATAAAAGCTATTAAAAACAACGATCCACGTAAATCAGCCATAGCGGAACACTTGTTGGGATCGGGACCCAATCACTGGATTGAACTACACCAACCAAAAGTGTTAACATCAGAACGGCATTATATCCCAAGAATGGTTAGAGAGGCCATTGAAATACAGAAATATAAAAATTTCAATCGAGAAGACGGCTATAGGCTCTCTAATGCCTGGAATCCAGTGATTGGTTTAATTAAACAAAAACAAAATACGCGATCAAAAAATGTATTAAATGTACGTAAAGATACTGTGAGTACAGTTTGCCGAGATGAATATCGAGCGAGTTCCAGTAGTAGCAACAAACGAAGACGTGTGAAGGTAGACGCATATGTCTGCCCATAAAAAGATTTCATTTTCCATCTACCCGCTGCTCTTCAGTCTACCCGTGATCATGGTGGTTGAAACACTACCGAAATATCGGGAACTCAGTAAATAAATATAAAACGTGGTAAGATCCCGTGATTTTTACTAATTATACGTATAAATACGCATTATTTACAAAAAACCAATAATTGTAATCCATAACTAAATGCTATTATTAAGAGCACATGCATTTCACATTTCCGTGTTAGATTGAGTGTGTCGACATTCTAATATAAATGCAAGAAATATTCAGGGTGATTGAATGGCGTAATGTGTCATTACATCTTTTACATTACGTCTTTCATTCTCTACACTGTAGTGTATAGAACACCAACCCTCCATAAATCAAAAGGTATTACTATAAATATGAAGTCTATATTCGGCCTCTGGAGTTGCCAATTTGTTCTACCAACGTCCATCCTTACAAGATATTGGTCTCTATAAAGATATTTATTGTAAACCTTTTGTGCTTGTTTTATAATATGAACGCTACATATTAAAAACTAATAGATTTTACAAAGTGGAATAATTCTTAATATTATAAATCCAGATAAGAATAAAATCCAGAAATATAAAAATTTATTATATAAAAAAAATTACAAATCCAGACAATGTCTTTAAAAAATAAGTATGGTTCTAGGCGCTGACATGTGATTAACCGTATGGATTATTATGTTTTGAGCATAATTTACTGTATGGACGTACTCTTCTCTCTTGACGTTATTGTTGATCTGGACTATAAATAATTCGCCTGTGCGCATATAAAGATAGAAATGATTTAATAGTGCGAGCCTAATGGAATAAATTAATAGCTGCAATCAATCTGAATAAATAGGCCACAATTATTTCATGGGTGGTGAACTCTCATAAGTACTACATCGAATATAATGTAATAAAAAAAATCTAATGGGACAAAAGTAGTAGGTATAGAATGGAAAAATACTAAGTTTATGTATAATACATTTTTTGGAGAAATATTGGCCCAATCCGAAGTTACCTCATTAATATTCATCACACAAACACACGGCTTAGAATTATTTAAAAGACATAAGCTACAGTTAATCATTTACATAACATTTGTATAAATAACTGACAGTACGACACGAATCAAGATAGTATGACTAATTGACTGGTGTTTTGTTACTTCAGTTATGACGTACGAATCTTAAATTAATATATTTAATATTTAACACATATGTAAACACATCTTTATGGGCTGCAAATGTGATTGTTGTATTTCTTTCTTCTCCAGTGTCCGATTATCAGATGAACGAGATTGGTTTTAGGATTTATAATATGGCATATATAATAGATACTATACTTTGACGAAATATGAACACGATATATTATTAAGAATCATGCAGGTAATTACATGGTGCAGTCATTACAGCATAAACAAGTTTTTCTGTCAAAACAGAGAGAGACAGAGAAAGAAAATTACTGAATCATTAAATTATCATAAAAATTCTCGATTTTTTTAGCGTATGTACCTCATACCATAGACATGGTCACATCGTGTACATATAGATGATTTTGAACAGAGATGCTTCTAAAAAAATTGCAGGTAGTAGATTTACTAATTACACTCTTTACTAATATCTCTTATTTGCATAATTTAGTGCGTGCAAATATTTCAGTGACATATTTCGTGCCATAATTAAACAAATCGAATTGAAATAAGCGAAGTGTGGGCGGCTATTGCAATGTTGTACACACCAGACTATTTTTAAATATTAATTGGTTACAAGCTTAAGTTACATTTAAGAAAACAATTACAAAATAAAAATATACTGCGCTTGAGAAAATCGATATTGCGACCATTGTGTAATTTGACTTGTTTAAGCTATAGACCGATGGATCGTAACGTAACAGATTTAACAGCGGAAGTTTTATTCTGGTCCAGTGGATCTAACGAGTTAGACATTTTACAGCCAACCTTGACTCGTGACTGGCAGCTGGAGAAGAGTCCAGTTGATCAACAAACGATACAAGCAATACTGAAATAAATTCTGCGACTTTGAAGTCAAAGTCGATATTTATCGATTAACTACGAGTATTCTACTGTAAAATCGTTAAATATACCTATTATAAAGGAAATCAATATGCAATATCATGGACATGTAAAGTACCCTCCTAATGATGAGCTAGCAGATGATAAGTGGAAACCGTTGCTATACTACTCATATACTTGAACAGCATTACGGACATCCCGTCCTTACGCAGCAGCACTTATGTAGCACTAAGCTGTCATGCTTCCGTACCCTGAATAGATGAGAATGAAATGGTCTAATTCTTAAAATATAGATGCTTTCATATATTGCTCTTTTCCAGTATTCGTTTTACTCTTATAGTGTGTTATTTCATTTACACTGCTTACCCTGTAAAGGACCTTATCTTGAATTAAAACTTTAAGAATATAATTAGTATGTACTGTAGTATTGTACTTGTTAAGTGCGTTGTGTAATACGAAGGGGAAACATTTAATTATCTTTTCTACAAACAAAGTACATTGAACTTGACTAACACTAACATAATTATGTTGATTGCCAGCTCGTGATTTGCATAGTTTTACTGTAATGTTTGCGCGGTGCTTGAACCAGTAAACGTTTCATCATTTATATTGAGTGCTTGTACAACTGAACGCTTCCCCAGCTTGTAATTTTTGCCATGATGACAGAGGGCCATCGTTTCGTATCAATTACTTTTATATTGATTGCTATATTTATACTTTAACATATAACATACGTTAATGAACAGATAGTGTTTATTTTCGATACTAAACAATTTTTCCTTAACTGCTCAATTGCAAATATTGTATTTAACATACAAGTTTTTTACTTATGAAATGTAGCGTTTTCCAAAGCATTTCATACTAATCGATGCTCTAACCAGTCCAGACGTACCGATATATAGATACCGAAATAACTATGGACTACGGATTATTGTATAGTAAGTGAGGTTATAATGGTCACCTGTGTCCTTTTCTGTGTTGCGGTGCAGCGTTGGTGCCGCCCGCACTCTGTTGTCGCTCTCCCTCCGTCATCTTGTTGAAGCACTCCGGTCCTCACCGCACGCCCATACCACACACCGCGATACACCTCCACCTGAACAAACAAAACAATTGCTTTCATATAATTATAATCCGTAATATATTTGGCGTAAAATATCCTTTAAGCGATATATAAGATTTATCTTAGTTAAAAAAATATTAATATTCGTTACAAAATATAGATTAATAATATACTCTATAGCAAATGCTATGCATTACAGAAATAAATCATCAACATGAGATCAGAAATAAAAAAGTAAATACAGACGAATTTAGAACTCCTCCTTTTCCATCTAGGCGGATAATACAAACTCGCTAATTGAAGTTAAAATAGAAATAGAGTAGAATAGAACCTCATTAGTAATTAGTGAATAATATTTACTAAACATTCTAGTTTAATTATTAACAATTTGCAATTCGGCAGGCTAATTTGTGCTATTTTATTTTATCTCGAAAAGAGATAAAAAAAATAATACTAATAATAGGTACCTACCTACGTTAAGATAGAAAACGTATGTGTAATATCAGTTTTTGCATAACTATGTTCTACAGCTTATACAATATTTTGGTATGAGTTCTGGAATAAGTTGTATGAGACCGATCATGAAAATAAATATAGTAAAAGTTAGTTTAAGGCTAGAAGTCTTTTCTACTCGGTCGTCTCTGCCTACTCTGTGTGAGACTGGGCATGGGAGTAAATATCTAACTATTATATTAGGCTTATATTTCTGTAATTTAGATTTACCTACATACATACATATCATTGTTATATAGATATTTATGTATACTATAAACACACATTTTTTGTTATCATTCAATGATTTACAATTATATATCGTTTAGTGTTCCAATCAATATTGATGTATATATATTATTAATATATGTAATAGTACTTTAATCTTTGATGATATAATACTTTAAAGATAAAAAGAAAAACAATTATTAGCTTATTAGACTATAATAATGAAACGTAGGCGAACAGCAGTCGATCAAATGGAAGAAATTGCCGGGGGTGGGTATATAAATAGAACTTATAATAAATAGGGTACCCATTCTAAACGCGCCCACTTCACGCATTTCTGCGAACATTTGCTTTACTTAGTTATATTTATATTAGGCAAGGACATATTGGTAATAGTAGAGGTCCATATTATAATTCTTTCGTTCATAAAAAAATTAATGTTTATCAAACTTATATTCATTAGCGTTATTTTTTAAACTTACATTAATATATCTATAATTATATATGGGAATGTAATTAAGTCACTATGTTTTTTTTTCTTACGCGACAATTGTTTCGACTACATCCGGAAGTTTAATTTAGTGCAAGGCAAGGAGCTGTGACGAAACAATTGTTGAGAAAGACGTCAACAAGTAATTATAGTCCCGTTCATAGTTTTAAAAATATTAGGGCGTTGTATTTTTCTTTAAAACAAAGAATAAAGCTTGTATGCAAAGTTAAAAGACAGTTCAACTGCTAACTTAATTGACATTCCCCGTTTAAAATAAAAGGTTATATACAACTATGAGGCAAGATCTATATTAAAACATTATACATTAAAATTAAAAGAAGGAACACCTTGGGGTTTTTTAGACAGTAACCGTCTACCTCTCCCGGAGTTGGCGGGTCTCCATTAGGATATTCCCAAGTTAAAAAAAAAACATACATTAAAATAGGATTTTGAAGGCAATGATAAGATGGTGACACAAATCACGGTCACTTCTCATGAAGCATGACATTGTCCTTCTCATGAAGATGGAAAACATGTTAGCTGTAAACTACTTAAAGCTCGCATTGTATCAACCTCATTCCTACCTTAGTGTATTCAACATAATATTTTGTTCTACAATATACCTACAGTCTATTCTACTATAAATAGAAATTTATTAGTACCATATATATTTTACATACAAGCGTTAATTAAATGCTCACCTAATTAATGAATAATTTAATAGTATTCACAATACTTATATTATACATATTAGTGTTATGCCCTGAATTATGAACAAAAATTAGCACTCTCCTTAGAATATTAGCGCAGCTGGTAATATTGTTTATTTGTAAGTTTATACATCTTATAATTGTAAAACAAATTTCCTGTCTCATAATACGATTATAATTACTATTATTATAAAGGAAACTGAAAACCAGCGCGGTATATGTGGACCTCATTGAGGTTGTACTTATATCAGCAACAGCTGAGGCAGTTCCTATTGCCAACTTTCTATATTATTTTTTATTCGGTGTATTGTTTGTAAATTGTATTATTTGTGTTATATTGGCAATAAATTAATTATCTAATCTATCTATTAATCTTATCTAAATAATGATAATAACTAATAAAGATTTATTAGTCCATGTTTTAACTTCACCATTAATTTTAAAGTACATATTTGTTAGCATAAAATTCTGTTATATTTTATTCAGTCAATAAAAATAATAGTTTAAATAAAAAAAAAGTGTAGTCCAGACCCTTAAGGTCTCACCCATGTTTAACCAATAAATTGTGTGTTGCATCACAATATATCAATTTCTGACTCATCGATTAAATAGGTATGTTCTTTTATTATTTAGTTTTAAATAGAGTGATTACTGGCATTCATAACTTCTGGTAACTGGTAGCATCTGTAGCATATGTTATGATATAATTATAAAATTATTAGGATATCTATATGAAATTGTAAAATTTCAGATACAAATTATTATGTGATGACGTCAAAAATGTATGTCATTAAATCTCATAAAATTGTCATTGTTAAAGGTAATCAATGGTCACTTTAAAAAATATATTTTTAAGATCATACATTCATTAATCTTTGTAGACTAACGAAGTAGATAATTAGAATTATTTCAATAGTAAAATTTACAAAATTTACATATGAATTACCTTGAATAGAACACAGAATGTCAATGTCAGTTTTTATGTCACAAGCTTGATATAAACATTAAATAAGTATAATTATTACTTAATGTCAACGTTGTGTATCTATGTATTACAAAAAGACACAATAACATGTGATGTATTAATGTTATAAAGCAAAAATATGAAAAATGCGGTCATTTTATATATGTTTCATATACATTTGCTGTTATACTGAAATGATAAAGGTAAAGCGATCTGACATTACAAGGTCGTTTGAAGCCGCCGGTCGTACTTCACTATGGCGAAAGCTGTTGCCGGTGTTTGCGAGGCCGGTCAAATACAAATACCTGTTTTACTAAAAAACTAGGTATTTTGTATGTATCAAATTTGTAGGAGTTCATTATGTAGGGTTCATAATTATGGTGGATTAACAGGATCAGAAATACGCATGTGAAACTGCTGGTGTGCAAGGTGTATACCATATATGTATCCTACGGTAACAACTTACCATGAGATGGGTTAAATGCTTGATTTCCACCACTGTAGTGAGGTATATTAAAAAAAAACGATGAAAAAATACAAGTGCAATACAATAACTATGCTTTTATAATTTACCGTACAATATTATCATTGAGTACTGTAATATTATCGCGCATGTCCACAGTTTTACTAATGTTGGTGCATGATATGACGTTTATTGTATTAAAAACGTCCTTATATAAATGCATATAATTTGTTTAATTATTAGATCGTGACAGTAAACTCTTCCAGTATCATATATAAAAACAGTAAATGATAAAATTACAAAATATACGTAGTTTACTTTTATTTTTACTTAATCTTTTCCTCATGTGATAATAACCATTACAGGAATTGATTGCAACTTTACATAAGATAATAATCTATATATTTATTTTAAATGCTGTCTTTTCCGAGCAGCAATTATTGCCCAATGAATTAAGAAACCAAGAACTGAAAAATCAGTATAAAGATAAAATTTCGACAAGACAACACAGAAAGACAAAATCATATTTCGTTACAAAGAATAAATAAAAAATCGTATCAAAATTATTGTGTAACCTATTAACAGTTCTTGACAACATTTTTGCAGTTATTACAATTTCAAAAATGTTGTCAAAATTTGTTTAATTTTGGCTTACATGCAAATAGTTGTCTGCAAGACAATGCTTGTAGCGATAAGATCGCATTTTGTATTGCACTTTCATACTGCTTTTTTGTATTTGTGTGCGTAATAAAGAGATAAATTTTATCCTATTATAGAAACGTTAAATTGAGAGTTTCTTCCATTTTGTACTTGCTGAAAACCAATATAACCTAATAGCCGATCATTGTAGAGGCCACACCTACATATAAGTCAGTATTAGCTCACGGTCCGTAATGACTAAGCACCTTGGTTATGTTAGATTTTATAGCATTGAACTAGATTTAACAAAAGCACAATAACCATATCAGGACATCATACATTTACATTTTACAAGAGTTATTAATGTTCGTTACAATAAATTATCGATTAATAGAAAAATTCTTAATAAAGTAAAAATAATACTAATTATACTGTGATAAGATTTAGTTTCGAATGTCGATCATCTTTAATAGATGCCACAACTCTTATAAATAACACGTTAATGAATGATATTGTATTTATTAATGTATTATTTTAAAAGTTCTCTTTGTACGTATGTAATGGCCCTGGGGTGAAGTTTCAAAAGATAATTAATTATTTTAATAATATCAGATACAACACCTTTATAAAATATATAAAATGGTATTGTAATTCAGTATATTATATCTAACTTAGGTGTAGATATAATCAATTCTGACAATATAAAACTTAGATATAAATAAATAAGTGCTATTAATGGTATACATCTCCCTGGGTCCTACTTATTAATGGCATACGAATATAGATGCAGCCACGCATGCTAACATGACCCCCAGAGCGGTTCAAATACAGTCTTCACCTCTATACGACACGTGCCGAATGTACGTCATAACTCGTAACATCTGTATTTTAATCGATCTAATTTATAAATAGATATGCATTAATAATTTAAACTTAACATTAAGTTCTGAAAGTCGACTTCGGGGATTTGGATTGGATTTAAAGTAATATTTCATTTTAGTCGTTTCTTTTATCAAATTGCCATTAATTTATTATAGCATTTATAAA